CCTCAAGAACCAAGGACAAAAGTCCATCTTCAGTCTGTTTCCCTCGATTAATTTATATTTCGTGAGTGTGTTTATCCTGCCAAAACTATGATTTCAATCTGTTACGTTTCGATATGAAAACTATATATTATATATAGTACATAAAAAATATATAGTATATAGTGTTTACATTCAAAGCAATGGCTAGGAAATGAAATTATAACACGAAATTTGAGTGAAACAAATAGGCTGGGGAAATATCGTCCTGGGATGGCGATAAATTCAATTATCTGGCCAAGGATAAACAGATATACTATATATACAGATATTTATCCTTAGATGGCGGCAATGGCCTGCGGTTGGCTCCAAATTAATTTTCAAGTGGCCAACGCCCCCTCCAAAAAAAGAAAGACAAAAAGCTTGGGCGAAAAATCAAAGTCAACTTGCCCGGGGTAATCCCAGGGCCAAGGGGAGGGTGGAAAAGTGCCAGGAAAAACAGTGAGAAATAGAGAACCGACCAAAAAACAAAAACAAAAAAGAAGCTGACAATTTAATTTGCGAGTTGGACGAGTCCCCAGCATCGAGAATGCGTCACAGGACGAAGGACAATGACCCCGGTGTCCCAGTGTCCGGATGTAACCGATACCAAGGATTTGTCTCAGTCCAAGTTCCATTTTCACTCTCAATCCCACTTTCCCTATCCTGTCCTTAAGGAGTCGCAACCAAAACACACTTTTGCCACAAAAATCTGCCAAAATATGCCATCATCCCAAAGCTCCGAAGAGTTTAATTGGAAAATTATTTGCAGGCACTCAGAGAAAATTTTGGGTATTTTTAATAGAAATTTATTTTAAAGGGAATCTTAAAATTTAATTTAAGTTTTGTATTCTTTTTGAAATATTTAAATGTAAATAAATAATAAATCCGAAACCAAGAGCACTAATAAATTATTAATTGTAATTATAATAATAATGTAAAATTTAAGTAATTTAATAATATTATAAAGTTAAAGTTTGCAATAATTTCCGAAAGTATTTAACTCTGTGCCTCTCCCTCCCTCTCCCTCTCATTACCCCTATCGATCGGCATGTCCCTCACTCTCCCTCACTGTGCATCTCTAGAGAAACCGCTTACGCTCTATCTCTCTCTGCCTCACTCTGGAGGCACTGCTTGCTCTCTCGCTCCCACGTTTTCTCTTCTCTTGCCTCGCAGCCTATAAATAGCGGGCTCTGCCGCCTTGCGCACCTCATTCAGTCCGTGGCGTCTCCAGTGTTAACATCTCGAGTGATAGTGATAGTGCCTCCTCTTCGACTCGATACTTATGACGTGGCCCATGGACAACATCTGGATGACGAGGAAGAAGCTTGACTTGAAGGCACCGGAAGCAAGTAAGCAATGATGACAACGGATAGCCACGTGTCCTCCACTGGGGTAAGTCTTTACCATGACATATCATATTATTAACATAGATACTAATTAAGTGATTAGGCCTATGTTTAAAATCATCTGTGCAGCTAGCTATGCATTTATTTTCCCATTATTTCCATGGATCCCATTACTTTATATTAATTTAATGTGCCCAAGTTAATTATATTATAATAATTATAGCCAAACTAATTCTTAATTTTTCACGAATATTGATTTTATATCCTTATGATACTTTCAAAACTGACCCTGACTTTGGTACTATAATTCTGTATTATAATTTCAATCAGAAGCTTAAAACTCAGGGAAGGAGTCATTTCCGACCACATAAATCATATATATTCTTGATCAGCATGAACAGCCGAATCGATCTGGCCATGTCCGGAAGAAATATTTTTTTTTAATTTTTTTTCACTTTTTTTTGGCAAAATATTATAAATTAAAATTGTTAAAATTTGAGAAAAATTTAAATATTTGTAATTTTAAAACTTAGTATGCAGATTTGTTGGCCTAACAAAAACTAACACAGAAAAGCTTTCCGAGTTGAAATTAAGGCATTTTTGACTTAGTTATGATATTTTGAAAAACTGTGATTTACCCAAAAAATGAGCATTTAATAATATCGATTTAATATCTTAGAATACACAAATTATAACTTAAAAGTTGCGTACAAAGACCAAATAGCCGATGACAGTCAAAAGTCATATATATTTCTATATGCAATCGAAATCCTAATCGATAAAGAGTAAAATATTGGGGAACAAAGTCAAACAATATACTTCACAAACACTTTGCATTCAGTTTTTTAACACCTGCCACTGTTTTCCCGACGTAGTTTTCCGGATTTTCCATTTTTTCCGACGATCCCGAGCGCAGAGACGCTTTAGAATAATCCCTAAAATATAGCTTTTATTGTTTATAACTTTTCGCCGAGTGCCAGGACAAAGCAAGGTAAGCTTAATTGGAAAAGCAGAATCACCTTAAAAGTCACCTCGAATCACCTCGAATCCTTAACAGCATTGTGCGAGGATCCGGCAAACGTCCTGTTTCCATTGACTTTCTACACTCCTCCCCTCCCCCTCCCCGAAGGAGACGGCAAATTATCCGGTTTCCTGCAAATGGGAAATGGGGGGAAAGGGAGGCGGGGAAGGAAAAGTGTGTGGAAATGGAGCCCATTGAATGGCATCCGTAAGCGGCAACAAAGGCGTCTCTTTGGCATCTCCGTCATCATTGTCGGTGTCTATCGCTGTCATTCTCATTATTATCCCGATGCCCATTCGTATTTATCCAGCTGCCCCTCAGGTGTGACCTTGATGGTCATTATTGGGATTTTCCACCTGCTGGTCAATCGGCCAAAGTGCAGCACATGGGACATATGTATCCCCCCATTAGTGGCCGTCATAGCCTACTTTTCAGCTGATGCGAGATTCCAGGAAACGGATATCCTGCGACATGAACTTACTTTGCTGATTTTAAGTGGAATTTTTTACAAGCAGAAAATTAATGAGTGTGGGAGGGTTTCCTAATAATTATTTATATCAAAACAGATTCAATTGCATTAATAACCCTTTATTTAGCGGCACAAATCTAATTAAACCACATTGAAAGTATATTTAAAATATAATAATAATAAATCCAGTAGAATTATGCATAGAACATTCTATAATTGCCAAGTCAAGGGGCATGCTTCAAGTGCATTCAAGTATTTATACGGATATTAATGATTAATCCGCATAATCGGTTCTCACAAGTGCCACTCTGTAAATCCTGCACACCTGTGCATCCGTCGGGCGTTTCACACCCAATTAGATTGATGGGGTCAAAAGGAGCCTGAACTCATAGTTCCTACCCCCCCTACCCCCCTACCCTATTCCTGTTCCTGTCACCACCCTTAACCCTTCAGTAGAGAGTTCAATGCGATTATGAGGAGCGAAAAATAATGATGATGATGATGATGGGGGTCAGGCGAGGACAACCCCTTTGGAAGGTACAAGGAATGGCTAACAATTTCTGACATTTTGATTTATAAATTCTGCCAAGGAACCCCCCCCCTCCTCTCTCTCCTGTCTCAAGCTTTTCCTTTTGCTCCTGTGGCACAAAGTGAAATTTAGGTGGAAAAACCGTGTGGGGAAAACTGCCGAAATTGCTCCATCGAACTCTGGGGATAACAAAGAGCAGAAGCTGAGTTCAACGGCATTAAATGTTATTACACACTCGAGACTCTGTGTGTGTTTGGGCCATGTGAGCCAGCTTCCAAGAATCTGGCTTCTATATAATCCTGTAATAGCGGAAAGCATCAAACTTAATCTGAGCCAAGGGGTATTAAGTTTCTTAATATAATGTTTCTTAACGAGATTTACCCTCTCAAATGAGTTTTTCTACATAAATCTTTTCAAATTGATTTTAGTTATTAAGAAACATATTTAATACATTTTAATATCATATCGAAATAATCAAAATAATTCGTAGAGTTAAAAAAAAAATCATTTTAAAAAGGTCTACAAGTACGCAACGATATTTTTATATATATCATAAATATTTTTATAAATATAAATATGGAAATAGTGTAGATATGTCAATATTCTTATGAAATCTTCGCTCTTAATCTTCAATTCAAAATGTTGCACACTTTCAGGCGCCGTTTTAAATAGCAAGTCCTTCGAAGTCCTTCAGCCGAAATCCCACTGAATGAAAACTTGGTAAATATTTTTGTTTTTCACATGTGTACGTGTGTCTATATATAAATATATATCTTAATTTCCGTTTTAATGAACTGCACTTTATGATCACGTATTCGGTGAACCAATTGCTCATTGTTCGCGGCACTAGGACACCAGGCGGCGCCACCTCTGCCGCAACGACTACCAATGCCATGCGGTAGGTGGCGGCGGCGCCGTCACTCAATCAAGCCACAATTGCCGAGTGTTTTGATTAAACGTTTCGCTTTAATTGCTCCATCATCATGGTTGATATATATATCTGTGTGTGTGTTGTGCAGTGTATGTGTGTATTTGTATGATGTTTTTGTCCCATGACCCCACTGCTTACTGGTGCAGTGACGCGAACCCGCAAAGCCAATGAACTTTGGCATGTCACAGGGAATACATCAGGATGACTTTAACTACATATAGTCAGGAATATAATGAAGATAATGATGACATGACCATTAGCTACAGAATTGTACGTTTTTAGTTGATTGATTTGGTAAAGGAATGAAATAGGATTGTATACAAAGTGTGAGTAAGGATCACAATTCTTTAAATTGATTTGTATTTTTATTCATTAAATCACAAGATAATAGTTTATTTTAGTTAAAAATTGCCAAGAAAAACAAAGATAAACAAAGCCAGCTTCCCCAGTTGCCAAATTCTAAGAGTTAAAAAACCCAAGAGAGGATCGTACTCTTTAAGCTGCTCTCTCTCTCTCGCTCTTAGATTCCACATGCACCGGCAAAAACAACCAAAGTCAGTAACGGCACTTGTTACGGTTTACCTCAAAACAAAAAAAATACTCGAGGAGAAAATGCGCGCGCAGAAACAGCGCACGATGAGGATAAGCCAAAAAAGAATATACGTTTGTTTCACTCACTCGCTTACATTGCTTGCATTGTTGTTGCTGAAAGATCCCAACGGCGACCGAGCTGGATGAAAGCACACGAAAAACAGCAAAAAATTAGTCTCCTAATATTATAAAGGTAAAGCACACTCTTTTATGCCTAAACACACACTTAAATACATAAACGCACTTATGTATTCACACACTTGTGTCCATTTGCTGCACCACACAAAAAAAAAAACAACAAAAAGCCGCCATGATCTTGGCTGTGTAAGAAAAAACGTTTTTGGGGCTGTTCCCCCACTTCCCCCCACTTGCCTCCACTTGCCGGACTTCACAAACACTTTGCATTCACTTTTTTAACACCTGCCACTGTTTTCCCGACGTAGTTTTCCGGATTTTCCATTTTTTCCGACGATCCCGAGCGCAGAGACGCTTGCGCGCTTTTTTTTCGATTGCTTTTGCCTTCGTCCGTTATGTTATGTTAACACTCCTGGAATTTAACAGCCGCTTGTTACACTAACATTTCGTCTCTTTGGCATCTCCACCTTTGGAGATCTTTGGAGAGATCTTTGGCGCCACCTCTGCCGCAACGACTACCAATGCTATGCGGTAGGTGGCCCCACGGCTTACTGGTGCAGAGACGCGAACCTGCAAAGCCAATGAATAAATCATATATATTCTTGATCAGCATAAGCAGCCTAGTCAAACTAGCCATGTCCGGTAAAAATATAAATTATTTTGAAATTTTTTCGAAATTTTATAAGGGGTTACATCGATAAATATTTTCAAAAAATGTAAAAAAAATTTTAAAGTTTTTTAATTTTTAAATGGAGTATGCAGATTTTTTAAACGAACAAAAACTAGCAAGGAACCGTTTTCCGAATTGAAATTAACACATTTTTGACTGAGTTATGATTTTTTGAAAATCTATAATTTACCCAAAAAAGGAGCATATAAAAACTTTGATTTAATATACCCAGAACTGATGTATTACCTTAACTTTAAAATAAAATAATAAATGTATTAAAGGGAATACCCTCAATATCTGCCAGCTGTTTTTCCCTGAGCGGAATTCCAGAGTTTATAGCCAGGGATCTCCTCCTTATCCTGCCCCCACCTGTTCTCCTGAATCCCCTCATCCACAGCGATAACTCCCCTAAAGCCACATAGTATGCACAACCTCAAAACCCCATGAAATATACTGATTATTATTTATCACAGTGCATACAAAAACAAGAGCCCAGATATGCATGCAAAGTAATCATAATCATGTGAAGTCGCCGACCAAATACTCTATTAAATTGAATATAATTTTATAGAGTTTAATTTAAATACACAAAATTAATGCGGGGTAGAAGTTCTGGCCAATTAATGAAGTTCCTTTCATTTAAATTTCATAAATTTCTCCCCTTCCATATTAACTATATATATATAATTGAAATAACATCATTCACCAGCTGATTGACTCCTTGGCAGGGCGTTATACCTTCACAAAGCAAAGAAGGGAGTATAAAACAAATCCCCAGCAGTCGGAGCACCAGACCTCAGACTCTCAAGCTGCTGACAGACATCATTATCTAGAGTAAAAAGCTTCCTAAATTAAATTCAAATTAAAATTAAATTAAAAGAGACCTCGACCATGCCACGTCCTGTGCTACTCATTCACGGGGGAGCCGGCGACATTCCGGAATCGCGCATCATCGGCAAGTTCCTGGGCATCAAGCAGGCCCTCCGCTCCGCCTGGCATTTGCTGCAACCGGAGGAGAATGGCGGCGCCGGTGGTAGCGCCTTGGATGCCGTGGAGGCAGCGGTGCGCAGCATGGAGCTGGACGAGAACTTTAATGCTGGCTACGGCTCCTGCCTGAACACCAACGGCCAGGTGGAGATGGAGGCCAGCCTCATGGAGGGTCGTGATTTGCGAGCCGGCTGTATCACCCTGCTACGTGATGTGATGCATCCCATTACGGTGGCTCGACGACTCATGGAGAAGCAGCGGCACACCTTCCTGGGCGGCGATGACGCTCAAGAGCTAGCCCTGGCCACAGGCAGTGAGCGTTTGCAGCCGGGAGCCCTTGTCACGGACGGTGCTCGCTATACGCTCAAGGAGTTCCAGGAGCAGGTGGCCCAGGGCAGGGATCCCTTCTTTGCACGCACAGAAATGGCCGCCAGAGAGGAGAAGACCCCAGCTCCAGCTCCAGAGCCAGTTGCAGTGCCAGTTCCCAAAACCGATCCCAGTGGCGAGACCGTGGGTGCCGTGGCCATGGATGCACAGGGCCATATTGTGGCTGGCACCTCCACAGGCGGCATCACTGGCAAGTGGCCGGGTCGCATCGGAGACACACCCATTTTGGGCAGCGGCACCTATGCGGATAATGGACGTGGTGGTGTCTCAACGACAGGACACGGCGAGACCATCATGCGTTACAATCTGGCACAACGCATCCTGGCAGCCATCGAGTACAAGGGACTCTCCGCCCAGGCCGCAGTGGATCAGGAGTGCCGGGAGATGACCAAGCGACTGGGAGGCACCGGCGGTGCCATTGTGGTAGGCCATGACGGTGATCTGGGCATCGGCTTCACCTCTCAGCGCATGGCCTGGGGCTATGTCCAGGATGGCACCATATTCTATGGCATCGAGGGAAAGGTGGTGCACCAGGAGCCTTTTGAGGTCCAGGCTTAACTTGGTGGTAAGATCACAAAATTTCTATAAAAGCAAATACAAGAATTTTAAATTATGCGGCTCAATAAATACAGTTTTCTGTTAACTTACATTTCGTATTAAAACATCATTATTATTGGGAAAAAAGTACCTCTTTCAATTTCTCTAGCTTATAGCAAACTTTGATATATTTACAATATTTTCTAAACAAAATTACACTAGAACACCAACAAGATTAGGTCTAAAGCTTAAGGCTGAAGCTTAGCTAAAGAGAGCTATTGGGCTTTGTTCGTCATTCCCTTAATTTCTTGATTTATATACAAAACAAATTCATAGTAATAGAGCAAGAAGTGGGGGCTTTGTTTTTGGTATTTCCCATATAACTCAAATACTTAAATATATACAAGAAAAAAAACATGCTTACATTTAAATTCGATCTCAAATTTGCTCAAATAGCTCAGAACTGTTACAACGTATACATATATGAATGGCTTGATGCTTTAGGGTTCCCCATAAAGCTTCGGTGGTTATCCCGGATTTTCATAGACATGTAACGCGCGATATCGACTATATACCTGAAGGTGCATATATTACAACAGTCTTGCAGTAATTGAACGATCTATGAGCCTATCTAAGCGATTCCTGACCTATTTACAGTATTGCCAACAAGGAAGCCTAGAAATAGGAAATACAAATTGCTAATGAGTTACTTTTTAGTTTGCGATCACCGATCAACGCTTTGGGATCAAGGATTAGCTGCCACTGGCTCCCTTGGGTGCCACATCCCGCTGCGACTCGTGGGCCTCTGTGAGGCCATAGCAGTGCTTGGCGGCTGGGTCGCGATATTTGTTCTCGTGCGCCACGGAGTGCGAGTTGGTGCGGCACTTGACAAGGCACAGCTCGAAATGGTCCTTTACGCTGGCAAAGATATACTTGGGCGTGTTGGGCGACCGTAGGACTCGCTCCAGCAGCGGCTGCTGGCCGGGATGGAGGCAGCACGAGACGCAGTACTCGTACAGACCGCAGCAGTGTGTAGTGGCATTGCAGGTGCGGCAGCTGTAGTAGCCGATATTGGGCAGCTCTGTGTTGCAGCAACCGTTGGGCAGCACCTCCTGCCTTCGGCATACGAAACCCCGCTCGTCGGCCAGCAGGCGATGGCCTTGCACCGAGTTCCGGCAGTGCGCCTCCGGAGTGCCGCGTGTACGATTAAGCTGCTCCTCCGGGGCCAGAAGCTGCTGCGTCCACAGCAGCGGCCGTGTACGCTGCACCATATACTCATCGCAGTGCAGACACGCAAAGGTGTCCTGTGACGAGAGAGATAGCACTTTAAGCTACCAACTATTGCAGCAACCATTCACTTACCTGGTCAAAGAGGTGACCGAATCCGGTGATGAGCAGCAGCACCACCAGCACAATGTACACGATGCGGCGTCTGAATAGGCGGGAGAGGGCGGCTGGCCACATACTGGCCACCAGCTAGCGCTCCATCACAGCCACCGGCGGCGGGAATCCCTCACAACAGACGACGAGCCAGCAGTCATGGAAATGGGTGTTATTAATTCGCTTCCAAACTCTGGCTGCTCCCTCACAGCGCTCCCATTGGCCATACGGAGCTGGGGCATTGGACGCAGTGGCTCCTCCAGATGTGTTTCAGTGGCTTATCCTGCAACAAGGGCGTATCCTCTTAAACTTAAACGGAATTGCGAGTAAATTTCGTTAATTGCTTCTTTTGTTTTGCTGCAGGTCATAGAGGTGGCACTCGAGCTGTTATCGATTTCTTCTCTTTCTTCGATAATCAAAACAAATGCATAAGATTGTTAATTTATTGAACTGAATTTATTTGCAATCGAATATTAATTACATAAAATATGCAGTTTTTTACCTTTTCAAACTTGCGTTCCAAGAATTCGTTTGCTTCTCGTTCGATTATTTATGTTATCGATGTACCCACTGAAAACTTTACAACCAATTAACTTGAACTTACTCTTTGCTTGTGCTTTCTTTTCACTTCGTTGCCTCCTTAGCACTCCGTAAGTAAGCTCAGTAAGCTCAGTTATTCCAGTTACAATTCTCTCAAGACAAGGCCTAGCTTTTTAGACATAAGTTTACCATCACGATAGTTTCGAATTCAACCATCGATCACATTACTGTCAACGTCGAGCTCTTCCACCTCTAACACTCTGCTGGGCAAGTTGAACCTGGCCAAAAAGCGGGCCATTTTAGCCGGACAGACGGAAGAGCGCCAACGCGACTACCACTAGTTGCTCGCACCCGACGCCACAACCCCTGCCAGCTGTGCCCAGTTAGCTCCGGTCGTAGAGCACCTTCCAGCACAGCAGCCGCTCCACGTGTCCCGATCCGAGCCGATCTATTGGAGGAGAAAGCGCCATCAACAATCAGCGATGCAGGTGCAGGGGCTTCTCCTAGTATTGGCACTGCTGCCAACACTGGCCCTCGGCCTGCTGGAGGGATTGTACTGCGGCAAGGAGAACTGCTACGATGTGCTGGGCGTTACCAGGGAGTCCTCCAAGTCGGAGATCGGCAAGGCCTACCGCCAGCTGGCCAGGCGCTATCATCCGGACTTGCATCGCGGCGAGGAGGCTAAGGCAACGGCGGAGACACAGTTTAAGCTGGTGGCCACCGCCTACGAGATCCTGAGGGACGAGGAGTCGCGCACGGACTACGACTACATGCTGGACAATCCGGATGCGTACTATGCGCATTACTATCGCTACTACCGTCGCCGCGTGGCCCCCAAGGTGGACGTGCGCGTTGTCATCGTGGTGGTGCTCACTATTGTCTCCGTGATCCAGTATTATTCCGGCTGGCAGCGTTACGATTCTGCCATCAAGTACTTCGCCACGGTGCCCAAGTACAGGAATCAGGCGCTGGACATAGCACGCGACGAGATCCAGGAGCGCATCCAGAAGAAGGGCAAGAACCGCATGTCGAAGACGGATCAACGCGAGGAGCTGGAGCGCATCATCCGTCGGGTGATCGAGGAGAAGATGGACGTCAAGGGCGGCTACGCGAAGCCAACGCTCTGGGATGTCCTGTGGGTGCAGCTCATTATCTGCCCATACACGATACTCTCGTTCATCGTGTGGCATGCCCAGTGGTTCTGGCGCTATACGGTGTTGAAGCAGCCCTATGGCCGCGAGCAGAAGCTTCATCTTATACGCCGGAACCTGGGCATGGGCCAGCATCAGTTCGAGGCGCAGGAGGATAAGCTAATCGAGGAGTATCTGCATCTTGAGCTGTGGAAGCGTGACAATTTCGTGGCCTGGAAGGCGGAACAGGATGAAGAGATGAAGAAGAAGCTGGCGGAGAATCCGCGCTACAAGGCCTACCGGCGCTACATGAAGAACCATGGCCCCGGGCGCATCACCTTCGAGGATTAGGCAGCTAGCTGTTGTGAGTGTGAATGCGTTCAAGTTTTATTGTTCCATGTGGAGTTCTGGATGCAATTCCTTAGCCTCGCCCCTACCGTCTAAATTTTAATCATAATATTTAATATACACATATATATTTTTTGTACACCGACTAAAATATGAGAGAATATGTAAATGCCCCGGCATCCCCCAGCCGTAGGGCGAATCGTTGACCCCGTGCCGGAGTGCTCCGCCGAAACCGGTTCAAGAACGTGGCCAATCTCGGCGGTTCACTCCGCCACAGTGGTCGCCGGCTACCATGGACTATAAATCACCCTAGAACAATTGCCCCAAACTAAATAGTGTGTGTGTATATGCGTGCGTGCAAAGAGCGAAATACTAACAACACATGATACTTGACTAACCCGAGCCTGTAATAAACTAGATAGAATTTACATGTCGTCGCTTCCAGTCTTCTTAATGGGGTCTCCACTGTGACCCCCAATTTGCACAGTTGGTTTTTGGTGAAGCCAAAAATTCGATTTCGTGGCATTAAGCTGGAGACCTCGCTGTTGCCAGCAGCATCTCTTCGTTCTTGTTCTATTTACACAGTTTGCTTGGAAACACAATTCGGAATTTTTATGAGGGGAACTTAACTTATAGCTAAGCTTGTCTCTGTACGTGCCTGCCGGAAGGTAAGGTGAGACAAAAGTCGGCCTTGAAGAGCCGCTTATCTCAATGGAAAGTGATAATACCTGCAGGTTTTATTATAAATTATAAAAAAATCTATTTGAGACTAAATAATCAGTTTAGTCTGCAAATATATATATTTATATTTACATTTAAAAATATTTTAAGCCGGGTGTAAGGCTTGAGCCACTAATAGGGAGTACGTTTCTATTTTATAAAGCTTTTTAGAAAGATATGTATAGATATCTCCCTAATCAGCGGCTAGATCTAAGCAGCGTACGATTCAGGTACCATAATATCTCTCTCTTATTACATGCTGATATGGGAATTCATTTCTAAAGGCATGCCTTTTACACAAGGAATCTATAATAAGACTTTTATCCAAATATCTTTTCAATTTATTTACAAAGATTGCGGGGGCCTAGAATTCTAAGATCCTAAGCACATTAACTAGCATCTAACACCTACAGGGTGTGGGGGTGGGGTTTGGTTTTAGTGTTTAGTATAGTGGAGAGACTCGTGTAAGGGGTAATACTAGTCGATCAGATATTTAGATTCGTCGTCGAACTCCTCCGAATCGAGCAGGTCGCCCACCAGCTCCTTGACGGATCGCACACTCTGGTAGCCATCGACGTCATCAAAGTCTGGCTGCGGCGGATAAGATTCGTGATGATTGGTGTCCTCCGTCGCCTCCGCTTCCTCGTTCTCATCCACAACGGCCCGGCCGTCGTCATCGTCCTCCTCGTTGAACATAAAGTCATTAGTGACAATGCATTCCTCGAGGACCTTATTCTGCTCGCCCAGCACTACGGAGTCCAGGGAGAAGGTGTCCGGCTTGCGTCCGGACAGACGCAGACTGCCAGCGCCAGCGCTGAAGCCAGATCCCATTGCTTCTCCATCTTCTTCAGTTAACTCAGCAGATCCCGAGCCACGGTGCTGGTCCATATGCGCCGACAGGTAACTTTTCTTGGTGAATCCCTTGTCGCACTTAGTGCACTGAAATTGCTTCTTCCCGGTGTGTGTGCGTCGATGAACGGATAGGACATGGGCGTAGGCGAATCCCTTGTGGCACACCTCGCACACATACGGCCGCTCGCCGGTGTGGATCCGCTCGTGCTTCTTGCTGCTGCCGAAGTCCGAGAAGCGGCGCTCACAGAACTTGCAGCCGTAAGGCTTCTGGCCGGTGTGGACGCGCATGTGACGACGCAGCTCCACGTTCGAGATGAACGCCTTCTGGCACACCTCGCACGGATACGGCCGCTCGTTGTTATGGCGTCGCATATGGGCATTCAGGGCGTGCTGGTACTTGTACGTGTTCCCGCACACGTCACAGATCTTCGGCGAGCGCTCTGACTGACGGCGCTTCGAGCTGGTCACCACCACCGGCTGGAAATCCTTATCTAGGTCGGAACTTGCATCTCTCCCACTGTCTTGCTTGACAATGGGCGAAACGCGGCGATAGGTACGCTTTCTCAGCTTGCTGGTTGCCTGGGCAGGTGGTGGTGGCGGCGGTGGTGGCAGCGACTGCGTGGGCAGCTCTTCCTCCATTATCGGTGTCTCTATTTCGTACAGATGCTCTGGCGTCTGGTCGTTATCCCAGGGTGCCAGGGCTAACAGCTTGTCTTCCGCCTCCTCATCACTGGAGGCGAGACTTTCTGGTCTCATTTTGATGGGATCGGTCTCATCGAGATCTGCTAGCGACAGGACCATGGCTTCATCCGGCAACAGGGTGACGGCGTCCGCCGTCGGCACCGCCGGCACAGTCTCTTCCTGCGATTCTTCTTCATCCACCTCCTCTACTATTTCCTGGTAGTATGAGGACTCGGCGGCCGTGGCCAGTGTACTGCACAGCGTGTCGCCGGACGCGCCAAGGGGTTCCATCTCAAGGCGCTTGATCTTTAGCGTGGCTGGCAGGCGCACCTGGTGCTGCTCCAGTTCCATCTTTAGCTGCATCTGCTGCTGCTGCTGGAACAGTTTCTCCACAGCGGCGCACTTCTCCCGGAAGCGATAGGCAACCGTTAGCTCGATGTAGCACTGTTGGCAGATCTTGTCCGGCCAACCCTCCATATGTGTGTAGGCGCGGCACTCCAGCTTTAGGCCGGTGCAGCTACGGATCTTCTCCAGAATGACCATGTTTGGCGGCTCCAGGTCGTGGCTGTAAACAGAGGTGCTGCCGAGCTCCTCCGTTAGGCAGACCAAGCAGGCCAGACCCAGGTCCACGACCCGCGACTCCAGGTTGTTTGGCATTGCTCGGATCAGGGGCTGAAGGACTAGCTCCTTGCTTCCTCAAGCTTTTGCCAGTTTCCGCAGAAGACGCAGACGACCAGAAAAAAATCAACAACTTGTGTTTTTCTTTGCGTTAGAGATGGGCGTTGCTTGTTTTTCGGTACCTGCCGCTCACGCGCTGCAATCGCAACTATCGGCTGGATCGTATTAGAAGTGTTTTAAAGTTCATATTCAAAGATTACCACAAACATGAACACCACAGACAAAATGTTTATTATTTAGAGATATTTAAAAATGGTAATATATAGTTCTTTTAAGAAGGGAAGCTGGAATATTTGCAATATCGATAAGAGAATATCGATGTCCGGAATGGCTCTGTCAAAAACATCGATAGGGCGATAAAGACATCGGTGGTTTGACAGCTTTTATCGAACTCGTTTTAATAATTTCTGCGGATAAGACCTGATTTTCTTTTGATTTCCCATATCTTTAAATATGGATCCATCTAGTCAATTGGACCAGGTTAGTCAGCACCTTTTAGACTTCTTCACCGTGCCGGCTGGCAGCGATGCACTGCCTCCGCTACGCGTGCGCCACTTCGGTGACACCATTCGCTACAACATCTTGGGTCTGACCGATAATGGAGACCTCAGCGTTTGCGCCAACGCTCGATTCTGGCAGACCGTTGTTGCCAAGCAGAGACGCCAGCTTCGCAGCGGCACGGATGACCTGCTGCCGGAGAACGAGGAGCTCCAGTCACTGATCGAGAACGCCGCCAAGTGGCGCTTTCCCCTCAAGGATGCCACTTCGTTGTCTACTGGGCGCTACACCCTGAGCTTTCAGCGACTTCCAATCATTGAATTCGTCCTTAAGAATGTGCTGTCTCAGGGCGGTGATTATGGACGGCGCCGCAAGACTGAGCAGTCGCCCACATTGACCTTGGTTCTTGAGAACGCTGGTGAAGGAGCAGGCGGGCTGCGCCACTACCGCTTGCAGGTAATCTATGATATTGTGCGTCGCCTGGTTGAGTACTCGCCTTGGCATCTGGTCGATTCAAAGGATGCGAAGAAGGACACACTCCATGTCCATGTAGAGCTTCAGAAATGCAGCCAGCCGGCGCTAAAAGATCACGTCTGCCTGGTCGCTGGACCCGTAGTGGAGCCTGTCCAGAAGACGGGCACGAAGCTGGCCCTGGACAGTTATTTGGAGTGAGTATGGACAAGATACAACATGTTTAGCTCCTCTTGCCATCAATAATATCATCCCGCTCATTCACACTTTGCTTCCTCTCTTTCTTTTTTGCTGGCAGGCTGCGCACTACGCACATGCGCCAAGTGGCCATGCACCGCAATGGAATTCGTCCCTCGGGCATCAGCAACATGGATACCTTGATGAAGCGTTTGGGGGCAGCTGCCGTCATTGTGGACCTGATCAGTGTGCGCCACCAAAGCGCAGTCACTCTGGTGCGGAATGGACTGGGAAGCTCCAAGGGCGCTTCGTACATACTGTACAATTCGGCGCGCTTGGAGACTCTGCTGCGCACCTTTGACGACAAGGTGAAGGCCAACGTGTATGATCCATTGCCGCCACTGGAGGCGATTGATTTCAGCATTTTGGAGGACGATGTGAGCTTGTCGGTATTCCTTTTAAATTTATTTCTAAATTCATGTTCTCCTCTTACTCCTAGTTGGATTGGCAGCTAATTTACGGGTATTTGCTGCCCTTCCCCGATGTACTCGAATCCCTGCTGGAGCAACTGCCGCAGGGCTCCTGCGGTATCCACAAGTTTGTGCGCTACATTGAGAATCTGGCCGGCGTCACCAGTCGCTACTACCGCCACAAGAAGGTACTCGTCCAGAAGCGCGAACAACTGTCACCAATCCTGTACGCCAGAGTCTATCTCATCATGACCGTGCGCCAGGTCCTTAATGTGGTGCTGGCCGTGCTGGGCATCCAGCCAGTTGACTACATCTAAATGAGAGATGCTCGATCCTGCTCTTAGCTTGTAATTGACTCGTAATGAACCGAATACTGTCGATCAGTATGAGGGGGTTACAGAAACATGAATGAAACCAATGTGATCTAATGACTAAGAATTTATATAACAACTCACCCCAGTTAAAAAAGAAGGCCATCAATGTAAACTGGAGTTTTTATGTGTTTTTAACACGGATCTCTTCTGCAAACTCCTGGCCTTCAAGAACTTCAACCTTTGCTAAATAAATACCCTTACTATTTAAACATAAATATAATCAATGTGTGAATATATAACTAGAAAAGTATTTTTTGGGAGAAACAAAAAGAATATTTAGTTTCGGCCTCCCTATTTTGAATTTCTGTTTATTTTAACGATATGTGGAAACTGCTGGCAAGTTGACAGTCCACTATTGTAACTATCGAAACCAAAACACCGATGCATTCATTTTGTACAAACATGAATATAACAAAGCTTAATACGTTCCTACATGCAAATTAGTACACTCGTCCATTTAATATTTTAACTGTTTTAATTTATTTACCTACGATATTGGAAATTTTAAAAATATCGCCCTCCAGCGGTAGTATCGATACGTTTACGATGTTTTGAAAACAATATCCCATCATCGATAGTATCGATAGTGTTTCGATGTTGCCAGCTAATACACAGTTTTCTCGAGTAATTTTCCAAGTGCGTTTAAAATAAATAAATCCTGCTTTAAAGCAGACTCAATATCTTTGACGTGGTAAGTACGCGCAATTGAAGGTTGTGTGCTTAAAAACAAGAAGTAGTTGTGGCTGTGACTGAAAGCGAAGAAAACATGTAGAAAATATGGAAGGCTAGGGCAAACAAGCAGGTCGCGGGGGTGGGAGGGGCAAGTGTGCGTGTGTATGTGTGGTAAGCTGCCTGCCGTTGTGAGTGCGAGAGTGTGAGTTCGTTGGAGCTGGATACATACAAACGGCATTTTTATGTATTCCCCCAAATCGTAAGCTTGTTTTACTGCTTGCTGAAAGGTAAACAATGCCGCAGACAGGAAATCGTGTTTGTTCGAATTAAAGGCTCATTACCGGGAGCCCAGACTAGACACTTTATCTAATCTTTGGCTGCAGAATCCTTGCCTCTGCCTCGGTTATTGTGTGTGTATGCACTCTGCGCAGCAACCGCTGCATTTGTGTGCACTCGACTCTTTCTCTCCCTCGCACTCGAACTCACGCTGACCCGCTCTCCCTCTCTCGCGCTGGCGGTGTTGCAAGTGCCAGTGCTTCGTTCTCGTTCTTATGCTTCCTATGCTCATTCGCTCTGTTACGTTTTAGCTGTTCGGTCGCATTTTCCGCTGCGCCTTTTCCGAAGCTGCAAGTGAAGCACACAGCAATTGTTTTCTTTTTTTTTGTATTTGTAAAAGTGTATTAAGACGAAAGAAGTGCCAAGCATAGTAATTAAATCACTCAAGGTTCGTGGCTGGAGTCTTAGCCAGGTAGAGAGACACCGCCGACATACATTTCTACCTGCGTCTAGATATCTCTTTCTCTCCTTTTAAGTGCGAGTGTGTGTGTGCTGTGAATGTGTGTGTATTTGTTTGGTATACGCAGCATATTTCGTGTTATGCTGCGGCATCCCAAAGCGGAAATGAGAAGTTTAAAGTTGAACAAGGAAAAGAAAAGCAAATAAAATCTGTGACTAGTCAGTGATTACCAGCAAGTCTGTGAGATATCTAAAAAAAAAATGGCGCTTCGCTTTGCCCGAACTCCGTTATGTTTTACCATACATAGTTTCTTCGTTCTCTCACACCAACACACGAACGGCGTTAACTGTTAAGCAAATTACTCATTTATGTACCCTCTGTCTCTTTCTTGCAGGTGTGGTGTAAAGCGCCTTAATCACCAAGATGAGTTACATGCCAGCCCAGAATCGGACAAGTAAGTATACTCCCACTCCAACTAAGCAACTAACAGTACTCCCCCGTCCCCCGCCCCGTATTGGATTTCACTTCCAAGAAGACTTGGCATCCATTTTGCACTCTAAACGGGAAAAGCGGATGGAAAAATACTTTTACGTCAAACACAAGTTTCCAGTTGAATTCAATGTGGGGTTTCGGCTTACCGCTCTCAAATGCACACACGACTTGGAGAAATTATAAACAAAATCAAGCCATGAAATGTTGACAGAAAGGATAATATTCAGATATAGTAATATTTAAAAACATAACACTGGATAAAGATGTATTTCTGAGTTATCCAGTGCGAGCTGTATAAATTATGTGGGAGATATATTACAACAATCTCCCTTTCGAATGATAATTGAAAAGGGCGGATTTGTTTGACAAATACTGCGACATCAATTATGGCCTTTGTATTGTGTCATTTGTTCTCAGTTTCTTACCCCTGCTGGTAAATGTTAGGTATTTAGGGTAACTATCATCCATCATCCACCCTGAAGGAATAATTGATGAACATTTATGTATGTACATCCACTTCTTGCAAGGTCTGCCCACATTTACATACTTGTTAATGCCCGAGCATACGCCACTTGGATGATCTTTTTTACAGCCACCACCAACAAGCGAAGGCCAAGGGGGAAACGGACTCAAAACCATATCCTTATATCAGTCAGAATTGTTCCTGCTCCTTTTGATTTTGCAATTTAACATTTTGTGCTAGCGCTGCTGAACGAAATGGAAGTTCCAGCTACCTCCTCCCTCTCACTCACTCGCTTGCCAGCGTGCTCCTTTTTGCCACTTCATTTGCAGTACCGTTACTCGTTACGGGTACCCTTTTGAAAGTTGATGCCCACCCACTCCCACTCACGCACTCGTGTACTTGCACGTGGCCAGCCCACACACTCACTCGTCCCGGCCTCTCTCCCGCTGTCCCTGTATCCCAATCTCATTTTCAACTCGGCTGCACATTTCTTATGCTTGCTTTTTTTTGTGTGTGCGCGAGTGTGTGCAGAATTTAATTAGTATGCGGCTGAGGCAGCAACTTCCACTTAAAGGCTCCTTGTTCCTTGTTCTTTCCTCTCCTCTGCTCTTATGCTCCTTAATCCCCAACCTCACTCCTTTTGAGTGCGTGGTCGCACTCGAGGGATAGGAACAGAGTCAAAGAGAAAGAGCGCTTAATCGATCTGGGAAATGAAACGAAATGGGATTTACAGTGCGGTTATACAGTAGAGTCTGCTTAAAAGGGAATACATGCTATAATTAGGAAATAATTACAAGGCTTAGAGGTTAATAGTTGCTGGTAATCCTCCTTCCCAGAGGGTATGAGGATACCGTAGCTTAATAATTAATAATTCATTATCATAGCCATATTCGTCTGTCCGGTCACCAAAGTCTTAGATACTAATAGAGGGCTAGGACACCTTGGGTTTAGTGTCTTATGATGTAGTCTCGAGTTTATGTAAAAAATGAATACATAAATAGTAAGTGATAATTTTCCTAAGGATTGCATTTCTTGCTCCCTTAGAGAATCTTTATTACAAGTCTTTTATATTATGATTATTCTTTGTATTATTAGTTAGAAATAAAACCTATTCTTATCCATTCTTCAGTTTTATAGCTTGACTGTGGCATTCAAGCAAACTCTTGCTCTTGGAGGAGGCAGGACCTCTGGGGGAGTTGCGACTCGCGAGTGCTATTTGCGAATGCAAATGCGAAAAATGCAAGAGGGGGCGTGGGCGTGGCTGTCTGAAATGAACTGTGTCCGCGCATATATCAAACAACAAAGGCGCAGGGCGGAGATGCTGAAACGAGGTCGGGGCATAATTAAGACTGAAGTGGCAAACAAAACGCCCCGCAAATCCATTCGAATCCAAATCCTTTTGCCAGGATTCTGTCATGTGTGAGCGCAACCCCCTTTTCAGCTTTTCAGTAGCCGCCACCTTTCTCTCTCTCTCAGTCTCTGAACTTTGCGGGAATATCCTGCAGCGTTCAATTTGTCACGCTTCAAAGTTTTCCCTTAGCACATTTTTTATAAATGCTGCTCGGGATGCTGCGATACTCACTTGCTCACTTTGCTGTCAGTCGCTGTCGTTTCCCATTTGGCCATCCTTTTTAGCTGAAAAAAAACGAATGAAAGAAGAAAATATGGAAATGGGTTGTGCAGCGGGTTAAAGAAGAGGGAATCAAGACCTAAATCAAATGCTGCTGGGATGCTGGGCTGCTGCACTCAGTCTGATGGCCATGTTCTGTCTATTCTTTCGCTTCAAAGGGTCCACATACACACAAAACGTTGAATATTAAAGGAGATGTAAAAGGCACAAAGAACCGATGCTTGAAATATTTTGAAGCAGGAACGGAAGCAGGGAAAATGTAATCCATTACAGCATCAGCGTCATCATCCGCGTCTTTAATCCATTGATGGAAACTCCCCCTCACTGATATATCTTTTCTCCCAAACTCACCTGCTATTGCATTGCCAAAGCGAAACCATTGTTTGTTAAACCATCTATACTTGCAGTGTCCCATAATAATCAATACAATCCGCCGGATCTGCCACCAATGGTGTCCGCCAAGGAGCAGACTCTGATGTGGCAGCAGAACTCGTACCTGGGCGACTCCGGCATCCATTCGGGCGCTGTTACCCAGGTCCCATCGCTGTCTGGGAAGGAGGATGAGGAGATGGAGGGTGATCCGCTTATGTTCGATCTGGACACTGGTTTCCCACAGAACTTTACACAGGATCAGGTGGACGATATGAACCAGCAGCTGAGCCAGACACGCTCACAACGCGTTCGAGCTGCCATGTTCCCAGAGACGCTGGAGGAGGGCATCGAGATACCTTCCACCCAGTTTGATCCGCAGCAGCCAACGGCGGTGCAACGTCTGTCGGAGCCATCGCAGATGTTAAAGCACGCGGTGGTTAATCTAATCAACTACCAGGATGATGCCGAGTTGGCCACCAGGGCCATTCCCGAGTTGATTAAGCTGCTGAACGACGAGGATCAGGTGGTGGTGTCCCAGGCCGCCATGATGGTCCACCAGCTGTCAAAGAAGGAGGCCTCCCGGCATGCCATTATGAACAGCCCCCAGATGGTGGCCGCCCTGGTGCGTGCCATCTCGAACAGCAACGATCTGGAGAGCACCAAGGCAGCCGTTGGCACGCTGCACAACTTGTCGCACCATCGTCAAGGTCTGTTGGCCATCTTCAAGAGCGGCGGTATACCGGCTCTCGTCAAGCTGCTCTCCTCGCCAGTGGAGAGTGTGCTCTTCTATGCAATTACCACGCTGCACAACCTGCTGCTGCATCAGGATGGCTCCAAGATGGCCGTCCGTTTGGCGGGTGGACTCCAGAAAATGGTCACTTTGCTGCAGAGGAACAATGTCAAGTTCCTGGCCATTGTTACCGATTGTCTCCAAATTCTGGCCTACGGCAATCAGGAGAGCAAACTGATTATCCTCGCCTCCGGTGGACCGAACGAACTGGTGCGCATCATGCGCTCCTACGACTACGAGAAGCTGCTGTGGACCACCTCGCGTGTACTGAAGGTGCTGTCCGTCTGCTCCAGCAACAAGCCAGCCATCGTAGACGCCGGTGGCATGCAGGCGCTGGCCATGCACTTGGGCAACATGTCGCCCCGTCTTGTGCAGAACTGCCTGTGGACGCTGCGTAATCTGTCGGATGCGGCCACCAAGGTGGAGGGTCTCGAGGCCTTGCTCCAGTCGCTCGTCCAGGTGCTCGGCTCCACCGATGTCAACGTGGTCACCTGTGCCGCCGGCATCCTCTCGAATCTGACGTGCAACAATCAACGCAACAAGGCTACCGTTTGCCAGGTGGGCGGCGTGGATGCCCTCGTCCGTACGATCATCAATGCCGGCGATCGCGAGGAGATTACTGAGCCGGCTGTCTGCGCCCTGCGTCACTTGACCTCGCGTCACGTCGACTCTGAGCTGGCCCAGAATGCCGTGCGTCTAAACTACGGTCTATCGGTGATTGTGAAGCTCTTGCATCCCCCATCACGCTGGCCGTTGATCAAGGCCGTAATTGGGCTTATTCGCAATTTGGCCCTTTGTCCGGCCAACCATGCCCCGTTGCGTGAGCACGGGGCCATACATCACCTGGTGCGGCTGCTAATGCGTGCCTTCCAGGACACAGAGAGGGTGAGTTTTGTATAGGAGGCCCCTTTTTTTTTATCAATCATAAGCTAATGAAACGATGATTCAATTGCAGCAACGCTCATCGATTGCCACCACTGGCTCCCAGCAGCCATCTGCATACGCTGACGGTGTACGCATGGAGGAGATTGTCGAGGGCACGGTGGGGGCATTGCATATCCTGGCCCGGGAGTCGCACAACCGGGCACTCATCCGCCAGCAGTCGGTGATACCGATCTTTGTGCGTTTGCTTTTCAACGAAATTGAAAATATTCAGGTAAGTCGTCAGTATGATATGGAAGCGAGTGATGCAGTAGCTAAAGATATATTTCGATCCCATAGCGCGTGGCTGCCGGAGTTCTTTGTGAGCTGGCCGCCGACAAGGAGGGCGCCGAGATTATCGAGCAGGAGGGTGCCACCGGGCCACTGACCGATCTGCTGCACTCACGCAACGAGGGCGTGGCCACGTACGCCGCCGCCGTGCTCTTCCGGATGAGCGAGGACAAGCCGCAGGACTACAAGAAGCGGCTGTCCATCGAGCTGACCAACTCGCTACTGCGCGAGGACAACAACATTTGGGCCAACGCTGACCTGGGCATGGGTCCCGATCTGCAGGTGCGTGCTTAGGCTAAGAGGAGGAGGAGTCTGCCTCCTCCTCACCCCCGGTTCAATTCGATTCAATCCCTTTCTTTCTTCTTGTGTTTCCGATTCGAATTCTTCTGATAATTAATTATCCCGCGCGAAGCGAACTTGTACATAAAATTGTAAATTTGTAGAAAAACTTAATCTAGTCAAGCATTATGTACTGGTATCTCTCAACCGTATCCGTATTAAGTATCGAGCTATATATTATCGCTATTACTTGGACTTGCTTACAATTTCGATAACGATTTCTTGTGGATTCTTGATTTAAAAATCGACTTTTATGTTGTATCCCACGTTTTATGTTCTTTATCGCTTCTCATCCGTTATGTATCCCACAAACTTCGATAGATCGTAAATGTTAGTCGATAAGTAGGTAGCAAGAGCATTTGGCTGTAGATGACCATTGATTACGATAACAGTGCCGATACCGATTAGTTCTCATCGTATTTTATCCCCACACAACCACACCAATCGACAACCACACCCCCCTCCCAACCCTTCTTCCCCTTGTACCCCACCACACCTTCCAAACCCCCCTCGTGCAAACAACCCCCACGAAATACAAACATATTTACATCAATATATGAATTTTAAAATTGATTTTTGTACATTCTTTGAATGTTCGCTACTGCGTTTGTTTTTAATTATGATTTTGTAATTAATTCACGTTTTTTTTATTTACTTTTCGTTCTTTTCTTTTTCCTTTATGTTTACTTTGTGTGTGTAAAACAAAAACCAAATCAAAACAAAACAAAAATCCCCACCACAACCAACACAACTGCAACGGTAAATGAACCGAAAACCAAAACCAATGACGGATAATCAATCACTGCACTCACCAACATCAACAACAACGCGACTCTCTCTCTCTTTCTGTCTCTCTCTACCTATGCCCCACCACTCGATCTCGCTCTCTCCCTCTCTCTTTCTCTTCCTGTCTACCACATTCACTTGCAAACAATCGTTTGCGCGTGTCTTCTCTTTCCTAACAACTTTTCACTTCTGATCCATCCCAACAACAACAACAACAATTAAATGTAAAAACGAAACTGTAAAAAATACATCACTCACGTACGATCACACACACATTACGCACCTCAACACACACACACACCGTACACCGACCAACCAACCAAACCAACCAAAACCGATAAACGAACACGATAAATCGATCGATCACAGGATATGCTTGGACCCGAAGAAGCATATGAGGGCCTGTACGGACAGGGTCCGCCCAGTGTGCACAGTTCGCACGGAGGTCGCGCATTCCATCAGCAAGGTATGTATGTTGTCATATGCATAAGAGAAGAGACCCCGAACCCCCCAGAAGAAGAACCCCGCATAACCCATCTCTAAAACAAGAACGAGCTTCAGACAATTCGATAAATCCTTGGGCGTCCTTGCCCCAGCCCCAGGCCCAACCCCCAGCCCGTGCCCGTGCCCGTGCCCGTGCCCGTTTCTCCCCCGCATACATTTAATCGTTATCGTGTCTCATCATTCAAATAAGCACCAATTAAAATCCAAGCAACAACAAAAATGAGAAATGTTAAGTTCACACCTAAATTTGCAGTGTGTGATAATTTCCCCGACCTGACCCCTCGCTAGAATCAACATCTTTATCTCTCCCTGCTCGTCAACCCGCCCCCCGGTTTTGTTAACCCCTACTTAATCTCGGAGTGCATGCAAAGGAAGTAAATGAAAATGACTTAATTTAGTGTGATCTTGAAAAATCCTTTCACAGGTGGTGAGGGAAAAACCTTACTAGAAACCGAACAAGAATATTTATCCTGACAGGTCCGGTTTCCCTTTCAAAGGGCAACCGGCTTTCATGTATTTAAAAAAAATACAGCATTCGTTAAATCGATTTTAATATCGTACTATTAGGTCCCGATTGTCGTCCTTAGTGCAGCGCCGCAAGACCAAGCTTACAAGTTTTGAGAACTTCACACTCACACACAAATACACACTCCCACCCACACAAACGGGATCACGAAAACAGTTAAAAACACACACTCTTTTCACTACCCACACATAACAGTAAAATGGAATCCTGAAATGATATCCTTAATATCCGAAACCAGAAGACTTCCTGTCTCGGTCTATCCTTCTTTCTCTTTCATTCTCCTGCTAACCTCCAGCCAGGATAGCGATATCATCGATTGGACCGATAATGATGAAGCAACGACTACATTTTTTGATTATTTCCAAATATTTATCCTTTCGTTTACAATATATATATTTCGTTTTGGTTTCTCACTAGAAGCGCATCCTAGAATTCACGTTATCTCATCAAAAAGCAAAGAAGATTAAGTTTGCATGTCACGTAGCCAGCGATTATCGCATAGAACTATTTACTAGTTACTTTTATTCGTATAGATCGTGTATATATATTGCATATATCTCAATATATAGTTTGTAAGACGTGAGTGCATGCAGATTCGAACTCGAGGGCGAACTCGAATTAAATTATGTGATTATAGTTTCTAGAATATATATTTAAGCGACATTCAAAGAATGGTTTATGTTGTTCGATATCCCTAGGTTATTGTGTGGACCAGAGCTTCTGCATAACTGGAACCAAAGATGACTAAATATTAAAATATATTTATTAATAAGAATATTGTAGTACCCCTTCATAATTACCTTGTGTTGGTTCCACTTGTGCAGAGAGCTCCGTGACTCCGGATCATCATCTGTCGACGGCAGATACACATATGAGTGGAGCTGCTAGGAAACTAACGAATCCTTTTCAAACCCCGTTTACTAATCATCAATTTTTCGCCCTATTTTCTCCTCTCTTTTTGTTCCATTTTGTCCGCAGGATATGATACTCTACCAATAGATTCAATGCAGGGTCTAGAGATCAGCAGCCCGGTGGGCGGCGGCGGCGGCGCTGGCGGAAATGCTGGCAATGGCGGAGCGGTTGGTGGTGCTGGCAACGGCGGTGGTGCTCTCGGTGCCATCCCGCCCAGCGGCGCACCCACATCGCCCTATTCCATGGACATGGACGTTGGCGAGATTGATGCCGGTGCATTGAACTTTGATTTGGACGCCATGCCGACGCCACCCAATGACAACAACAACCTGGCTGCCTGGTACGATACCGACTGTTAGACGACACCGCTAAGGGTAAGGGAGCCCGAGATTCCATTCGGCTCCCCAAACACACACAAAAACACAGACACACATGCGAATATCCCCGTCCCCTACCCCGGCATTATAGCCCTCTTCCACCGGCTGCCTTCTGGACTGAAGCAAAAGGACGACGACGTGGGATGGATCACGGTTAAGGGATCCATCGATTTGATGAGATCAACGTCATGTGTTGATTTTACTTGGCAAAGACGAAGGGGACGCTGCTGTAACTGGATGGAGGATGAGGAGGCACAGAAGGCACTGCCAGCGGTGGAAGAAGGCTATTATTCACACAACACCCACCCCCAAGCACACACTCTTACACAACGCATACTTGCAAAATACATATATATTAATTATAATGCGAATGCAGCTGCAAAAAGAAAAATATTCTATGACTACATATTATCCTCATAAACGAAATGGAAAAATTAAACAAATGTTTGCAATAGAACTCGTACATTTCCTTCACATCGTGTCCGTATTTTTATTTATTGTGATGTGAACCTGAAAGTGGGAATAGTAGTAGCTACAGAGCAGGATAGTTTAATACTGTGTGTTTCATGCATCTGATATGTGACTTAAAGAACCCTGTCCTTGCATCCCACGGAGACTGGCCAGGACATACCCCAAGAGCTCATCTAACATGTGTGTAAAAAGTGCAGTCGAACCGTTTAACAGTTTAACAAAGAATTGTTTATTAATCAGTAAAGGTTAAGGGGAACAAATAAAGGGAACATCCTACAAGTGCTTGCCAAACCACTTGTGATCGACGGGCGACAGCCACCTATGGCAGCCGTTGAGGTTGTTCTGGATGACGTACTTCATCGTAAAGGGATTCTCGTTGGTTCGCGCATGCTCCTCCTCCGCCGCCTTTTGCTCGTCGAGCATCTCCTGGGAAACGACAGCGGCCTGGAAGGGCAACTGATTGGCCACTTGCTGCAGGAAGTTCTTTACCTCCACGAATTCGCACTTGCCGGCGATTTCGACAATAACGCGGCCAGCCTTGATGGGAGTTACGTAGTGATCTATGGCGCCTTTGCCACCACCCATACGCTGGCCCTGTCCCTTTTTGGTGATCGGCTGCCAGGGAGCTGGTACGCGCCAGGTGGCAAACATGGTGTTAACATTCATTTTCCGGCCGATGGTCAGACGCATCATCTCGTAATGGCCCCAACGGAGGCGGCCTCCGCCCGTGGCCACGATGGCGTACTGCTTGTGAAGCAGGCTGTTGTGCACTGTTTCTGGGCCGCGCATGTAACGCAGTCGCTTCTGCATCTTAGGCGGACGGATGTTAGGCGGCAGTTGGGGCTGGCGCTCCATGATCCTTAGCTTCGGTCGCTCCGGCTGCTCCACATCTGTTGGTAAGATATTATTACTGCATCTACGAATATACATGATATATAACTTTACTTACTCTTGTATTTAATAGGCGGAGCAAAGTATTTGAGGCCGGCCGTATTGACCACAGCAATGTTGCCCGCTACAAGCCAATGGAAAACGTGAAAATTTCAATATCCTCTATGCCGGGAAGAAAGAAAAGGCATTACTTACTTGCCAGAGTCTGCTTGAAAAGCTGTGTGGCAGTTTTCAGAGCCAACATCGCGGGTTTTTATTAAAAACTTGCAATATTTCCAAAATAGTTTAATAAAATGTGTTGCATCAACAATAAGCAGGGTTGCCAGCGTTGAGGAAGTTGCAGTGTGACCGTTTCGGCAACAAGTGCCACTTTAAGTTGTAACTATCGGATCAGTACTGGAAAATTACATTTTATTTGTTTTTTAAAAATGTGTGGAATATGTATTAAAGCTTTGCTTCAAAAACATTCTTAATTCGATTTCATGAGATCTTAAACAATGACGTTAAGGGAAAATGTAACTTATTTCATTCATACATTTAATAAATTGCTAGTTATTCAATGGTGTAATCAACTGAGTTTTAAATAATTGTTAAATAATTTTGACCAATAGCTGCTCTGTATATAGTGTTTTGAGCTCTCAATGTATTTTAATATATGTATTTCGAATCGACTCACCAGTATTTTCAAAAATTGAGATTTAAAAGTATGGGTACTCATGGAAACATAAAAATATCATAAAAAATTAAAAATTTATTTTCTGCATCTCACCTAATGAGCAGAATTATAGATAATATACCAAAATATATGATTTTTGTGGTAAACACTCTACACATTGGTAATTTAATAATTTCTAGCTAAATTAAGGTTTTCCCTGTACCGATAATCGAAAGCAATCGATAGTGACAGGCAGGTTCATTTAATCGATATGTGATATTATCGATAGTGTCATCAATGTTTTTTCAGCTCTACTACCTACACGAAAATAAATTTTTTTTGACAAATCGTGCATGTTTTCGCTACTTAAACCTAATATTCGCCGTGTTCGTAGTCCCATAGTGGGACGCTCGTCCGCCCCGTCCCACGTAACGCATCGCTTCCAGCGCATAGCGTTCCCACTTGTCTGTTTGTTATGAATATATCGAAGGTGACAACATCGCTTGGTGCCGCCGAAAAGGCGAAACCCGAACGTGTGGCCTCTGCGGCGGTGGCCGCCTTCAGTGCGGTGAGCATCCAAAAGCGCGGCGGTGGCGCCGATGATCCTGCGGAGGATTCGACACGCAAGAAGGCTAAGACAGAGCTGCTGCTCGGAACGCCCAGTGCAGCGCCCAGTTTGCCCGCCAAAGCGGTGGCCCCGCCACCGTCGCAGCAGATTCTCTACCAGCGCGCTGGCCAGCAGGTAAAGGCCCAGCAGGTCCAGGTCCAGTCCCAGCCCAAAATTGCGCTCGACACGCAGGACGCGCAGGCGACAGGCGGCCAGGAGGATGGCGCCTGGGACGCACGCGAACAGCAGCAGCAGATAATAGTGTGCAATTTCGGCTCTGGTGCCGAGATGAGTGCAATTAAGACGACGGAGGATGCCACCGACAAGCAGAGTAAGTGTTCTCACCTTACCCATCAGTCAGAAGTGCCAACCTCACATTAACCCTCTAAATCTCGCCCTGCACAGACTTCGCCAGCTTTACCAAAAAGGAGGCCGCCTCATCCTCGTCCTCTTCCTCCTCATCCACCGCCTCCATCATCTCAATTGAGCCCAGTGGCTCTGGCCAGGATCATACAGAGAATCCAGGCAAGGCGGAAGATCTCGACTACGTGCTAATGCCAGCCGGCGGCGGAGATAATGCGGTGGCCACGGCCTCAGCCCCGGGCACAACAGTAACAGCTGTTAGTAATGCTCCAACTGGAGCTGGAACCACATCCACCATCATACTGAATGCCAATAACAATGGCGCCACAGGTGGCGGGACTGGAGGCGCCACTACCGCCACCACCACCATTCTCACGCAGAAGCCCGGCCAGAGCAACTACAACATATTCAACACAACAGTCACGGGCAGCCAGACGGGGCAGCCCACGACGACGCTACTAAATCGCGTGAACCTGCACAATAAGATGAAGACCACCCAACTGGTGGTCAATGCCAAGAAGCTGTCGGAGGTGACGCAGACCACGGCCAAGGTGTCCATTGGTAACAAGACCATATCAGTGCCACTGCTCAAGCCGCTGATGAGCGGCGGGGCGGCCACAGCCGGCGGAGCGACAATTGTCGAGAGCAAGCAGCTTCTGCAGCCAGGCGGCCAAGTGACCACCGTTGTAAGTGCCGCTCCGACACTGGGAGGCGGCGGCGGCGGGCAGCAGGGCCATCCGCACGTCCACCCGCATGCGCATCCACATCAGCACCACAACTTCACCAAGCTGATCAAGCGGGTGCCCAAGAACACTGGCGGCACCATCGTTTCGTTCTCCGGCCTGCAAATCAAACCCGCCACCACCAAAATTGTGGCCGCCAAGGTGGTCAACAAGAAGATGGCCCTACCGCTGCAGATGCAACACCAGCACCAACAGCAGCAGCAGACGCACCAGCTGCAGGTGACCAGCGGCGGGGGCCTGGCTCCAGCCACCGGCAGTATAGTAACCATCACAACCACCAATCCCAGCCAGACGTTTGCGATGGTCCAGGAGGCGTCGGCCACGGCATCGGTGTCGTCCGTGGCGGGAGCATCTTCGTCCGAGGACGATGCTGCGACTCCGCGCAAGATAACAGCGTACAGTGAGAACATCCAGAAGATCCTCAACAAAAGCAAGTCCCAGGAGGCCCAAGAAGAGTTCGCCAACATCAATAGCGTGGTGATTAAGCCGCTGGACAAGAACACACTCAACTGTCCGCCCGGCTTTAACATCTTCAAGCAGCAGCAGCAGCATCAGGTTCAGGGGGCTCAAGGACAAGCAAATGCCGCTGGAGGAGGCGGGACACCCGTGACGGTGACCATGACTAGTGCCTCAGATCTGGGAGCCACCTCTTCCACCGTCTCCGTGTCGGCGGGCACCATTTGCATCAACAGTCCGGTGATGGGCTCACGACCCATTCTCTCCATTCAGAACAAGAACATATCCCTGGTGCTGTCCAAGACTACGATGGCCCAGCAGAAGCCCAAGATGATCACCACCACCACCACTATGACCAGCCAGTCGGCGCTGCAGATGCACCATGCCCTCGTTCAGGATGCCAGTGCCGCGGACAAGACCGGGCAAGGAGGAGGATCATCGACCAGCGCGGGAGCTGTTTCCGTTGCTGCTGCTGGTACTCCTTCTGCGGGTGGTGCTCCTGCTCCCATGCAGCTGAAGCTAACAACGCTGGCCAACAATGCCGCAGCCACCAAGCTTAGCGTTGGCCTGGCCACCGAGGGCGGAGCCAAGCTGGAAGAGATTGTCGGCGGCGAGCCAAAGGTTAAGCTGGTCAAGCAAGAGGTAGCGGTGAAGGAGCCAGCAAGTGCAAGTGCCACGCCCAGTGACCAGGAGCGTACCGAGGAGATGGGCACGCCAGAGAAGCAACGCCTAAATGCCAACAGCACAATGACTACCATCAACCAGGCGCAAAATCAGACTCAGAATCAAGCTCAGGTAGCTGTAGCTTCCGCACCCACTCCTGCGCCTCATCCAGTTAATCCTCCAGTGGTCGTCAGTGCTAGTGCAACGCCAACAACTGTAAACAGCAACCAGCGCACGGGATCGGAGGATTCAAATAATGCCCTGCTCAAGCAGCTGCTGCAGAACAGCAGCAGCAGCCACAGCCTCAACCAGATAAGCATCACGTCTGCTCACGTCGCCGGTGCCTCCGCCTCGTCGGCTACCCTCTCCGCCCGCAAGGTGATCAATGTACGTGCGCCCAGCATGGGAAAGGTCAGCAGTCTGGAGGATCAACTGGCACGTCCGGTCATACCGCCGGTGCCCACGGCCACTCCACCAAGTAACACTAATACCGGTGGATCTGTGGCCACGCCCACAACTACCACCACTGGACAACAGCAGGTGCCCACCGCTTCCCCGGTGGTTGGTACTGCAGTATCCACGGTTGTGATTGCGAATGCAAGCGGAAACTCAGGAAGCGGGACATCCAGCGGGAGCGAACCGAAGCTGGAGCAGAAGAACGAGCAGCCGCAACCGGTGGTGGTGGCCACCATTCAGAATCAGAACCAGGTGCCAGCGCAACACCCACATCCTCAGGCACAGTCACATCTACAGGCACCAGCACCTCCCCAGCAACAGCAGCAGCAATTGCAGGTGCAGCTGCAGCCACCGCCGCCACCACCACCGCATCAGGTCAAGCAGACCGTCCAGATTGTGTCCAAGGAGACGTCCTTCATCTCTGGACCTGTGACGGCCAACAAGCTGGTGATTCCGGATAATACAAGCAAGCCCGCAGAACAGCTCCTGGCCCCACCATCCTACGAACTGGCCACTGCGCCTGTATCCAATGTCACCATCTCGATATCCACCAAGCAGCCGGCGACCAAGGAGCTGCAGCAGATGAAGCCCAAAGCGGTGCCGATGGACCAGGGCGAGGAGTCGCTGTCAGCGGAGCAAGGAGAGCAGCTGCCGCATCCGGAACAGAGTGGCGGAGCAATCATGGCGGCGGCGGGAGGAGCGCTTGTGACGGCAGCGTGGACAAACAGCAATCATTTGGACACAACGAATGCCCTGGGAGCAGCCACCAAGATGTCCTTTAAGCCCGGCGAGGCCCAGAAACGCAAGCTGCCCATGCATCCGCAGCTCGACGAGAAGCAGCTTCAGATTCAGCAGCATCAGCAACAGCAGCAACAACAACAACAACAACAGCAGCAGCAGCAGCAGCAACAAGTGGAGCTCAACTCATCTATGCAAGTAAATCAACCCACGGCAGGAGCAGAAAAGGTACAACTGGTTAGCTACGTGAAGAAGTCCGCTGGAGGAGCCGAGCAGATGCAGCTACAGCCCATGCAGAGCCAGGGTCAGGTGCAGATGCAGGCCCAAATGCAGGCGGCCATGCAGGGACAACTGACGGGGCAGATGCCAGGACAAATCCCAGCACACATTACCGGACAGATACCCGCCCAAATGCAGCTCCAAGTGCAGCAGCACCAGCTACAGGTCGCCGTGCATCCTCAGCAGCATCCCCAGCATCAGCAGCAGCATTCTCAGCAACAGCAGCAGCTCCAGCACCAGCACCAACATCAGAACCAGCTCCAGCACCAGCAGGCCGGCACGGTTTCGGTGCCAATTCCGATGCCCGGAACTGGTGCCGTGCCCACCATGGAGCCCAAGGCTGGGGATCAACGAAAGCGGCGCAAACGGGAAGTTCAGAAGCCGCGACGCACGAATCTAAACGCCGGCCAGGCAGCCGGAGCTCTCAAGGACCTAACCGGCACCCTGCCGGCTGGTGCCATGGTTCAGCTAGCCGGTATGCCACCGGGAACGCAGTACATCCAGGGCGGCGCTGCCGGCACGGGTCACGTAATCAGCGGCGGCGTCACGATTGGCGGCGGCGGTGGTGGTGGATCAGGAGCGGGAGCCGGCGCTTCACCGATGCTGAAGAAGCGAGTGCGCAAGTTCTCCAAAGTCGAGGAGGACCACGATGCATTTACTGAGAAGCTGCTCACGCACATCCGCCAGATGCAACCGCTGCAGGTCCTGGAGCCGCATCTCAACCGCAACTTTCACTTTCTTGTCGGCAGCAACGAGGCGGCCGCCAGTGGCGGAGGCTCACCCTCCACCAATTCCGGTGGAGCCAACTCTGGGTCAGCATCTGCCGCTAGCGGTACAGCGTCCTCATCATCATCTTCGTCGGCTGGCGGTGCTGGAAAATTAAAGAGCGCATCCCTCAACAACCGCGGCTGGGCGCTCGGACGACACTTGGAGGGCCTGGAGGACTGCGATGGAGCCATCCTTGGACGCTATGGCCGCGTGTGCCTGCCGGGGATACCTTCGCTTTACGACAGTGACCGCTTCGGTGGAAGCGGCGGCCTGGTGGGTGGATCGGCAGCCACCAGATCGCCCTCGCCATCGCTATGTACGGACGTGGAGAAGACGCTACCGCTGTCCAGCATACAGAATGACTTCTACGACCAGGAATTCTCCACGCACATCGAACGGAATCCTCGCGAGCGCCTGCAGCGTCACATTGGCGCCGTCAGGGACTGCAATATGGAGACCATTGAGCTGGTGGAGGGCGAAACTGTGGCAGCGTGGGCGGCCCTGCCCCGGCTCTCCCGCTACCCGGGTCTGATAATCCTTAATGGGAACAGCCGATGCCACGGCCGCATGTCGCCGGTGGCCCTGCCAGAAGATCCAATAACCATGCGCGTGCCCGTGTCGCCACTGCTCCGCTCCTGTGGCGAGGAGCTGCGCAAGGCCCAGCAACTGGAGCTGGGCATGTGCATGGGATCCTTGGGCAATAACAACAACAACAACTACCAGCAGAAGAACCAGAACGTGATACTCGCACTGCCCGCCTCCTCCACGGAGAACATAGCCGGTGTACTGCGGGATCTGGCCAATCTGCTCCACCTGACGCCCGCCCTTACCTGCAAGATTATCGAGGACAAGACGGGCAGTGGCAGCGCCGACAAACTGGGCGAGGATACGGCTATGGAGCAGTCGCAGGAGTTGGACGAGAAGCACAAGGACGACTTCAAGCGGCCACTGAACATCAGCCATGGCCACCTGCGCAAGATTCTCAACGGGCGCCGCAAGCTTTGCCGCAGTTGCGGCAATGTGGTTCATGCCTCCGGTCTGCGAGTGCCACGACACAGTGTTCCGCCGCTGGAGGAGCAGCTGCCGCGCCTCGCCCAACTGATGGCAATGCTACCGCGCAAGTCACCGCCACCGCCTTTCGCCTACTTCTGCGACCGCTCTTGCTTCGCCAAGTTCAAGTGGAGCGGTGGCAAAGAGGGCCAGGCGGCGGAGGCGGCCAGCCTGCTGCTTCAGCCGGCAGGCGGTGGCACCAACTCGTCCAGCAATGCCCCCTCCTCGATGGATTCGCCCAGCACCAACAGCAGCAGCGGTGGCAACGGGTTAGCGGCTGTCGCCGAGACGGTTGTCAAACAGGAGCCAGAGGATGAGTCGGACGTAAAGCAGGGAATGTCCGGCAACCCGCCACAGCGCAAGTGCATCGTCAAGTGCTTTAGTGCGGACTGCTTTGCTCCCGAAACCACGGCCATCAAGCTGGAGTTTGACGGAGCAGCGGGAACTGGCACGGGAGCAGTTAACAACACAGTGTGGGAAACGGAGGCTAGTGGACAGCAGCAGCAACAGCAGATGGAAGACACCAGGCAGTGTGTGTTCTGCAATCAGCGGGGTGATGGCAAGGCGGACGGACCCTCGCGACTGCTTAACTTCGATGTGGACAAATGGGTGAGTAACGAGAGTCGATGGTTCTTCTTGTTCATCATCTAATCAAATCTTCACCCTTCCTGCAGGTTCATCTCAATTGCGCTCTGTGGAGCAACGGCGTCTACGAGACGGTATCCGGGGCTTTGATGAACTTCCAGACAGCGCTGCAGTCAGGCTTGAACCAGGCCTGCAGTGCCTGCCACCAGCTGGGCGCCACCATCAAGTGCTTCAAGTCGCGCTGCAATAGCCTGTATCACCTGCCCTGTGCCATACGCGAGGAGTGTGTCTTCTACAAGAACAAGTCCGTCCACTGCAGTGCCCATGGTCATGCGCACTCAGGACTGGCTGGCGGAGCGGGCTCTGGAGCAGGGTCCGGTTCCACGGCTGCCAGCGTGGCTGCTACGGCGGCCGGAACCGAGAATGAACTCAGCTCCCTGGTTGTGCACCGGCGGGTGTTTGTCGATCGCGACGAGAACCGACAGGTGGCCACCGTCATGCACTACTCGGAGCTAAGCAATCTGCTACGTGTGGGCAATATGACCTTCCTCAACGTGGGCCAGCTTCTGCCTCATCAGCTGGAAGCCTTTCATACCCCCCATTACATCTATCCCATTGGCTACAAGGTGGTAAGTAGACCGTGCTCCAAACTGTTTAGTAGATCTCTGTCTCATATCCTTTGTTCCCCTTAAACAGAGTCGGTACTACTGGTGTGTGCGGCGACCGAATCGGCGGTGTCGCTATATTTGTAGCATTGCCGAGGCCGGCTGCAAGCCCGAGTTCCGCATCGTGGTGCAGGACGCCGGCGACAAGGAGCCGGAGCGCGAGTTCCGCGACAGTTCACCGTCAGCGGTGTGGCAGCAAATTCTCCAGCCAATCACGCGGCTACGCAAGGTGCACAAGTGGCTGCAGCTCTTTCCGCAGCACATTAGTGGTGAGGATCTCTTCGGCCTGACGGAGCCGACTATAGTCCGGATACTGGAGAGCCTGCCGGGGATCGAGACACTCACCGACTACCGCTTCAAATACGGACGCAATCCGCTACTGGAGTTCCCTCTGGCTATCAATCCATCGGGAGCGGCAAGAACGGAGCCCAAACAGCGGCAGCTACTCGTCTGGCGGAAGCCGCACACGCAGCGTACGGCCGGTAGCTGCAGCACCCAGCGGATGGCCAATTCGGCGGCCATTGCCGGCGAGGTGGCCTGTCCCTACAGCAAGCAGTTTGTCCATTCGAAGAGCTCGCAGTACAAGAAGATGAAGCAGGAGTGGCGCAACAACGTGTACCTGGCCAGGTAAGACCACTCAGACCCTCTTCTAGTACATAGTCCTAAGGTTCCTCTTTCCTTCGCAGATCCAAGATCCAGGGTTTGGGTTTGTATGCCGCCCGGGACATTGAGAAGCACACAATGATCATCGAGTACATAGGCGAGGTCATTCGCACTGAGGTTTCCGAGATACGCGAGAAGCAATATGAGTCAAAGGTAGAGTATTGCCATTAATGAACTATCTAACTCCTTATCTATCATTAACTTCTCCGTTCTTATAGAACCGTGGCATCTACATGTTCCGGCTGGACGAGGATCGGGTGGTGGATGCCACCTTGAGCGGCGGCTTGGCGCGCTACATCAACCATTCGTGCAATCCCAACTGCGTGACGGAGATCGTAGAGGTGGATCGGGATGTGCGCATCATTATATTCGCCAAGCGGAAGATCTATCGCGGCGAGGAGGTAAGATTACGGAGTGCTGGTGCAAAAATCTCTATATATATCGCGATAAATCGATATTATATTGATATATACATTTCTAACTGGTCCCTTCTTGTCTCTCAGCTCTCGTACGATTACAAGTTCGACATCGAGGACGAATCGCACAAGATCCCGTGCGCCTGTGGGGCACCCAACTGTTGCAAGTGGATGAACTAAGTAGAACTAAGGAGGAGCTATTCAAACTGGAGGAGGAGCATCGAAGCTCCGCGCCCAGTGAACACAGGAATTGTTATAATCTGATCGATTAGGTAGAATCACGCTAAGCAGTATAAAGTAGAGACCGTGTACATATATATATATATATATTCAGATCCAGGTGCTCATGCATATATATATATATATATTCAGATCCAGGTGCTCATGCATATATATATTTATATATATGAGAGCCTAGAGCCTTGTAAGTTATGTATATCAACGATAAGAATGATGATGATGATGATGTGCCCACTGTAGCTAATTTTGTAATCCAAGGAAGGAGCGGAGTCAGAAAGAGAGTGTTTCATAGTTTCAATTGAACGATTGCCATCGTTGCCCCATCTACATAAAATATATATATACATATATAGAGAGAGAATATACATAAATGTTAATGCTAGGACATGACCGCCGCGCGCCCCCTTGTAATGTAATCCTCCTCGCAATCAAAAACTCCACAACCCTCATCCACATTTTCGAAATAATCGTGAGATAAACAGACCGATCGTTGGCCAACCCAAACTTGACTTTATGCGTGTGTGCCTTCCCCTCTCTGTTTATCATTATTTTTATTATTAATATCATTATCATAGTTATAGTTATTTTATTTTTTCCCCCATTTTTTCACGTCTTTTCTTCTATCGACGCAAGGAGCAGACATTTAAGATGAAAGCTTGCTTTGTTTCTCAAGCGGCATAGTAGTATTTGAAAAGTGTACAATCTTCTTTCACAATATATATACATATATGTAAAAATATATATATGTATATATATATACGCTGATTGGTAGATGCATATTTTTATTTTATATTATTATTTAACTAGTTTTGCAATTACGACGTACGTTTAAGCATTACAACTAACTCCAAGCAAGTGTATTTTTCATCCCCATTAATTTAAGTAAACTTTTATGCCACCATTTTAATTAAGTACCATTTTTTATTCTATAGCATATGGGTTTTCTTTGCTAAATCTGCCTAAACACGAAGATAAATCCTATAAAGAGCGGTTTTCCAATGCAAGAACAAAACCTATACATTGCCGGGAACTAAAACCTTATGCTCTGGATTACAAAGACGAGAGATATGCAAACTTAACTCGGGGATTGTTTATGTTCTAGACTTCAATAACAATTAAACAAATGGGAGTCTACGGCTAGAGGCTACTGTCTATGATCGTGGCTTGGCACGCGCCACAAGGCGCTGCAGCTGTACACCGGCGGCCAAAGTGAGGATGTCGAAGTTCTTGAGGTACCAGGAGATGTTGTACATCAGGTGGATGCGCCAGTTCTTGTCCAGGAACGACTTGTAGAACTCACTCATCTGGTCCGCGGAGACCTCGTCGGTGCCGATCTCCTTGTGCAGGCGCACAAAATCGTCCTTCTCCTGTGTACCAGCGAAAAAGAAAGAGACGGCACGCATTAGGAAGAATGTACATAATGCGCTCATCCCTTCATACCTCATAGAAGCGCTTGTTGTGCCGCGTCCAAAAGTCCACGTTCCAGGCCTCCACCTCGGTGCGTTTGAGCCGCAAACTCCTCGCCAACGGCGTCTCGCTGTCGTCATAGTGACGCACATATGGTCGCAGGTTGGACTGGGTATCCGGTGGACCAATGTAGTCACATTTTATGTCCTGCGGATCGGGCTTGTTAGCCAGCCCACTGCCACCGATGGCCGCCGCCTTCTCGGGTCCCGCAGGTGATGACTGCGCGGCGGCATAGCAGCGGGATAGCTGCTTGGATCCAAGTAGAATATTTCAATTAGATTCAGTGGTTGATCTGTTAAGACAGGCACTCACTTGTGTAAACAGTAGCCGGCGGTGGGGCTGGCTTTTAATGCATTTGTTCATTGTATCAAGTTAATTGGAGATTTGTTTTTGTTGTTACGTTATGTCAGCAGAGGGACCAAAGCTCAGTCCCAAAAATATACCAACAAGGGGACAACAAAATACTGAAAATATTGTGGCACGAGCTTTGATTCATCGATTCTGGCTGTCCCATCTCTAGCTGTCCCGTGACAATAGGAGTTTACAAATAAAAATATAAGAAAAACAGCTGAACTGGAAAATAACAAACAAAAAGCACAAGTGGCGACGGCAGACAGTCCAGCAGGCAATATGTCACCGAAGAACAACCACGATCCCACCTCATCAGGCGAATCAGGCAGCGCCAACGTCCAGGAGGCGGATCTGCAGGGTGAGTTTAGTTCGTTTTTGGTCGAAACAAAGCTTGTCGAGATTGCCTCACTTATGTGGTGCCTCTTGCAGAGATGGAGGATGTGAACCAAAGTCTGGACGAGCTCAGCTGCGCCCTAGATGCCGTGGAACAACGCACGGACGACATTATGTCGCAGCTCCGCGAGCTGCTCAACTCCAATAGGGAAATCCGCCGCTTGCTGGCCGAGGAGAAGGACAATGCGGCGCAACCCGAGGACGACAACATGGAAGGTCAGTCGGGCAACGAGAACGAGGCCAAGTAGTGGCCACCTGACCACCAGTTATTTGTTTGTTTTGAGCACCCATATCCCTTATAATTGTTTCGTTTTTTGTATCATGTATTATTGTTTCTTAATCTCTAAGTAAACGTAAATGAAAGCATCTCTAAGGACTAGTTCTGGCGCGGCTTCTTTCGCTTCGTCTTGATCGCAGGTGACTCCCTCGGCGACGTCGCCGAATCATTGTTGGAGACGTACTGGAAAATGATTTCAAACATTCGCTTGGACTCCTCCTTGAGCCGTTTATTCTCCTCCAGCAGCTTCTGTACATCAACGCCATTGGCTGTCGCAGTTGCGTCCTCCACGGCCTCGTCCGCATCCTCTTCCGCTTCGTCTGCATCCTCTTCCTCCTCCACGGCGTCCTCTTCCTCCTCTACGACGGCCTCCTCATCTTCATCTGCTGCTTCGGCTTCCATATCCTCTACTACTTCAGACTCTACTTCCTCCGCATCACACTCATCCTCTGCCTCATCCTTGTCGTCTTGGGACTTGCCCACATACATAGACGCTATCAGCTGGCGTAGTATTTCCGCATCTGTGCCCGGGTAACTTTTCGTCAGGTCCAGTTCAGGCGATTTTCGTCCTTTGGCGTACTCTTCGGTGACTAGCAGTTCGATGTAATCGTCCTTGGTGCGTGGGGTGATCATTCGCTTTAGAGTGTCGGCAAACGGTTGAGTGTGTTTGTGCTCCGGCAGAAACACTGCGGGAGTAAGCAGGCGGACGCACAGGTTCGTCACTGGGCCATTCTGGGGCAGGGTTTTAATAAGCTGGCGGCTGCCCACGTCCCAAACGCACACCTGGTTGTCCTCGCCGCCGGATACGAGCGATGTTGAGCTCATATTCAGAGCCAAATTGGTGATGGCCTTACCAGCGGTGTGGCCCACGAAGGCTTGCAGCTCATCCTCCTCCACATGGTATTCCTGCGAGAAACGGGAACGACAAGAGATTAATATTAACAGGATACAGCCGACATAGTTGCACTCACCTTCATGCGCGGCGCTTTCTCCATGTGGAAGACATACACCTTGCCGTCCCCGGAGCCTGCAAAGACTTGCGTCTCTATCCGGTTGACGATTACGCTGTGTAGCGCCACGGGAAAGACCACGCTTAGCAACTGGGTGCCGTCGAGAAGGTCATACACGTTGCAGCAACGATCCAGTGAGACCGTGAAAAGGTGGGAGCGAATGCCTCCCACACCCGAATACAGATCCGTCACGGCCAGACCGTGATCATTGAAGCTGTACAGCGGCTCAGTGCTGTCCTGCCCGCTACCCGTGTCCAGGGGAGCGGCTGCAAAGGTCAGGTCCCATACGAGCACAGCGCCGTCCTTGCCCCCGCTTATGAAGTGCTCGCCGTTGTCGGTGAATCGCAAGCAGGTGATTGGCTGGTAGTGCTTGGACAACGTATTCAGCATACGCCCGGTGTTCATGTGCCATAAATAGATGTTTTCCTGGATTCCCGCAGCCAAGAAGCAGCCGTCGGGCGTTAGAGACAGGGCGTTAACCTTTCCCGGCACCACAAACCGAAGGCTTGCCATCTGCTCCTGCTTGTTGATTGGCCACACATGAATCAACGGCTTCGCTGAATTGGCGACAAACACATAGCTGAGACTTATCATCGCCAGGCCGTGGTGTTGGGCCACGCCGCCGCCCTTGTACCGCATGAGATCGGTGCCGGTTCGCAGGTCCTGGACGCTGCATGTTGTGTTGTCCTCGCTGCCGGTGCTGATAAACAAGGCCTCAACGGCATCTGCCATTTTGGCTATGGGTTTTCCTTGTTTTCAGTACTGACTTGTAAACTTCGATATCTTCGCACGTGCGCGGCCGCAACAGTGTGACCAGTTGTCATAATCAATCGATAACACAATATTTTTATAGACCATTTTTATTTTGGATTATTACATTAAATTATTAAAAATTAACTACAAAAAATGATTGAAATCATAGATAAGCATATAATGTGCTCTGTTTGCCTGTTAACGTAAGCAAACAGACCACATACAGGTTCTACTGCCTAAAAGTATGCTAAAATTATACACAATACCAATATTTTGGACGTATGCTGTTAAAAATGCAATCGGCCCAATTATCTAGTTATCAATAGTTCCGTGATTTCTGGTATATTATGCATCCCGCACTAGTGTACTGAAAGGTTTTTCTTCCGCTATATGGCAACGCTAGGTATCTTCTTAGTATATTTTCCTCTCGTCATTGTACTCTTTCCAAGTGTAACGAGACCCGGTCACACTACTCCCAAACTTGTGCAACAGAAATAAAATAAGTGATTATTTTAGTGTTTTTGTATGAATTAAGAATTAAAAAGCATAGCCAAGCGAAATGCGGGTGACGGTAATAAACTTCTTCAAGAAAACCGTGCCGGGCCACATTTTTCGTGGCAAGCGGCGCTTGGTTAAGCCGGTTAGCCAGCGGGCCATGGACACACTAACCCGCGAGTACGAGCGACAGGAGCAGGTGATGCTGCTGCTCCGGCATCCCTACCTGACACTGGTAAGTACTCTCTGCAAATGCAGGAACAAAATATATTATAATGTAATAATAACTCAAATATATGCCAATAGGAAGAATCCTCGGGGCATGCCAAGGAGCTGCAGAAGCGCGAAAAGCTGGTGGCCAAGTGGACGGACGAGCAGACGCTGCGCAAAATGAAGCCGCACGTGACCATTGAGGAGCGACTGAACCAGCTTAAGATCAAGGAGGCCTGGGACTAGATTTGGGTCCATAAGAACTTTGTTAAATCCCGCATTAAGTGTTAAATAAATATAAGTTTTTAATGGATATTACGTAATGGTTAGGAAATTGTAAGATTTGTAGGATAGTAAGAGGTCAGTAACGTCAGTGATCAGCTTCTCTGAACCTCCCTTAGTAATATTAGCATTATTTACCCCAGAAACCCTTTGTTTTTCAATTTGAAATATCTATTGTTCTCTCCACTTGTTTTGTGTTTAGCTTTCGCGCTCTCATCGCCTTTATTCGTTTAATTGCGGTTCTCTAAGTGTATATATGTGTGTATATATATTTTCGTATTTCATGTATATTATGTATATGTATATGAACTGTTATGTACATATGCAAGGCATGTAACATTGTAATTCGTCGCTCCATCAATCCAGAAGAACCTTCCCAGCATCGATTCGTTAGTATGTTATATAGACTAAAACTTTATTATTTAATGGGTGTGTTTTGTCTTGTTTTGTTTTTTCATGTGTGTAAGTTTAGCTTTTGTAGTCGTTTTTGCTGTTATCCGTATTTGAGTTTGTTTAGTTTAATGCACATTTTGATTTCAGGGTTTCTTCTCACTTTTAGAAAGCAATTTTAACATTTTTCAAATTGAAAAATCTAATTTTCCAAAAACGGGCCCGTACCCCCAGGAAGGGAAGAAGGTAAAGAGGGGAATGATGGTCAGGTCATCGGAATACATAGGGGGAGTTAACTAGTTTCGGACTGGATGATCTGTTCTCTGTCTCGTCTCCGCTTCCAACTCCTCTCGTGTCTGTCCCTGGTTTCTGTTCTAGTGGCCACTGTTTTCTCTCGCTTCTCATTAATCAATAATACCAAAATTGTATCTCTAACACTCTTAGAGATTGGATATACAATAGCTACGAGGTCTCCTCGCCTCGCCTCGTGTCTCTCTCATTTGTCCTAGGTTTCGATTTCGTTATTTCGTTACTATCATTTGCGTTATTTTGTTTGTTTGTGTTTGTTTTTTGCTTTTGGTAGATGATGCGCATAACCTCAATAAAACAGTTTTTAACAACTTTAAATTAACTTTAAAAAAATAGATATATGCATATTTTGTTGCCGCTGCTGATGCTGCTGCTCCTGCTCCTGCTGCTGTATACGAATATTGTATGCGTAATAGTTCCATCTGCTCTGGCTACTGCCCCAGCTTCCCACTCAATCGGCGGCCAGTGGCGTGGCACTGACCTTTTTCGCAGTTGCCACTGAACCGTCCCCAACAGCCTCGTCGTCCTCCTCATCGTTTTGTGGCGCCTGCTCCGCCGAGTCGCCGTCGGAACGGGAGTGCGGAGATGCTGGCAGCAGTGGCGGCGGCGAACTGGAGAGCATGGCAACGGGCGAGACACTTGTGGTGGCCGCTGCGGCGCCATCGCCCATGCCCCGCTCGGGGGCCGGTTCTGGACAGATGTTGCCGGCGTTGGAATCGAAGCGGAAACGGCAGAGGCTGTTGCAGGCGTTGGCTCCTCGTTGGCCGTTGTTGGCAGCTCGCTGGGCGTCAGCGGCGGGGAGTCTAGCTGCTGCTGGCTAAACTCCTGATTCGGACTCTCTCTTGTGAACAGGCCCATCTTGGACTCAGATCCGGAACCGGCTGTGCCCACCGAGGCTGGGGCGCCGCCCGCCTCGCCGCTGCTGGTGCTGATCAGGGAGTGGGCCACCGTGGGGGCCGCCGGTCCGCTGACCAGATGCGGCGGCGCGTGCAGCGGGACGTGCTGGTGCTGTTGATGCTGCTGCTGTTGCTGCTGGGCGCTGTGGTAACGCGGAATGTCCGCCTTGCGCCACAGCGTGATCTCCTGCTGCTTAAAGTAGCGCCGGTCCTCGGTGTCCATCAGCACCAGGTTGAGGAAATACTTGACCGAGAACTTCTTGTTGATGTCACGCATGGTGGGCGTTAGATTGTAGCCGGCAAGGAACACCCGGATGGGTATGCTCTCACCCTTCACCGGTGCCCCGTCCATGATTTCGTACTTGGCAATGGTCTCGTTCTCATTGATCATGGTGGGTCCGGTGCCGGTGCTCTCCCGCTTGATGATTGCGATCTCCATGTGCTTAATCTTGATGCGTACTAGCAGGAAGTAGATCTTGCCAATGATCGTGTCCCGCAGGTGATACTTGCTCTTGTTGTACTCGAACTCGATGTGCAGGCAGTCCTCAATGCCCACCTCCATCTTGATGGGATTGTTCATCTCCGGGTAGCTGCACAGCGTGTGCACTGCGATGTCCACTTCCTTGGTGATGTCGCTGATGCGACGGACAATGGTGGCGCGCAGGAAGTAGCGGAGACGCACATTGGATCCCGCGTACACCTCGAACTGCTTCTCCACGTTCGGGAAGTCGAACGGATAGCTGTTGTTCTGGATGAGATCGCCGGGCCGGGCCAAGGCCTTGGCCAGGCACTTGAACTCGTGGTGGTTGCCGCGGTCATATAACAGCTCGATCTGTCCAATGAACTCGATCTTGATGCCCTGGTGCTCCAGCTTGTTGCCCGGCTTCTTCAGGGTCACGTTCACCTAGATAAGCCGCATTATCGGGGGGTTGCAGCCGAAAATTAGAGAAGAAACGAAAGAAAAGAATGAGAATGGAAAGCAGAAGCGGACGCTGGATATGTGCTGATAATAGAAATCTCAATTCCGGAGACTAAAGACTGCTAAAGGGGACTGTGGACGCACCTTGCCGGACACCGTTTCGCCGTCGTAAAAGAGCAGCATCTTCTCCACCTTGCCATCCTCGCCCTTGACCTCTGCTGTCTTGTGCTCGGCTCCATCGAAGACTATCTCAATGTCCGCTGACTGGCCAAAGCCCAGGAAATTCATAATTGATAATCTCGAATCGGCTTCTTCTTCCTCTTCTGCTTCTGCTGCCCCGCCTCTCCACTTCTTCAGGCTTACTATTACTCCTTGGGTCGGCTGGAATGTCGCTGTGCTTGGTGGCGGTGGCCGCGGTTTGGCCGTCCTGTCCAATCCAGCTGGTGTCCGTCCGCTTTCCTAACCGCTTACGGTCCGCTCGAGAAATTGATGGGCGTTTTTCTGCGGCGTTTGCTGCGCTGCTGGCGTGTGTGTTGCGTCTGTGTGTGTGTGAAATCGAAAAAAATTGCAATTTTTCACACAGTCTAAGTTGCCACCTGGTCGAGAGTTGCCGCCGTTGCCACACTGTGGGCGTATGTAAAATACTAAAATACTGACCGCTGTTCACACTGTAATGTGGAAAATACTGAAATACTGGCCAACGGACAACGTTTTGATTGGCAGGAGAGACAGTCACATTTAAAACAAACAAACTAATTGAGCACATTTGCGAAATTCGGATTAAAATGGGAAGAAAAGTTGTATTTCACAACAGAACAACTTCGAAACATCAACAGTCGACAACATGTCCTTATTTGGAGCTGACGTAGATAGAGTTTGGCCTACCGTGGCCGAGGATTCCCAACCGCTGACGGATTTCGGGCGCAAACTGCTGAAAGATTGCCGGAAGGTGAAGAAGCCAGTTGCCGGACCGGAGGAGTCGGCTAAGTTGATTGCCAAATCCAGGACTTTTCCCCTGGAGGTAAGTAATTGTTAGATCAAGTATCACCCGCTTACTCCGTGCTCCAGTTTGGCGTAGAGAGTGTCCGGGTGAAGTGTCAGAGCTCCAATAGGCTGACTAGCATCAACGAGCAGATTGCCTCCGTCTATCCAGTAATACACGAGCGCACTCTGGGTCTCTACCTGCAGTATCTGGAGCACAAGTGCCAATGGGGTGAGTGAGAGGAATCTCGTGCTGATTCTCGTTTGTAAACTACGTCTTACTCGTTACATAGGCAATTCCGTGGAGAAGCCCATTTACCAGCCACTCTCCCTCTGCGGCTTCGTACAGCGACTCCTGGAAAAGCGCTGCGCCAGCTTCTTCGCCCGAAACGACAAGTACCTGCTGCTGAGCGGCGAGAAGGGGGCCAGCGGCTTTGAGAGCGTTGGCACACCGGAGGAGAAGGCACCTCTAGTCCTGGCCGAAGTTCTCAGCTACGATGACATTAAACTGTCCGCCCTGCTGTCCGTTAGCTCTCTCACCGAGTTCATCAACGAGGGCGAACGAACCAATTGTGGGCGAGTCGCTAGGGCTCCAAGACCTTGGAGCCGAGCGGTGTTATCGTCGGCATGATCGGAGCCCGCTTGTCGCGTCGTAATCTTATGGAGTTCCAGGACATTGTAATTGCACGCACGCAGAACACCCGAGAGAAAGGGTATGGCCTGGCGCTGGATGCACCGGCCAAAACACGGGCCGAAGACTACCGGCGTTTGTGGCGCGGTTTCTACGACACCCGGGATCTGCTCCACGGCCAGGCCACCATTGATAACCAGCGCTTCGGACCGTCGGGCAACAAGTTGGACGTTTTCGACAATCTGGTGATGAAGCGGCGCTATGCCATAAGCTTCGATATGCTGCTTCTGGAAGCTCAGGCACGGGCGCAGTTGGCCAACAAGTCAGCCTACATCCATGTGGTGGGCTTTGGCCTAGGCGTGTGGAAGGTGGCCGCCCAGCAGGAGCGCATCTTTCTGGAGACCTTCGAGCAGCGCATGCGCACGCTGGGCAAACGGCTAAGCCATGTGGGCATTGTGCATTTCTCCTGGTTCTCTATCACCGACTGTGGTGGTCTACGCAACGGCTCCCTGGTAAAGATTAAAGGGCATCCAGACAACGGCATACGAGTGTGCATATCAAAGCGCAATCCGGCAACGAAATTGACGGTCCAGAGCTGGAGAACATGCTGCTGGTGGTGTCCTATGCCTGGGATGGCAATGCGTTGCCGGGCAACGAGTTCTGGATGGTGAGTAGACGGGAGTCAATGACTTGACCTACCTTAAAATTATTTCTGAGCTTATCTAGCTTCAGTAATTATCAAATCAAGTCTTAACCGCAATGGCTACCGAAACCCTGCGGCTTGGCCTCCATATATTTTATATTATCTTTGGCCAAACAGAAAATAGAAGATATGACACAGCTAAATGGAAAACTTCTACAGCTGATACAGTCCAGTTGGGCTTTCTACCAATTTTGGAGAAACTTTGAATATATAACCTATCAAATGCTTGGCATAATTCGCTTGTGGTATTAATTTGGTCGTCTTTTCTTTCAGAAAATGCTCAAGTCTACGGGCGACTCCTCCACAGCTTGCCACACATTGGTGGCGGAGCTACACAACCCTTACATAAACACGGACTTTTGTAATGGCAACAACCTGCACATTGCCTCGCCAGAGCACGGCGTCATCCATGTCGCCGAGTACGCCAAGCGGGTGCTACGGAGCGAGAGTGACAGTCAGGGATCTAAGGCTATCTAATCTTATCTAATCGCTGAAGCATTCTGGCCGCCGTGTCTTTCAACGCCGGCTGTGTAGGTCAACTATATGACCTTTCCACGGGAGTTAAGCATGACAAGAGCTTGTAAGCCATAAGATTTAACCAACTTTATGTTTGTAAAACGTGTATATACAACTTTTTTTAAAGTGAAATGCAATAATTCAGTGTAAAGATCAGATCACAGCGCAAAGCCCAGCCTTGCTACCCAGCTAAGACCCTCGGTCGTCGTTGTCTTGGGCTTGTACTCGCATCCCACCCAGTCGCTGTAACCGAACTCCTGGAGGGCCTTGAACACATAGCCGTAGTCGAGCTCTCCGGCTACGTCCGGCTCGTGACGGTGCGGCACCTGGGCAATCTGGAAGTGGCCAATAAGGCTCTTGTACTCCTCAAGCGTCTTGGAGACATTACCGTGCAAGTGTTGCAGGTGGTAGATGTCGGCCAGCAGCTTCAGGTTGTCGGCACCAACAGCGCCCAGCACGTTGGCAGCCTTGGCGTACGAGTTCATGAAGTAGCCGGGCACGGCGTACTTGTTAATTGGCTCTATCACGCCAATCATCTCGCTCGCCTTCAGGCTATCGGCAGCAATCTTTAGATTGGACGTGTACGTCGCCGTGTAGTCGCTCTCCCGCCCACCAGGGGGCAAGAGGCCAGCGGTTAGGTGGATCTTGCCGCAGTTCACCTGCTTGGCGAAACCGATGGTGCTCTCTAGCTGCTTGCGGAACAAGCCCTCGGCCCCTGGCACACTGGTGGAGCCAAAGCGCAGCTGGTCGCTCGTCTTGTCGAAGGCCAGGTTCACCAGGCTGACCACAATACCCGTCTCCCGCACGGCGTCCACTACGGCGCCCGTCTCGCCCTCCGGATAGGGAATCTCTACGGCCCGGAATCCGCTCTGGTGGGCCAGCCGGACCCGCTCCGCAATCGTCGCCGCCCGCTCGGTGAACAGAAAGTTGAGGTTTGCTGCGAACTTCAGTGCTGTGGCCATCTTGTCTGGTATCTCCTCCTGCGTTCGCTTCAGAAACTGAATTGCGCTCCGACTGCGATTCTATAGTTCTATATAACGACTTTTTGTTAGTTTCAATGTCAACCAGTGTTGCCGGTTTAGCTTATTTCAGGCATATAAGAAACTGAAAAAACCCATAAAGTTTCCAATTAGGGTTTACCCTTGCAGTTTGAATTGAATTATACGATCAATTCGTAAATCGATCATTTGTGAGCTTCAAATTCTTTGAATAGAATCAGCGTTATAAGCTTTTAACTATAATTATAATACCCTGCAGAGTATAACAATAGCTTAAATAAATATTAATCTAACATATGTAATGATGCCAACTTAGCTTATTTTACGCCAAGACTTTTGAGCCAGCGTTGCCAAATAAGATTAATTTTAGTATATTTTGGTATTTTTTCATACAAATTTTTTCTGTGGATTATTGCAACGCTGCGCCACGGTCACACAGCAAATAATTTTTTTTTTGCGAAAATATCATTAACAAACATTTTAGCAAAACGGCCGGCTTATTGACAGCAGGAAAATCTCATGAGTGGGCGGACCTGAAGCAACAACGCGCATTCTCGCTCCGGCCCAGAACCGGAATCCAACAGCACGCACTCACAAAGAGGAGCCTAGCACGAGCATTAACCGGCAACGGCAGAGGCAACGGCAACCCGGAACGCTGCTCCCTGCGGGCCAAACCCATGCGAGTGACAGAGAGAGGGCTGGCGAGAAGAGCAGAGCAGCACAGAGCGAGTTCTGCGCTAATAGAAAATAGCGAAAAAGTCATCAATTATATTTAGGCCATGAAGAGCGTGCTGATGGTGGCTGAGAAGCCGTCGCTGGCTGCCTCGCTGGCGGGCATCCTCTCCAACGGTCGCTGCACAGCCAAGCGGGGTGAGTTGGTTGAACCTCCTGTTTGTCCTCCGAATCCCATAGTAATCCGTAATTCTTTCGTTAACCGAAAAACCAGGCACGGGCAACGGCTGCTCCACGCACGAGTGGACGGGCAGCTTCCGCAACGAAGGCAACGTCCATTTCCGGATGACGTCGGTGTGCGGGCACGTGATGAGTCTGGACTTCATCAGCAAGTACAACTCGTGGGATAAGGTCGATCCTGTCGAGCTGTTCGGCTGTCCAACGGAGAAGAAGGAGACGAACCCCAAGCAGCACATGCGAAGCTTTCTGGCACAGGAGGCGCGCGGTTGCAATTATCTTGTCCTTTGGCTGGATTGCGACAAGGAGGGCGAAAATATCTGCTTCGAGGTAATGGATGCCGTGCAGCATGTCATCCACAATGTGTTCAGCCGCCAGGTTACCTATCGTGCCCACTTCTCCGCCATTACCGACAAGGACATCAAGGGCGCCATGGAGACATTGGGGCATCCAAACGAGAACGAGGCCAAGTCGGTGGATGCGCGACAGGAGCTGGACTTGCGGATTGGTTGTGCCTTCACCCGCTTCCAGACAAAGTTCTTTCAGGATCGATACGGCGACCTGGACTCGTCGCTTATCTCCTACGGCCCCTGCCAGACGCCCACGCTCGGTTTCTGTGTGAAGCGTCACGACGACATCCAGACCTTCAAGCCGGAGAGCTTCTGGTACCTGCAGCTCCTCGCCGGCCAGCCGGAGTTCACACTGGAATGGGCACGTGGACGCGTCTTCAAGAAGGATGTCGCCATCATGCTGCTGAATCGTGTCAAGGAGCAAAAGGAGGCCACGTAAGACAGTATTTTCTTGACAGAAATGTATCTGTCATGGGATTCCTGACTAATAATCATTTTCCATGCAGGGGCTAACTTTTAACCATAACCATTTTCCTTTTTTTTTTGCAGCGTTGAGAGCGTGGGCAGCAAGGAGGCATTCAAAAGCAAGCCACAAGCCCTGAACACTGTCGAACTGATGAGAATATGCAGCTCTGGCCTGGGTATCGGTCCTTATCAGGCGATGCAAATATCAGAGCGTCTGTATACGCAAGGTTACATCAGTTATCCGCGAACGGAGACCAACCAGTATCCAACCAACTTCGACCTACCGGCCGTGCTGCGTGTGCTACAGCCATCAGGTGACTTTGGAGACGAGGCGCGTATCATTCTGGGCGACCTGCAGACGCCGCGTAAGGGAAAGGACGCCGGGGACCATCCACCAATCACGCCTATGAAGCTGGGCAACCGGAGTGACTTCGATCGGGATACCTGGCGCGTCTACGAGTTCATCTGCCGACACTTTATGGGCACTGTATCACGCGACTTGAAGTACCGCGTCACAACGGCCAAGCTGAGCGTTGGCCTGGAGACGTTCACTTGCACGGCGAACGTGCTGCTCGATGCCGGATTTACCAAGGTGATGACCTGGCAGGCCTTTGGCCGGGATGAGCCGATGCCGCCGTTTGTCCAGGGCACCCAAGTCGCTATCAACGATGTCCGGCTAGCGGAGAGCCAGACAGGGCCGCCCGATTATCTCACCGAGGCGGAGCTTATTACGCTAATGGAGCAGCACGGAATCGGGACAGACGCCTCCATTCCGGTGCACATCAACAACATCTGCCAGCGGAACTACGTGCATATCGAGAACGGACGGAAACTGATACCCACTACGCTGGGCATTGTGCTGGTGCACGGCTATCAGAAGATCGATCCGGAACTGGTGCTGCCCACCATGCGGTCCGAAGTGGAACGGATGCTGACGCTGATCGCCCAGGGGTCTGCCGATTTCCAGGACGTGCTGCGACACGCTATCCAAATCTTCAAGCTCAAGTTCATGTACTTTGTGAAGAACATTGCCAATATGGACGCGCTCTTTGAAGTCTCCTTCTCGCCTTTGGCCGAATCGGGCAAGGCGCATTCGCGCTGCGGCAAGTGTCGGCGGTATATGAAGTACATACAGGTGGGTCACTCTCGCGTCTGAGCCCGCCCAAAGCTAATCTCTGGCTATTTGTGTTCTATTTCTCTTGCAGACCAAGCCCGCTCGACTGCACTGCTCGCACTGCGACGAAACCTACTCCCTGCCCATGGGCAATGTCAAGGTGTACCGCGAGTTCAAGTGCCCGCTGGACGACTTCGATCTGCTAGCCTTCTCCACGGGCGTCAAGGGACGATCCTATCCGTTCTGCCCCTATTGCTACAACCACCCGCCGTTCAGCGACATGCCGAATCTGGGCGGCTGCAACACCTGCACGCACTCCACCTGCCCGCATTCGCTGAACACGCTGGGCATCTCCGGCTGCGTCGAGTGCCCCACTGGAGTGCTAGTGCTGGACTGTACGCTGGCGCCCACCTGGAAGCTTGGCTGCAACCGGTGCGATGTGATCATCAACTGCTTCAAGGGAGCGACCAAGATCACAGTGGAAGGTGGGTTTTTGCCCCTTACTCTTTCTCCTGGCTGTAACCATTGTTTATCTCTGCAGAGGCCAAGTGCCAGGAGTGTGGCGCGCAGCAGGTGAACGTGGTGTATAAATCCGACAAGAGCAAATTCAAAGACGGCAGCGAGGAGAAGACTGGCTGCATCTTCTGCTCCACGGACTTCTCGCATCTAGTGGAAAAGCACCGGGCAGTGGCGTCACGACCAGTACGCAGTGGAGGATCCCGTGGCGGCAAGGTTGGACGCGGCGGTGGCGCTGCCGGCGGACCAGCTGCCGCTGGCCCAGGTGGAGTCGCTGCTGCCGGCGGAGCTGGCGCTCCTGGTGGCGGGGGACGTGGCGGACGCGGTGGGCGGCAGCCCAAGGATAAAATGGCTCAGCTGGCGGCGTATTTTGTTTGAGTGTGTGGTGTCATCGCCGTTGGCACGTCTGTGGCTTGCATTTACATACATACATACAACATCCACAAAGAACCCACAAAACCGAATAAAAGAAACAAATTGTATAAAGTGAGCGTTTACTGCGGCCATCAGGGGTTAAGGTTCATTGTAAGATTGAGTAAATTAAATATACCTCAATGGCAGCGAATTATTGCGTAAATATTAATGAAATGCAGTAATAAATTGGTATTCCTAATTAATAGAAAAAAAGCGAATAACTTAATTTGCACTCTTATTATTTTATTTAAAGAAAGGATGTTAAATAAATAACGTGGTGTTGAAAATTAGTCAGTATATATATTTTGTTTAAAGATAATCTGGATCCAGTATTGTGGGTATAGTCATTGTTTTAACTTTTAATCTGATGAAGTGGTTAGTTACATCACTGCTCGAAAAGCTTACATCAGCCTACATCGCTTTGATTAGTTCCAGTAAACGAACTTTCCAGATGCAGTTAGTCACGAATCAGTGTGCACACACACAAATGCGCTTGCATGCAGGTGTGTACATATATGTATGTATGTATATGCTTTGGGGAAATGAAAATGGAATTGGGGTCTGCCCCAATATATCTATATACGTGTGCTTGTGGGGGTCTTGTCTGAGGCTGTTGACCAAAGCGAAGACAAATCTCTCATGCAGCGTCAAAACAAATAAAGGTCGTTTAACTCGCCAAACAAAGGAAAAAAAACAGCTAGAACATATACATACATACATAAGCAGATATAATACATAAACAGACATATATACATACATAAAATGCGGCAGTGTTGTAAAAGGCCACATCGAACTTATCGATAGTTCGACTATGATGCCCATGAGAGCGAGCGAGGCAACAAATTCACTACGCATTTTGTTTTCAATGCCTAATTTTGCCAATTGCTAATCAGAAAACAAATGGTTTTTGTACGGAACTTGCTCTCCGATATCCAGATTCCGAGTTTAGCTTATTTACCCAACCGATATCTGTTCACAAATCAGCTAACAAAGCAATCTGAGCAGAACTGTCGTCTGAGAGAGAGCGAGAGAGCAGACAACCGAACGTCGTCGCCACTCCGCCTATAAATACGAGTCGCTCGCCCAGCAGCTGGCATAACTGTGAGAAAATAGTGGAGAACGGACGGAAAGAAAATAAAGAAGAAAGCAAGTTTTTAAACATCGACCAAAGTGTATTGTTAAAAAGTGCAGACCAAAAATAAATACAATTAAATTAATTTATACGAGATCAAGCCAATAAGGTGAGTAGTGGAAAATGAGATATTTGTTCGTAGCTTTTTTTTTTTTGTTTTTTGAGCCCCCGCCTAAGCTGCATCCAAAATGGCGTCGCAGCAACAAAAGTGCAGCTAAGAATAAAGAAAATGGGGGTTGAGTGCGTACGTGTGTGTGTATCTGCAATTCCAGGGCCATTTTTTTTTCTTTTATTAGAATCTAAATTACTGATTACTCATTGCCATAAGTTTGACGTTTCATGGTGAAATTATTCAGTTGTGAAAACATTCGGGGAAAAACCCATTAGTACACACCATTGTGTGTGTATGCCAGGGACTGTTACTGGGTCATGAGAACTGGGTCACTACGCAGAAAATCAATTGCGCACTTCCCTTCTACTTATACACACACAACAACGACTGATTTCGTTTTTTTTTTTGCGTCCACAGCTAACATGCAAATCTTCGTAAAGACTTTGACCGGCAAGACCATCACCCTTGAGGTCGAGCCCTCTGATACCATCGAGAACGTCAAGGCCAAGATCCAGGACAAGGAGGGCATTCCCCCAGACCAGCAGCGTCTGATCTTCGCCGGAAAGCAGCTGGAGGACGGACGTACCCTGTCCGATTACAACATCCAGAAGGAGTCCACCCTCCACTTGGTGCTCCGTCTCCGCGGTGGCATGCAGATCTTTGTCAAGACTTTGACCGGCAAGACTATCACCCTTGAGGTCGAGCCCTCGGACACCATCGAGAACGTCAAGGCCAAGATCCAGGACAAGGAGGGCATTCCCCCAGACCAGCAGCGTCTGATCTTCGCCGGAAAGCAGCTCGAGGATGGTCGCACTCTTTCTGACTACAACATCCAGAAGGAGTCCACCCTCCATTTGGTGCTCCGTCTCCGCGGTGGCATGCAGATCTTTGTCAAGACTTTGACCGGCAAGACCATCACCCTTGAGGTCGAGCCCTCTGATACCATCGAGAACGTCAAGGCCAAGATCCAGGACAAGGAGGGCATTCCCCCAGACCAGCAGCGTCTGATCTTCGCCGGAAAGCAGCTGGAGGACGGACGTACCCTGTCCGATTACAACATCCAGAAGGAGTCCACCCTCCACTTGGTGCTCCGTCTTCGCGGTGGCATGCAGATCTTTGTCAAGACTTTGACCGGCAAGACCATCACCCTTGAGGTCGAGCCCTCGGACACCATTGAGAACGTCAAGGCCAAGATCCAGGACAAGGAGGGCATTCCCCCAGACCAGCAGCGTCTGATCTTCGCCGGAAAGCAGCTGGAGGACGGACGTACCCTGTCCGATTACAACATCCAGAAGGAGTCCACCCTCCACTTGGTGCTCCGTCTCCGCGGTGGCATGCAGATCTTTGTCAAGACTTTGACTGGCAAGACCATCACCCTTGAGGTCGAGCCCTCGGACACCATTGAGAACGTCAAGGCCAAGATCCAGGACAAGGAGGGCATTCCCCCAGACCAGCAGCGTCTGATCTTCGCCGGAAAGCAGCTGGAGGACGGACGTACCCTGTCCGATTACAACATCCAGAAGGAGTCCACCCTCCACTTGGTGCTCCGTCTCCGCGGTGGCATGCAGATCTTTGTCAAGACTTTGACTGGCAAGACCATCACCCTTGAGGTCGAGCCCTCGGACACCATTGAGAACGTCAAGGCCAAGATCCAGGACAAGGAGGGCATTCCCCCAGACCAGCAGCGTCTGATCTTCGCCGGAAAGCAGCTCGAGGATGGTCGCACTCTTTCTGACTACAACATCCAGAAGGAGTCCACCCTCCACTTGGTGCTCCGTCTCCGCGGTGGCATGCAGATCTTTGTCAAGACTTTGACCGGCAAGACTATCACCCTTGAGGTCGAGCCCTCGGACACCATCGAGAACGTCAAGGCCAAGATCCAGGACAAGGAGGGCATTCCCCCAGACCAGCAGCGTCTGATCTTCGCCGGAAAGCAGCTCGAGGATGGTCGCACTCTTTCTGACTACAACATCCAGAAGGAGTCCACCCTCCACTTGGTGCTCCGTCTCCGCGGTGGCATGCAGATCTTTGTCAAGACTTTGACCGGCAAGACCATCACCCTTGAGGTCGAGCCCTCTGATACCATCGAGAACGTCAAGGCCAAGATCCAGGACAAGGAGGGCATTCCCCCAGACCAGCAGCGTCTGATCTTCGCCGGAAAGCAGCTGGAGGACGGACGTACCCTGTCCGATTACAACATCCAGAAGGAGTCCACCCTCCACTTGGTGCTCCGTCTTCGCGGTGGCATGCAGATCTTTGTCAAGACTTTGACTGGCAAGACCATCACCCTTGAGGTCGAGCCCTCGGACACCATTGAGAACGTCAAGGCCAAGATCCAGGACAAGGAGGGCATTCCCCCAGACCAGCAGCGTCTGATCTTCGCCGGAAAGCAGCTCGAGGATGGTCGCACTCTTTCTGACTACAACATCCAGAAGGAGTCCACCCTCCACTTGGTGCTCCGTCTTCGCGGTGGCATGCAGATCTTTGTCAAGACTTTGACCGGCAAGACCATCACCCTTGAGGTCGAGCCCTCGGACACCATTGAGAACGTCAAGGCCAAGATCCAGGACAAGGAGGGCATTCCCCCAGACCAGCAGCGTCTGATCTTCGCCGGAAAGCAGCTGGAGGACGGACGTACCCTGTCCGATTACAACATCCAGAAGGAGTCCACTCTGCATTTGGTTCTGCGTCTGCGCGGCGGCGCTCTCTAGATTTTCTCACCAAATACTAAATTCATACTCCAAATCTCATAAATTTGATCTTACCGCCATACGGCGTAGTTAAAACACAAGTATTTAAATAAACTAAAAATTCAATTAATTACATGTATTGAATATTCGGTTAAATAATAAACCTACAATTGGTGTGCTTAAAAATATCCTTCCCATGGAATTGTATTTGTAGTTTTATATAAAACTATTACTTAATTTTTAGCCTCTGCGCTCGTTGGGTAATATAGAAATTTGTACACCCCTACAGGGTATTAGTTTTCAGTTAGAAGCTTGTAATGGGAGTGATGGAATCATTACTGACCCTAAAAATCATATTTTCTTGATCAGCAAGAACAGCCGAGTCGATCTAGCCATATCAGGAAGAAAAAAAAATATATATTAATTTTTGAAAATTTTATAAGGGTACATCGTCAAATTTTTCAAAATTTCATAAAATTTAAATTTATTTTTAAATTTTAAATTGAGTATGCAGATTTATTAACCTATTAAAGACTAACAAAGAAAAGCTCTTCGAATTAACATTTATGCGTGTTTGGCTTAGTTATAAGTTTTTTTTTTTTAAATAAGCTCTGTCAAAAAAATTATATAAAAACACAGAAGAAATAGATTGAAGGAACGCGAATATTTTAGATATTTTTGAGGGCAGATGATGAAAAACCCAAAGATATCCTTTTATTTATTTTCCGATTGATTTTCTTAATTTTGTTTATTTTGAACAATTTTGTACAATATCTTTATACATATAAATTTATAAAATAATTTTTTAATACTAATACGGCCCGAGTTTAGTATATTTGCGACGGGCAAAAAAATCCTGATTTGGCGGGAAAAAAGCTGAAGTGGTAGCTAATTTTTTGCTTCCTATGCCTTCGGTAACACTTTTTTCATTTCACCCGCAAATTTCTGTTAACTCTCATACGTTAGTGTGGCCAGCCAGACAAATTACAAATGTTTTTTAAAAATATCGCAACATCGATATTTGAGCAAACAAAATATCACGATATAAAGACATCATTTTGAGAAAAAATATCGATATATATATATATTTGTACAGCAACCTTAATGCAAATCCGAAATCCGAAAAATAAATAAATATAATAGGAGCAGAGCAGCAGGTAGGCACTGACACAGTCACAAACATGAGCAAGGAAATCTCACTGGCCACTGTTAAGGAGCACAACACGCCCAATGACCTTTGGCTGATCATCGAAAACAAAGTGTACGATGTGACCAAGTTCCGCCTGGAGGTGAGTGTGCTCGTTTCGGCTAGGAGGGACTAATCACATCACCCTATCTATCTGTTGCAGCATCCCGGTGGCGAGGATTCCCTGTTGGACGTGGCTGGCCGCGATGGCACCAAGGAGTTTAACGACGTGGGCCACAGCTCGGAGGCGAGGTGCGTAGGGCACCTGTAGAGCTAAACCTGTATGATTAGCCAAACATTTGACTTTCTATCATTTCAGGGAGATCCTAAAGAAATACTACATTGGTAACTTGGCCGCCGCCGATATCTCCAAAAAAAGGGTCCAATTAGGTGAGCATTGCATCCAATTTGACCCCTCAAGCCATCGTCCGCCATCCGCATGTTTGTCCACCCATCATCAACTGCCATGTTTATGTAAATAAAAGAGACTGCCGTCTGCCTGCTGCCTGGCCTGGATCGATCTTGTTGTCTCCGAGGAAAGCACACTCATTCCCGATAAGGGGTGAGCATCATTTATGTCACAACCGCCAAACCAAAAGCAACCTCGCATGAGCTTGACCTGGTCGCATGGCGTAATCAATAATCCATTGAGCATTAACCCATTACTCCCGCTGCCTGTTTATGCAACCAATTAATCGACTCGAAGCCCCAAAAGTGTTGCGCATGAAACCCCCTCCCCAAACCTTTATCATTCCATGCCCTATAAACTTAATATCAAAATTACAGTTCGTCCTCGTGCCATTTGTACACTTGGGCGCCCTGTAATACTTAATTGATAAAACTCCGTTTAATATATTAGACTTCCTATTAGTTCTTATTTCATTGTAAACAAATTGCTTGTATTTCCTAACCTATCGCATCCTCTTTCAAGCTTTAAATCATTCTCGAGTACCAAAGTAAGGTTCTACAAAAGCTAGTGCTGGGGCATCTTGAATAGGGATTGCTCGTAAGTTCCTGTAAAAAGCTATGTGTGTGTAAAGTGATATAATAATACGAAGAGCTCAATTAATTATTCTTACTAATACTGCACGCTGTAGTTTTCCACCATTTGACACGCATTTTCTTCCTTTTGCTTTGATTTTTGACTCTTGGTTTTGTGCATCCCCCTTCCAAATCTAGTGCCACGCCCACTGAAGCGAGCAATGAGACCGCCGCCGCCCCCAAGCAATGCTGCATATTGCATTAATCTCCCAAAAGTCCCGTCCTGCTAACCAAACTAGAGAAGAAACCGTCTTGGTTGATGCGAAGTTCTCCATGTATTCCCATTTGATTCTCATCATCTGCTCTCTTTGCTTTTTTCTTTCTGTGTTTTCCATATGTTTGCATCCCAAAATTGCAGCTGCCGCCACATCGGAATGGCCTTGGTCGCCGCCGCCATCGGTATCACGCTGGTCTATGTGATCAGGCGCGGAGTTGCCCAGAAGTAATCATCTACGGTTTCGAGACCTTGGGACCTGAAACAGCTTCATTCCGTGATTCCAGAGATACGTTTCCCCTACGAATTGTTAATAGTTCCACACTTTGATACGAAATAAACTGGCTCTCTTTGTGAGCTCCATTTGTTAAGTCTGCAAATAGATAGATGATGAATATTTAAAATAATAATGTTTAGAAAGCATCTAGTCAAAAGGACTTCCCCGAAATAAGAACTCAACTCTTCTGGTCAGAAAAAATTCAAATTTATTTTTTGTCCTTCGCCTTCGTCACAAACTTCAGTTCAGCTTCTGTTGCTGCTGCTGCCTTTTACCTTTTGACTTCTGATTTCCGACTTTCGACTCTCGACTTGTCGTGACTCCTGACAATTTCAGATTATAAGTATAGAGGTGTTTGTATATATATTTATATATAACGCGATTAGTTTCGATTTGCACTTAATATTAATTATCGTTGAGGATCAATGCCAAACGCACATCAACTTACTAAGATTAGGGTGCAGCTGCCTCTCCGCCAGCTGCATGTGTATTATTGTAGGGTTCTGTGTTCTGTTCTTTTCGGTTCTGTTCTCGTTCCGTACATGCTATATCTAGTTATATGTTAGTTAGTGTTCTTTATGGTAGTTAAAGTGTGTTTGCTGCCCGGATCGCGGTCTAGTTCTCGTCGTAGAGCGGCGTGGCATCGCCCAGATTCATCGAGTGCGGCGAGGTGTTGGTGCGCGGCGTACTTCGCACGGACACCTTCGAGGATAACGCCCCCGAGCCGTGGCCATGACCATGGCCATGCCCATGTCCATGATTAACTCCCATGCCACGATTGTGCCCGCTGCTGCTGTGGTAATCGTTGCTGGGCGTAGAGTTATAACCACTTCCGCCGCCGCTGCCGCCACCGGAACCCATTCCCATGCCCATTCCCTGCTGCTGCTGTGTATGATGGTGCTGCTGCTGCTGTTGTTGTGGTCTGCGTCTTGCCCAGGAATCATTGGCCAGCTGCCAGTCGAGGTTCTCTTTTGCACGTTGCTGGTGATGCGGCTGCATATTGCCGCCCATGTTGTAGGCATTCGAACCACCACTGCCGCTGCTAGCTCCACCTATGTCATAGTAACTCCTGGGCGTGGTGCCCGTGCCTGAGCTGCCGTAGTGATGTAGCTGGCTGGACGACGACTGGGAGCTGGGGCTCGGTACATTGTGCCCGTAGCGTGGCGTCTGCGAGGCGTGCGGCGTGTAGGGCGTCATGAACGGTGTCTGCCCACTGGGTGTGTACGGCGTGTTGATGATGGCTCCAAACGACGGCGTGGATGTCAGGCCCCCGTAGTGGGAGGAGGCGCTCGCTGACGCTGCAGCCGCCGCCAGCGAGGCGTTCGTTGTGGCGCCGTAGCTCACAATGGAATGCGATACGGAGTAGGCGCTGGAACCGCCACCACCACCGCCGCCGCCGCTGGAGCTGCCTACACCGCCGGAGCTGCTGATGGCACTACGCGGCGTGCCGCTCATATTAGTGTTGAGGCTGTACGGCGGCTGGGATGAGGAGAGTAAAGAGGCTGAGACCGCCGGCGGAGGACGCATACTGTGCAGACCGTGACCATGCAGCGGCGTGGCACTCGAGCCCGACGAGGTGAAGGCTGGCGATGCGGTCGGGTCCAACCAGTGCTCCTTGAACCAGCGCAGGAGACTGTTGATCGAGTCAAATATCTGACCCCGGAAGCGATATCCCTCGGGCATCACAGTCACATACTCATGGCGCACCTTGGTCTTGGGCAAGTAGGATAGCAGGAACTTGCCGGGCATGCTGCGCGACGCCGTGAAGAAGTAGTGGATCTTCTTGGGGTCACGCGTCTTCTCGTCACGCAGCACCTGCTCCATGAAATCGCGCTCGTTGACGTTAGCCGGCGCCGTGTTCGGCTTGTAGTACTTGTACTGGATGAGCTCACGGGCTGCCACTGCCATCGGATTGATGTGCCGCGCTATGATCTCGTCTAGATCCTCGAACTCCTCCGTGCCAATCCAGAGGCTGCGTCCGAGACTGTACTCATTCTCCTTGCCCTCCTCGCGCACATCGATGTGCTGGAAGATATCGTCGGCCACCTTCCACGTGGCGGTCAGATGATCCTTGGACTTGCTGCTCGGTCGCATTGCTACCTCGCCCTGGTCGGCCTCCGCCAGCATGGCCACCACTTCAGCGTACGACTTGTTAAAGAAGCTCGGATGGGCAATTACCCGACGCGCGTACGTCTTGCGTTTTAGCGCCTTCGCCTTGGCGTCGCTGGCCTTGCGGTTGTCCAGCTCCTCGGTGACAAAGTCGTAGAAGGCGTCCCTGCGTGGCCGCCACTCGTTGTTCACATCCTTGAGATCCGCCGTCTTCGAGGAGCAGTCGACCGAGAACCGATCAATGTCGATCTTGATGATGCGCACGTGAATCATCTGGGAGACGCGAACGCGCTCCTCCGGATTGCGCACCTGTTTGTCGGACAAATTTTTGATGTGTATGAAGCCGGGCAGACCGTTCTCCAGCCGCACTCGCACTCCGGACGCCTGACCGGGACAGGCGTTGGCGTCAAAGTGATTCCACACCTCTGATAGCTCGGGGAAGTCGTCCTTGTGACAGAAGGGACACTGCCAGCTGTCGCTGGTATCGATCCGCACGGGATTTGCGTTGTCTAACTGTTCGCCTTGCGGCCGGCGGTAAGTGAAGCCCGTGACCATGGCTGTCACACACTTACCCACGTAAAAGGAGTCTGGTGTCTCCTTGGTCAGCATGTCGAAGAGCTCCTCGGCGCTGGGCTTGGTGTACTCGGTGCGGTAGTCCTTGTACAGACAGCTCAGCTCGTTGCGGATGTCGTACAGTGTGATGCTTTTGCTGCCGAAGCCCTGGCGCTCCAGCTCCACGGCAAAGGCGTCCAGATCGAGATCCTTGAGGCGTTCCGGCGACTCCAAAATCTCCTCCAGTGCGCCGGCCGGATTGGTCTCCTCGTCATCGTACTCCATTGCATCAATGGCCATCTTTCGGGCCCACTCGTACGTCTCGGGATGAACACGCGACCCGTCGAGCACCTCCACGTACGCCTCGGTGCTGTCCCCCAGTGATGAGGTGTCGATCTTGATAAAGCCGCTGCAGTTGATGAAGACCTTCGGCCCCAGGTGGCACACGGTGACCAGCTGGGTGCGGTTCTCCAGGCGCTGGTTACTCTGCTTGAGCAGCTTCAGCAGCGCCTGGCCCTTGCGCGGACCCAGACCGCAGGTGTACTGAAGGAGGTTGGTGGTGCGCGCGTTCTGCACCATCAGGTTGATGTCCAGGCCCACCTCACTGGTCCGGTTGATGAACTCGAGGCTGAGCTGCTCCAGCAGCTGTTCGCGTGGCACCCGCTCCTGCAGCGGATGGTAGCGCAGGCAGAGAATCTCGTCGTCCGCATCGCACAGCTGCGAATACTCCACGAGCGGATCCTGCATCTTTCGGGCGAGGGAGACGGCCTGTTTGAGCAGTGCCGGATACTCCTTGAAGTCCGACTCGCCCTTCTTCGAGTTGGCATAGATTTTGGCCAGCTCGTTGTCGATAATCTCCACCTCGATCGGCGGAAACTGCTCGGACGTCTCCAACTCCTTGAGTATCTCCTTAATGTCAGCCTGGATGGTCTGGGCGTCGCGTGACTCCGCCCCGATTACCACTATGTGTGGTTTTTTCATTTTGATAAAGTCGCTCAGCTTGCGCAGATCGGTCAGCTTCTGGGCCTTCTCCTCGGCGTTGTGCGAGTTCTTACGCTTGAGGATGTTCGGGAGGCGCAGATAGTCAGATATGTCGCCTTCGACGGTGGTCACCGCACAGAAGGCGGCTACCGACTGGTCCGGGTCGTAGGCCAGGGCCAGCACCCGGATGCCGCGCAGCGTGCTCCAATCATCGTAGTTAAAGTCGGCGGGCAGCTGGGGCTTGTAGGGAGCCACCTTGAGCCACTTGTACAGCTTGGCGGTGCAGGAGCGCAGGACGAACTGCTGCGCCTCCTCATGCAACGTGGCGCGCAGCTCCTTAATCAGGTCGGGGATGACCCACTTCTGCAGCGCCAGCTTCACACAGTCCGCGCGCAGTGCATTCCACTCAAGGACGTGCTTGGAGAACTGATCGAGGTGATACAAGGCCTTGGCCTCCTCCACGTAGTCGCCGGGCGGTCCATTGGCATTGGCATTACCCTCGAACTCCTCAAGGAACGTGATCTCCAGCAGCTTCTCCTCCTCAGCCATCATCAGCTTGATAAACTGGTCGCCGAACAGGTCACCCACCGGCTTCTTCGCTACATACTTCATTGGATACACCGGCGAGTTCTCGTCAATCAGCACCATGCCGTTCTTAGTGGGCCGGATGTTGATTCGTGCCCTGTCAAAGTACACTTCCCGCATGGTCTTCCGGAGCAGGGGCTCTTGCGCCAGCTGGCGGGCCACCACATACTTGGCGGCGTGCAGCACCTCGTCAACGGTCATGAAGCGCGGTGAGAGATACTGCTTGGCCAGCTCCGTGGGGCCGAGGCTTTCCTGTGTGACCTCGTTGCGCTGGTAATTGTCACGCAGGTTCTCCGCAAACTGTTCCGGCGTGAGACCGAAGTGTTTAGCGAAGCCACAGATGCCCGCCTTGCGGAACACCGCATACGGACTGCTGTTGGGCGCCTGCTTCAGCTGATCGTCCACAAGATCCGGCTCGTCGTCTTCATTCTCTGGCTCGGGTATTGTGGCTGGCGCTCCGTCTGCCGCCGCATCCTCGCCGTTCTCAGCAGCTGCCGCCTGGCGTCGTGCCTTGGCCTCTCGACGCTCCTGGAGCTGCTTGCGTCGCTGCTCCGCCTGCATGCGCGGCAGTTCATGGGAATAGTTAAGCAAGAAGTACATGTGCACGTCCTTCAGCTCCTCCATGGACTGGACGTCCGCCAGACGCTCGAAGTCACTATCCGGCATCAAACGGACGTCGTCCGGCAGCGGCTTCTCCGGGTCTGCGCACAGCGTGTCCAGCTGGAACTGTCGCATCTTCTCGAAGAGAGCCTTCAGCTTTCGCTTCCGTTCGGTCAGCTGGCACCAGCGCTCGTCGTAGTAGTAGATCTTCCACAGATCGTCGATGTTCAACTCTGGCTTGACATATTCCTTGCGGTAGAAGGCAATGAAGGGCACTTCCAGCTGCTGGTTGCGTATAAACTCCAGGGTCTGCTTGATCTTGTTGACCGCCGTCGGTGGCTTGCGCAGCTTCTCACGATTGTCTGCCTTCTCCTGCTCGGAAACAGTCTGTTTGCAGAATGCAAACCTGTAGATCCAGTCGGCCTCGTCATCCAGCTCGTGGGAGCCCTCAAAGACCGGGGTGACGGGCACCTGGCGCAGTTGCATCCGCTCGGGGATGTCTGTCTGGCGAATCTCATTGTCCAAATCGGTAAAGTGTCCGCGCTTCAGTTCACTTGGCTCGTAAATATCAAATATCGTCTTCTTCGCCACCTTTTTCTTGAGCGCCTTTTTCTTTTTGACGCGTGATTCTTCGCCAGCGCCCAGGTCCTCGTCGTACTCGTCACCCTCGGAATCATCCTCGTACTCGTCCTCCTCGTATTTGGAAAAGTCGTCGTAGTCAAAGTCCACGCCGAAGATGTCCTGGCCTTCCTGCAGCGATCTGTTATGGATATTGGATATACAAAAAAAAAAAATATTATAACAAAGGTAAGAGCTATGTAGATAGGGTTAATGGGAACTTACGCATCTGTAAAGATGGGTCTTCTCTTCTTTTCTTCTCGGCTATGGGGCGTCCATTGTCGTCGACAATGAAATCATCCGCATCCGACTCAGATTCGTCTTCGCCAAAATCATCCGCTTCTCTGGGACTCCTTTCGCTGCGATGTTCAACGCTCTGCCGGATTGGGTTGGTTAATATACGATTTGAAAGGCTACATTTGTTTGGACAACTACCTCGTCATTCTCGTCAAACAGCTGCTCAGCGATCTGTTCGCGGGCCAGACCTTCGTCCACATGCTGCTCCTCGCCATCACTTTCATTGTCGTGGATGCGACGCAGACGCTTAAACCGCTTCTGCGAAAAGAAAGGGAATACAATGACGGTGATTAAAGAGGATGCTTAAGGTAAGTCAAGATCATTTTCCACGAAATTCTGATTTCTGATGAAGGTGACATTTACCCTCCTCTCGACTTTAACACCCAGATTCTCCTCAATCAAATCGTAGTCATCATCCTCGAGCCGGTCGTCCAGATCGTCGTCCTCATGCTTTTTCCGCTTCTTGCCACTACCGCCGCCGCCTTCGTCGTCGCCACCGCTACCGGTGTCTGAGTCGTCGCCACTGCCGTCATCCTCCTCGATGGGATTGTCGTCAATTAGATCCTTGAGCTCTTCGCGCAGCCGCTCCTCGTCATCTGTTTTCGGTAAATTGTAAAGAACTAATTAAGCAAAAGGCGAATGCATTATGTAAGGAAGAAGGATCTTGACAATTCAAGAGTGTTGGAGTATGCCAAGTGCATTAATCTTAGGCTCAACCTTAACACTGCTTTCTTTTTATCTGCCAAGTTGTCACATTTCTATAGCTTTTCTTCGACAGCTAGTAAGCCTTCTTCCTTCGGCAGCTGTCATACATTTCGCAAGCTGCGGAAAAATAATGTTTTCCAAGAAACTGGAAGAAGTTCTAGAATAGAAGAAAGTCAGAGTAGAGATTGGAGTTCTTGGAAGCCCCCTTTTTGGTTGAGGTGTGATTCTGTTTTTATCATTTTAAACCACACTACGGCCTGTAGTAAGGATTGGACAAGTACAGAACACTCCTGGCGCATACCCGCCGATCGGTACGTGAAAATCATTAAGATTAGGGAAATTTAAAAACAAAATTGGATCCTAAAATGAAATTGCAAATTTAATTCGTGCAGAGTGCAGAGACTGTGATACATCCATTGTTGGCTGCCACATTGCGTCCATTGATTATTCCAACAGTCTTGAGACCGAGATTTCGATTGCAACTTCTGGAAGAAGCCGCGCTCGCTGCTCCTCCAATTCGCCGCATTTCGCATACATCGAAACAAAGGCACATACACTAGCGGTGCGCTGGACTAATTGTTGTTGGCTGGCCCATGGCCACGGTAGCACGGTAAAAACACAAGACATAACCTCAAAGTTGTAAACAAAAAAAAAAATAGAAAGGGGCATAGCGGGCTGCCCTTTCCCGCGCTCCCTAAAGGCGGACATTGTCCGCCACAATAGTTTGGCACATGTGTACAGCCCACCGGGAGAGCCCAGCAAGATCGTTGGAAAAGAACGATGCGGCGCGGCTGCACAATTTGTTATTGTCGGCGGCGCGGCCTCAGCTCGCCGCGCTAAACAGAAACGTACCTTCTTCCTCCTCGCTGCTGTCGGAGACTGCGGCCTTCAACTTCTTAAGTTTCTTGCGCTCGTGCACGTCCAATTCTTCCTCCTCCTGCAAAAAGAAAAGTCCAAAGAAAATGCAATATATATATATTTATATGTGTGTATATTTATCGCGCACAGATATACACACATATACACATAGTACGTACGCGCGCCTACAACAGAACGCAACGCAACGCGAAAAGTCAGCATTTGAGCGGCGAATGTGGTCTTACCTCCGATTCCTCGGCCTCCGAGTCTAGAAATTCGGCCATCGTAATAAATTAAATAATTAAACTATATGCTTAAAAACGAATTTAACTAAAATTAATGCACAATAAACGTCTCTTTCAGTGTCACAATAAAAAAAAAACGCGAAGATGAAGAAGCAGAAGTGTCAAAGTTGTGGGTGGCTTGCCAGTGTTGGATACCGCGCGGACCAGCGTCAGTCGATATCGTCAAGATGGGCTTTGGTGTGACCAGAGTTATCTAATTACTTCACGACAGTCTACTCGCAACGATGTCATCGGCGTTATCGATAGTGCTGCCATCGATGTTTTGTCATCTCTAGCGAAAATTTCATGCGCCAAAAACGTAAACTAAAGACGAGCTCGTCAAATTATAACCCATTAAGTGCTACGGACTGGCTTACTGGCCCTTTTAAGTGAATAATAAAGATCGGGGCAGCTGGAGAAATTGAAAGCTGCCCATAAAGTGAGAAAAAGAGAGAAGAGGCAACTCATAGTACAGCCGATGCTGCGCTGCGGCAGCGGAGCAAGAAGAAGAGCGGCAACGCTGCACTGTCCACGGCTTATAAACAACAAAAGGAATAAAGTCGCAGTTCAGAATTCAATTAATAAGTACAACGTAATAGGCATGTTCAGAAAAAGTGCATAGTTCGTGGCAATAGCAAAAGGGAACGCATAAACTCCCAAAAGATGCAGGTAAGCAGTGTGTGAGCAATCAAAACAAAACGTCAACTCGTGAAATATTAAAGCCGTGCTTTTCGTCGCAAGAAAGAAGGCTAATTACTGTTTCTCTCCCATCCCCAGCAAATGGACGATCCGCCATCGCTGCCCGTGGGCACGGAGGTGAGTGCCAAGTATAAAGGCGCCTTTTGCGAGGCCAAGGTCAGCAAGGTGGTGCGCAACATCAAGGTGAAGGTGGCTTACAAGCAGGGTCTGGGCTCTGGCATCGTCTCCGACGACGCCATCAAGGCACCCACCGGCCAGTTGCGTGTGGGCGCCGTCGTGGAGGTGCGTCATCCTGATCGCAAGGAGATTGTGGAGGCAACCATAACCAAGATCCAGGATTGCTCCCAATACACGGTTGTCTTCGATGACGGCGACATTACAACGCTTAGAAGAACGGCTCTGTGCCTGAAGAGTGGGCGGCATTTCAACGAGAGTGAGACGTTGGACCAGCTGCCATTGACGCATCCGGAGCACTTTGGCAATCCCGTGGTGGGCGGACGCCGCGGACGGCGGCGGGGTCAGCTAAACGAGGATAGTTCCGATGACGATGACGAAAGCGATGCCAAGGAAGTGGTCAACGAGAAGGAGGAGAATATTGGCAAGGTGGTGTGCGTGGAGACCGAGTCCAAGAAGAAGGACAAGGAGAAATGGTTCCCCGCTCTCGTTGTGGCTCCCACAGCTCAGGTAAGTCGTTAATTTGTCGAATATTTCAATACAGAAACTAATAAGTTGATTGCTATCCCACACACAGGCCACCGTTCGCATCCGCGTGAAGGACGAGTACCTGGTGCGCTCGTTTAAAGACGGCCGCTACTATACGGTCCCGAAGAAGGAGGCCACCGAGTTCACCCGCGAAGTGGCAAGCAAACAGGACGTGCCTGCTGTGCAGGCGGCCCTCGAGTTCCTCGACAGCAGTATCCTGCCGCCCCACTGGGATCGCGACTCACTGTTCGGCCTTTCGAATCTATCCAGCGACGACGAGGGAGAGATCGACTCGGACTCCTCCGACGACGAGCCGCACGAGGAGAAGGATCGTTTTGTGGCGCAGCTGTACAAGTATATGGATGACAGGGGGACGCCGCTCAACAAGGTGCCGTCCATTCAAAGTCGGGACGTGGACCTCTATCGACTCTTTCGCGCGGTGCAAAAGCGTGGCGGCTACAACCGTGTGACTTCCCAGAACCAGTGGAAGCTCATAGCCGTCCGCCTGGGCTTCACGCCTTGCACTGTTAGTGTGATGAACCTAGTGAAGCAGGCGTACAAGAAGTTCCTGCAGCCGTACGGCGACTTCCACCGCAAGCTCGGCTGCTCCATGCTGATGACCTCCCGGAACTCTAACCGCAGCAAGGGTAGGAGTCTGGTGCGCGCCAATTCTGTGGCCTCGCCCAAACCCACTGAAACAACGAAGACGGAAACCATCAGCAAATTGGCCCAGCCAAATCAAACAAACGTGGTTGCGGCGTCGTCCTCAAGTACAGCTTCAAGCTCGGCAGCAGCGACATCGGCGGCCACCCCAGTCAGAGCTGCGTCCACCGCCTCCCAATCAGCGGTCGAGGTAGAGTCCGAGGACACCAGCGAGTCCAGTGTTGTGGTTGATTTGCCAGCCAAGAAGCAGAGGAAAGGCTCGGCGGCCAGTAGCAATCAGCAAGGCAAGGTCAAGACCCTGGTGGAGAAGTACGAGGAGAAATCAACCGCAGCACAAGCTTCGTCATCCGCTGCAGGAGGCGGAAGCGGAGGAGCAGCTGCTACAGCGGGCTCGGGAACCAGCGGTTCGACTGCAGCCACAACAACACCAGCTGCGACGGGAGTAGCCTCGTCCTCATCCTCCACCACCAATTCAGCGACCCCATCGTTTTCCGCCGCCACACCTGGCGGTGGCGTCTCAGCCTCTGCAGCATTCGGCAAGGATACCGAATCGGATATGCCATTAGCCAAAATCAAGGCAGCTGCAGTAGCGGCGGCTGCCGCAACCAGAAACAACAGCATGGAGAAGGAGACGAACGTCAGCTCGGGCAGTAGCGCATCCGCCTCCAGCAAGGCCAATTCAGCTGAGATGCAACGCAGTCGGGATGCCTCGCCATCAGGTGAGTGAAAATGAGAATCTTAACTTTAGTTATTTGGTTAGATAGGAGTTGGTTGGATAGGAGTAACTCAAAGGATTGAATATTCTGTCTTTTATTTCTTAAGAGTTAGAAGAATCCTCAACCAAATCTGTCTCAGGAGGAGGAGTCTTGGCTATAGAGCTAGATCTAGACAACCTTAACCTTAACCTTGTGATAGGCATTAGCCAACACACCACGCAGATTCCAGATGTGTTCAAACTTCTCCGGCTGCACGTTGTACGCCGAGTCGACGGCCTTAGCCCAGATCTCTACGTCACCGCCTCCGGCCTTGCGCTGCGCCTCGGAGATGGGCAGGCGAGCGGTCCACAAGGACCAACCGTAGTGTCGGCCATCAGGACTGTCTTCCTGCTCCAATTCGGCAACATGCCAGCTCTTACCCTCGTCACTGGTTAGGTCCACTCGAACTATTTTCCTTCCACCGCCGCTCCACGCGTATCCCCTGACCGTGATGTGCCCATCGTCATCGTCCGGCCTTACCCTCGCTCCCGGTTGTGGTGTACAGATGGCAGAGGTGACCGGCATCGCCTGAATGGCATCCGACTTCCTAAAGTCCACGGTATCCCAGTCCGTGCTCGGACTGAAGCCCTTGTAGTCGTTTTGCTGCCAGTGGGAGTCCGATTCCTTATCAGCCACCACTATCCTCGTCAGCCACTTGACATTGCGCGCTCCCACGGTTCCGGGCACAATTACCCGAATGGGATACCCATGATCCCGGCTTAGCGGTTCGCCGTTCATTTCATAAGCCAGTATTACATCTCCGCGGGGATCCAGGGCTTTAGACAGGGGTATCGATGCCCCATAGGGATGGGAAGTGGGATCCAAGTCGGCGCCCTCGAATATGACGTGCTTTGACTCATCTGGCTGCACACCCTGCTTCCGCAGGACGTCGCAGAGTCGAGCTCCGGACCACTTGGCGTTGCCCACGGCTCCGGCACCCCAAGAAAGACCTGAAGAGTTTAGAATTCATAGGATTAAGTTGCAGAGTCTTTCACTCGACCATCTCACCCTTCACCGCCTTGACCTTGGTCATCTCGGATCGTCGATTGCCGCCGCACATTATGGCCGCCGTAACCGAGTGCTTGGGCAGAGCCTTGATCCCGTCAAGATTTAATGTCAGTGTACCCTTTTCCGACGACCCACTCTCGATTTCCAGCTCATAGTCCTCCGCACTTATCACCGGCACCGGCAGATGGTTGCGCACATAGAAGAGCTCGTTGGGCGTGAGGAACTGGTCGGCCAGGAGTCCGATCGGTGGCTCAGCGTTGAAGGGTCGCTTCGAGGCGGGCTTCAATAGGACATGGCGCTCCGGCTCATTAGCCCATGGTGAGCCCAGCTCATTCTCTACTGCACTGACTCCAGGTGTCAGCTCCGCACCCTCCAGGTTGCCAATGCGAAAGCCCTCGAGCAACTCCAGCACCTCCAGGGTGTTGTGCTGCTGATAGATGGCCCAGAACGGGTCGATGGCACTGCCGGCGGCCATCAGAATCTTGTCGCCGCCCGGATGGTTGTCGGCAAAGTCTGTGACATCATATACTCCCAGGCCGTAAGTGATCCAGATTCCCTTTTCGGCACAATTGTGCTGCTCCACCTGGTCGGTCTTGTAGTTGGGCAGATCCTTTCTGTGGGTAACATGCCAAAGACGAGCCCGAGCTTCCTGTTCATCCTCGCTCAATTCCCCCTTTGGCTCGGCCAGCACGGGTGTGCGTCCGTCGCTTAGCCAGTGGAAGCCCAAGGCAAGGCCTCCAGCCCAGTAGGCGGCATATAGCAATTTTTCTGTCCTACTGCCCGGTGAGCTCCATTTGTGACTATCCTGCTTCCACTGCTGCTCTTGGTGGTCATTGTTCCTGCTGCCGCCGCCGCTGGTGGTGGTGGTTGACAGAAAGCGTCGGTGTGGCCGGTGGTGGGGCACCAGTCCCCTCAAGCTGCGCCACAGTAACCGCATGGTTATGTAACAGCCAAAAATCCAAGAACACTTTTCGTTTCGCCAAGCGAAATCTGAATTCCTAAGCTGCCGGTGCTGTGCCTCTTGTGCGTCTGCTTTGGCCCGGCTGTGATTGTTGTGGCGCAAGTCTGGATTTCGTGGCTTTCTATTGATATAAGTGCTATTTGTTTAGTGGCGACATTGGCCCCGGCACCCTCTGGCCCCCCAGTGAGCTCAGCGTTGGTTTAATTGATAAGCAATCTGCGAAAGCGCTAATTCTGGGCTGTTTTTATGTTTTCCTTTTCCTCCTCTTCTTTCGGCACGCACGCAAGTCACACCTGTTTTGCCGGACCACCATCGATAAAGCTATCGATAACTGCCGATTTATGTACATATACATATACATATATGCGTATATGTTGCGTGTAGGAGTCATCGTCCAAAGTAAATTTCTAAAAATGAATGTTAATCAAAGCATTAAAGTTAATGTAATAACGCACAAAAAGTGGGTTGATATGTGTATATATAGAAGATCGATGTATATGAGACACTGCCAAACAAACACTTGTTGCTACGTGTTTTTGTTTTGTGTATTTATTGTGATAAGGAAAATGTAGTACGGTATCTTCTCTCTCGCTCTAATTCATTTATTTACATATAGAAATATTTATATGTGAAAATATGTAAACAAATCAATTTATCAGAAGATTAGTAGATTTTCCATATACTATATCCAATACTAATTATCTCCTGTCCTTTGCTTCCGCAGTCTCTGGTGGACCGCCTTCAGTTGCGGGTAGCACCTCCATTGCACCAGCTTCCAGCGCCCAGCCGCCGTCTACGAAGAAGGAGAAGCACCAGCGTACCAAGCAGACCGACAAGGATAAGGACAAGGAAAAGGACAAGGACAACAACAAGGACAAGGATAAAGACAAGGACAAGGAGGAGAAGCAGCCGGGCAGCGGTAAGCGTAAGAAGGAGAAAATTAGCGTGGAGAAGATCGATACGGGTGACTTTGTGGTTGGGATCGGCGACAAGCTGAAGGTAAACTACCATGAGAAGAAGTCACCGAGCTCACATGGCAGCACGTACGAGGCGAAGGTCATCGAGATCAGTGTCCAGCGTGGCGTGCCGATGTATCTGGTCCACTACACCGGCTGGAACAATCGGTACGATGAGTGGGTGCCTCGTGAGCGGATTGCCGAGAACTTAACCAAGGGCTCCAAGCAGAAGACCCGCACCATTAGCACGAGCAGTGCCAACAGTGGCAGCGGTGGAGGAGGTGGCTCCCTCTCTGTGCAGGGCTCCCTGCCACCCGGAGTAGCAGAGAAGCAGCAACAGCAGCAGCAGACCGCCAAGGAGGGTGGCTCAAAGATTCCGCCCTCGTCGGGACTTTCCTCTGGCCCAGGAGTTTCCCCGTTGCCCGGATCCCTAGGTGGGGCCACCTCCACTCCCTCGCTGCTCTCCTCCACTGCGGTGAAGACCCCCACATCGGCTGGCGTCAAGCGTGGACGCGGTCGTAGCGACTCAATGCCGCCGCGCTCCACGACGCCCTCATCGGTGGTGGTCTCTGGCGGGGGTCGCACCAAATCTCCAGCTGCCTCGCAACAGCACCAGCAGCAGGGGATGAAGAAGCGGCCGACGCGCGTCTTGCCGGGAACCACCACGTCCCGCCGCACCTCAGACGCCTCGATGGCCACCGAGTCGGATTCGGACTCCGATGAGCCAGTGCGCCGACCAAAGAGGCAACAGTTAGCCAAAGAGAAGGCGCAAGTGGGAAAGCAGCAGCAGGGCAAGGGCCGCGCGGCCAGCAGTGCCTCCTCTACGGCCCCACCTAGGGAAGATCCCAGCGATGATTCCGAAGAGGACGACGAGGAAGAGGAGCCGCCGAAGCAGCAGCAGCAGTCAGTTTCCGCACGGGGAGGATCCCGAGCTGGCGGCAACCGAGCCATGAGCAGTGGCGCTGCCTCCGCCAAGGGGCGTGACTACGATCTCAGCGAGATTCGATCGGAACTGAAGGGATTCCAGCCGCAGCTCCTCACAAATACCCTGCCCAACGAAGAGCGCAAGAAGGATGCCGCCATTAAGACCGAGTCGTCGTCGTCATCGTCCGCCGCCGAGCCAGCCGCTCTGCTGCAGGACGTCGTCAAGAAGGAGCCAGGAAAGCTGGAGTCCTCGGCTAAGAGTCGCAGTTCCACCGAAATGTCTTCTGAAACAGAATCGTATGCGGACGAGGACTCGCAGTCCTCTGACTACCGCAAGCAACCGAAGGGAGCCGGCAAGCGGGAGCCCATAATGGGCACCACTCCCTCGAAATTGCAGCAAGATCAGCTCATACCCAAGCGCGAACTGTCGGCTGTCAAGGAGGAGCCAGCGCTAAAAGTGGAGCCGAAAGCGGAGCCAAAAACCGAGGACGAGCCGACACCAAAGAACAAGCCACCCTTCCTATCGGGGCGGACATTAAACCCACCACCCTGATAGCTCCAGCTAGATTTGGGAACACCTCCGCTCCCTCGGTCCAAGCTCCGGCCGCCACTGGCTCTTCCACAGCCAAATACACGTCGGTGATTGTGGAGAAACTACTGACATTCGGCGGCAAGAAGTCGGCAGGCACGGAGCAGCAGCATCTGTCTATGAAGAAGACGGCCGTGGCAGCGGGCGGCAGTCAGGAATCGAAGAAGTTCGCCGAACCGGTAGCAAGCCTGAAAGTGGAGCTACCGGCAGCCTGTTCGCCTTCATCCTCCTCCTCGTCATCCAGTTCGTTCTGCTCGAGCGGATCGGGGAGCGGTAGCTCCAGCTCGGCCACTCGCTCCTTGCCGGACATGAGTAAGCTGGAGATCAGCAGTGGAACAACTGCGTCGGCTGTAGCAGCAGGAGCACCCTCAACGAGTACTCCGGCCAGTGCATGCGGCAGCTCCTCGGGCCCCAGCACCGGCCCCTCCGTCAAGGAAAGCAAGTACAGCAGTAGCAGTGGCGGAGCTGCAGCAGCGGCAGCAGCAGGATCGGGACTAAACATGCGCAAGCTACTGTCCTCGGACGTCTATGAGTTTAAGGACACGGAACCGTTTGAGTTTGAGAAGCGCATCTCGCCCATGGCCTCGGTGGGGGCAACAGGAACTGGTACAGCTGGAGCGGGAGCAGCTGCCCCCGGAGCAGTAGTTGCCTCGGTAATCACCGCTGTGTTGCCGCCAACAGCGGGCGCAGGAGCAGGAGCATCCGCACCGGGATCAGCCACAGCTACGGCCACATCCTCTGGCGGCGCTGCTGTTGTGGTCAGCTCGGCAGCCAGGAAGCAAGCCCTGAAGGCCAGCGCCATGCAGCATAGCCTAGAAGTGCACCAGCTACACCAGCCCTCTTCCTCCGCCGGTTATGGTCCCATTTCGAGCGGAGCGTTAACCGGATTGACAGCTGCCGCCAAGCCGAAGAAGAGAGGATCACCGCTTAAAGAAGCTTCTCTGGGTCTGGAAAAGAGCAAGACCCCAAAGCTAGACAGGGACCAAGTCCAACAGATGGACTCGAAGCCGCAACAGCTGACGCCACCCACCTTAAAGGTGCCCCAGTCGGGGGGTGGACAACTAACGCCCTCTGGTGTGGCAAATCCAGTCAAGATGCACACGCCACCAGGAGTGGGAGCAGGGTCTGCTGCATTGAGTACAACGCCGACGGCCACGAGCGCCGCCAACACTTCGTCGTCTATGGCCATTCCCGTCCAGCTGACCCCACATCATGCGACGCCCTTCGATGCCCTGAGAAAGTCGCCCAGCTTCAACCTCAACATCACCGCCCTGAACGAGGAGTTGGCGCAGACGGTCCAGGAAACCACGCGAGCACTCACGGATGCCCTGCAGCCACCGCCAACGACGCCCGTGGCTATACCAGTACCTGTGCCCGGGATTCCGACGATTGTGCCCACGGCCTCAGCCGCCCTCAGCTGTCCTGGCACACCGCCAACAGGACCTAGTTCCGCCGCCGCTGTTGCCGCCTCCCCCAAGCTGAGCACTCCACCGCAGGCGCCCAAGCAGCCTGCCGCTCCCACATCGTGGGCAGTCCCTTCATTGAGACGCGCAACGTGTTTGAGCTGAGCACCTCCAACGAAGGCAGTGGCTATAGTTCCGGAGAGTCCAAGGACAACAAATTCGAGAAGCTGGAGAATGTGAAGATCCTTCTGGCCGGCGCAGCCGGACCCTTTGATCTCGACGCCGGCAGCTACGAGCAGAAAACAAGCTCCATTGCGGACAAGGTCCTCAAGGCTATCAGTCAGAAGAAGGAGGAAGTGGAGAACAGCAAGAGCAAACCGGCCGCGGCATCATCGGTGGTGGAAGCCACAGTTACCGCTAAGCCAGCGGCGCCGGAGGATATACCTCCGCCCAAGCTGGAGCCGAGCAGCAGCCAGTCCATTAAGCTGGTTACCTTGAAGCTGTTGAGCGAGCCACTCAAGATCCAGACGGGTCCACTGTTAGGCGAGATGTATCGACCCGGGCCGGCTACCAGTAGTCCGGAGACTAAGTCCATACTGGAATCCTCGTTGCCGGCGAAGAACAGCGAGCTGAGCGAAACTATTCAGAAGCTGGAATGCGCCATACAGCAGCGAAAGACCCCGGTAGGTGGAGCTCACTCGCTGGCCAGCTCCAACGCCGGCACACCGCCCACCGCACACACGCCTAACTCGACGGCCACCGCGGGACCGGGATTCTCCGACGACGAGTCCATAGACAGCACCGATTCCGAGCAGAGGTTGGTCATCGAGGATGTGATAGCAGAGGAGCACACCACCACCACGACGACCGGAGAACAGAAGAGCCCGGGTTCGGGGCAGGAGGAGGGCCAGACCACGGCTACTATGGTGACAGCGGGCACTTCCGCTGAGACGGAGGCCACCAGCAGCAGCAATGCCACGCCACCGGTCTCTGCACCCGTGAAGCTGGAACTTGGCGCCGCTGGGAAAGCCCTGCCCGGTATCCAGGCGCCGATTCCCCTGAAGCTCACCGAGGGCGGCAGCTCCTTTGCAGGCAAGCTGACTGCTGTTGTGACTCAACCCCCGCCACTGGCCAAGCTTCAGCAATCGGAGGACTCAACCAAGACGACCCTCAGTTCTTTCGGTATTCCCATCGTCGTACCCGAGATCCCCGCCTCCGTGGTGGTGGCCACTCCAGCTCTTATGGTTGCCTCTGTCCCAAGCTCCGCGTCCTCTTCATCGGTGATGCGTCCAAGTCCCGGTTCTACTTCAAGCTCACCCGCAGCTGCAGCCGGCACACCCGTCTTGATCTCACCCAAGGCCTTCCAGTCGGCCTCGAAAGTGGGTGCCGCTGATGTGTCCGGCGGTGGACTGCTCTTAAAAACCTATACGGGCGTCGGCGGTAGTGGAGTGGTAACGACTACCGTAGTGGCACCCGTTGTCCCCTCGAATTTTGCCCAACATCAGGGACAGCAGCAGCAACAGCAGGCCACCGGTGTGCTCCAAGCAACGCCAGAGATCCCCAGCGGCTACATAATCGATCCGGAGAGTGGAGCAGAGGTCCCTATCAACTCGCCCGTGGTGGCCCGTCCGTTTGTAATGCATGCCGTCGGCAAGGAGATCTTCAATGTGGCGGCACCGGCTGGCTCCCCCCTGATCAGTGATCCCCACAACGATCAGTCCATCAACTTGCTCTGCGAAGAGACTATTCCCGGCAGTCCGGCGCCAAACTACGGTGGCAAAGAGGACCAGTTACTGCCCGCCTCCATTGGCCCTACGTTGGCCATCGTCTCTGGGGTTACTCCGCTGCCGTCGGATGCCCCGCCAGCAGCAGGAGCTATGGCTACTGCTCTCCAGCAGCAGCCACAAACACAGCAAATGCAGCAACAGTCGGCCTCGGAGGTGGTGAACCCCTCGGACACCAATAGTTCCCCGGACTCGGCCAGCCAGGAGGATGAGAGTGGCGAGGAGACGCAGAAAAAGAACCCAGAGCACGGACACGAGCTCGAAGACCCCACGGGACTGAGCAAGCGCAAGCGCACCCGGAAACAGGTGCCCATGAGCGCCCAGGCAACGGCTGCCGTTGCCGCTCAGCTGCAGTCTCTGGGCAAGCGGCGTCGCCAGGTGTCCGGGATGCGTAGCCAGAAGACAACCACAACGACAGGTGAGTGTAGGTGGGTTTGAAGTGAAATGGAAGAAATATTAATGGAATCTCTGTTCCCCGACCCTCTGCAGCTGGCTCCGATACGGACGACAACTCGGACAATATTATGCCCATCGCAGGACAGCAACAGCAGCAGCAGGTGCAGCAACGTCAGAGTGCCCGCCACCAGCTGATGTTGCCCCAGGCCAGCACCCAGTTGCAGCAGCAGCAGCAACAGCAACTGCAGCAACAATTGCAGCAGTCGATCGTGGGCAACCAGCCCGGAGTGCGTCCCTGTCCCTACAACTTCCTCGTGGAGCTGGGTAAGTTCTTCAACTTTGCTTCTCCCATCCGTATCCTTAATATTTTCCTTTTCTTTTCAATCGTAGATCCCGCTCTTAGCTCCGACGAGTGCATCACGATCCTGCGCAAGCAGATCCAGGACCTACGAAAGGCTTACAACACCATCAAGGGTGAACTGGCCGTCATCGATCGGCGTCGCAAGAAGCTGCGGCGTCGCGAGCGCGAGAAAAAGCAACAGCAGATGCAGAGCCAGCAGCAGCAGGGCAAGCTGTGTGCCTAAAATTGGTCTCCCACCCACCACACACACACCCAGGATAAGTGCAAATAAGAAGGCAAAAGGTTAAAGCAAGCAAACAAGTGAGAGGGAGCATATACAATTGTACAATATCTTTTAACTTTTATTTTTTTTCGCTCCTCTTGCTAATTAGTTTATAAAACAGTGATTAAGTAAACGTCGAAATTTATGTAGGGTTTTATAAAAATACATTTAACAAGATGTATACACTGTCTAAGCAGAAATAACCGAAGAGATTTTATTTATGGGACGTAACTGGTGATATTAATACATTGAGAGAAGTCCAATTGAAATCTCGAAAGTAATGTAATGTCGACACTATAAAGCTTATTGAAAAAGAAGAACCCCATTAACAAATAACGAAACTAATGCTAAAACCTTTTAAAATTTTTAAACTGCTTTATTTTTCATTGTAACAATTTTTGTAATCAGTTTTCGAGTTTTCAGATTTACGAAACGGAATAGCCTCCCTCGAGCAGAATGTGATGGCCATTGACGAAGGTGGACTTGCTGCTCAGCAGATAACCGGTAGCGTCCACCACCTCGTGCACCTCACAGAAACGATTCAGCGGTATGTGGGCCAACAGGGGACCGCTTTTGGCCGGATCCGTCCAGTTGTCGCGTCCCATTTTGGTCAGCACCACAGTGGGATTGACCGAGTTAACGCGGATCTTGCGAGGACCCAGTTCGAGGGCCAGTGACTTGGTCAGCGAATCGAGAGCCGCCTTGGTGGCACTGTAGGCGGTGTGGCCGGCAAAGGATCGCGAAGATGCAATCGAGGACACGTTGACAATGGAGGCACCATCCCGCAGGCGTGGCAGAAGGGCCTGGGTTACATTGAACACGGCCTTGATGTTGACATCAAAGTGGCTGCAAAGAGAACATCATTATTCCTTTAACTAAGCTGACATGTTAATCCTGAAACTTACGTGTCAAAGTCCTGCTCAGTGAGCTCCTCAAACGGTTTGATGATGGCCACTCCGGCATTGTTCACCAATCCGTCCAGCAGTGGGACCTTGGCCAAGACCTCACGCACCTTCTGCCACTCGCTAAGGTCCAGCTGCAGCGGCTGGATGTGTTTCGGATCAAAGGAAACCAATTCCTTGAGCTGCTCCTCCTTCCTGGCCACCGCAATGACGCTGACGCCAGAGCTGGCCAGCTGCTTAACCAGAGCCTGGCCAATGCCGGCCCCAGCACCGGTCACCAGGATTACCTTGCCAGCGAGATCGGTCCACATGCTGCTTCTTTAAAATATATATATTATATATATTGCTCCGAGTTGATTGGGATCGCTAGCAGAACTGGAAATGTACTGTTTACCTCTTATCAAAGCACTAATCTCCAGCCGGTCGGTCGGGAGCTTTCCTCGGAGATCAGAGAATTGTAGAGTCCGAGCTTTGGCTCTCCCGACTAGGGCGTTTAAGGTCGTTTCTCGATCGTGGAGGCAGGGAGGGAGGTGCCCCCCTAAAGCTATAAATACATCTGGATCCGGATCTGAGCTAAACTGGATTCTTGGCTGATTAGAGGTTTAATTAAAACAATGGAAAAGTTTCAAGATGGAGACTTTAACAAATAATAAGTAATTAGCAACTTTATATTGTTCTATATAGTCTGCCCGGCAATATGCTGAATGCAATGTATTGAAAGTGTTATATTACTCAAATACTTTATAGGCGCGCCATATGTGCTATCGATAACGATAAATTAATCAGTCTGGCAGCACCATGGTCATTAAATGTGACCAGTCCCATGAAAGTAATATCCTCTCTTTTTAGACTAGTTTTGGTATTATAACTGGAAAGCCAGGCGGGCACACTGCATCTTTTGCATCAATGTTTTGCCGACAACAAATTAGTTTTTCAATGATTTACTAACTTAAAAAGTGAAAGAAATGGCGCAAACGCAACCCACAGGTACGTTCTGGCCCAGTTAGTAGTTGCTGCCATTGGAGTAATCAAAATCCCTAACTCTCTCCCCGATTAGCAGCCAAACGCGTGAAGCTGGAGAAGCCGGCTCATTCGGTAGAGGAAGATGGTAAATATAAGTGAAAATTCCGAATTAAATGAAGGAGGGGGAAACTAATCGTGTCTTCCCGCGACAGAGACGCCCTCCGTCTTCAATCCCAAGTACAGGGTATGCCCCTACCTGGACACCATCAACCGGAACATGCTGGACTTTGATTTCGAGAAGCTGTGCTCCATCTCGCTGACCAGGATCAATGTGTACGCTTGCCTGGTGTGCGGGAAGTACTTCCAGGGGCGCGGCACCAACACCCACGCGTACACGCACTCAGTGGGCGAGGCACACCACGTGTTCCTCAACCTGCACACCCTGCGGTTCTACTGCCTGCCCGACAATTACGAGATTATCGACTCCTCGCTGGACGACATCAAGTATGTGCTTAACCCGACGTTCCTGCGGCAAGAAATAGCCCAGCTAGACCAACAGCAGCCAAAGCACTCGCGCACCGTGGACGGAGTGCTCTATTTGCCAGGCATTGTCGGCTTGAACAACATCAAGGCGAACGACTACTGCAACGTGGTGCTGCACGCCCTCTCCCACGTGGGCCCGCTGCGGGATTACTTCTTGCGGGAGCAGAACTATGCGCACATCAAGAGACCACCAGGTGACTCCATGTTCACGCTTGTCCAGCGCTTCGGCGAGCTAATGCGAAAGATGTGGAATCCGCGCAACTTCAAGGCGCACGTCTCGCCCCACGAGATGCTCCAAGCGGTGGTGCTATGGTCCAGCAAGCGATTCCAAATCACCGAGCAGGGCGACCCCATCGATTTCCTCTCCTGGTTCCTTAACACCCTGCACCGTGCCATGAAGGGGACCAAGCAACCGAATTCGTCCATACTCTACAAGATCTTTCTGGGCGAAATGCAGATATACACGCGCAAGATACCGCCCGTGGAGCTGGATGACAAGGCCAAGGCGGAGCTGCTGGCCACCGACGAGTACAAGGACCAGGTGGAGCATACTAACTTCATCTATCTCACCTGCGATCTGCCACCGCCGCCGCTGTTCATCGACGAGTTCCGCGAGAACATCATTCCACAGGTGAATCTCTACCAGCTGCTGGGCAAGTTCAACGGCAGCGCGGAGAAGGAGTACAAGACATACAAGGACAACTTTATGAAGCGCTTCGAGATCACCCGCCTGCCGCAGTTCATCATTCTGTACATTAAGCGGTTCACCAAGAACACCTTCTTCCTAGAGAAGAATCCCACCATTGTCAACTTCCCGATCAAGTGAGCCATTTTTGCTAAATATTTACTGTAACGAACTAATCCAATCTGCGTTTCAGGAACGTGGACTTTGGCGACATTCTGGGCATGCGGAAACGGGACACAAACGTGAAAGATACGAAATACAATCTGGTGGCTAACATTGTCCACGATGGCGACCCGAAGAAGGGCACCTATCGTGCTCACATCCTGCACAAGGCCAACGGGCAGTGGTACGAGATGCAGGATCTGCATGTCACCGAAATTCTACCCCAGATGATCACACTCACCGAGTCCTACATACAGATTTACGAGCGATGTGCGGACACCTCCTGATCCCTCCGCCATTCAACGTACTTTAAGCTGGGTGTGTGTATGGTTTTTATTAGTAATTATAATATGATCCCGACCAGCATCCAAATAAATAAGTAGGCAAAAAGTGAAGTGAACTAGAGACGTGTGCTGCAGATTTTAATTGGTTTAGTGGCGGACCCATTCAAGGACCCAGCATCAGCTGAAGCTGAAGCTCTAAGATGCGCATGCGCCACGAAACGGGGCCACGAACATGGAAAAAAAATCGATGCCCGTCGAATGTCAGTCGCCAGAACGGACGGACGCTAGAAGGAAGCAGCATGTCGGAGCAGCCGGAGATAAGCAACAGCTACGAGACGGAGTGCCAGCGGGCGGAGCTCCTTGGCCTCCAGCCGCCGGATCGGGCCGAGTTCGAGCGGAAGCGCCAGGCGAGGCTGGAGCTCGAGCTGGCCGAACAGGAGGCCGCCGAGGCAGTGGTAAGCATCTCATCAGTTACCCATATTTATCTCCCACTACTGTCTCTCGGTATTAGATGCTGGAACAGCAGGACGAAACGCTGGGCGGTGTTGGCGGCAAGCTGGGCGAGCTCAACAGCATCCTGTCCAGCACACAGCAGAAGCTAAATCGCTTCAAGCAGACGGCCTGTGGTAGTCTGACCAATATATTTTCACGAGCCAGCTCCGGGTCAGTGGATCTAACGGCGGGTGGCTCAGGGACGGCAGGAGCAGCCAGCCAGGAGGAGCGTCCTTCGATGCCGACGCCTCAAGTGCTGGCCGCCAAGCCACCGCCGACGGCGGCCGAGGTGAGTGCTGCCAAGGCGGCCAAACAGAAGCGAATGGATTCGCAGCTGGACAAGCTGGATGCGCTGATAAATCAGGCGGACAACGCTCAGATTGCCATGAGCGAGCAGACCCAGCAGATGCGACGGATGGCCAAGTAAGGGGGTCGTGGTTTTCAAGTGGATTCAAAGCCAGGTATTCTAATTTCATTCTTTATTCGTTTCTCACTCTCATTATTGTTATCTTTCCCCACAGTCGATCGCCGTCGCCTGATCCTGGCCAGCCTTCTGTCCTCAGAACACATGAGTTTCGCTTAAAACTAAACACACAAGTTGAGAATTACACCCACAGCGCGTCTTCAATCACATTTGTCGAGGGTACAGGACATATATAGCTCTCTCTAACTGTCCTCCCTCACACTCATCCCGTTGACTTTATCTAATATATAGTTATTATAGATATATACATATACATATATATGTGCAGTTTATGATTAACATTCGAGTTTTCAAAAGTAACCCGCTATTAAATAAGATTTCCCTCCGCGTTGTCCTCGTTTAGAATTACATTGCAACTGAATTGAACTCGAAAATGTTTGACAATAATGTTCTTCCGTTTAAATAACTAATTATTCTTGATTCTTCTTCGTATCAACTAATTTAAATATGTTTTTCTTTACATTTTTATATTAATATTAGTTATTTTAATTCCTACTTAGGAAAGCTCCTTATTTTTCGTTCTTTCAAACTTTAACACTTCAAATGTTTGAAAACTAGTTTCTCTCATTCGTTTCTCTTTTCTAATTTAACCAAATGAAAGGAAAAACATAAGCAAGTGTACAAAAGCAATACATATTAATTACATACAGTGCCCATCGAGTAATCTTTGTGCTAGAAGGTAGCATTTCAGCTAATACTTGTTGCTTACTTATATCGAAAACGCCATTTCAATTCTCAGGCGATTTATGTTCGTGGCACGCCCCGTACAAAACGTAGGAAACGATTTTGAGTCAAGAAATAAAAGAAATCAAAATTTTCTTCACAATAAATAAAGATAAATAGCTTTCCATTGGAGGGAAATCGATCGACAAACTATAAACAAAGGCGTAGATATATAAATAAACTAGAAAATCCATCAGGGAAACTACAGAAATCGTTGGATACTTCAAAACTATAACAAACGGTATCCAAAGGTAAGCTACAAACGAGGACCACCACATATTAATCTTATATTTTCATTTGAAATCCGTAGCTATTTCTGTGGCTGCCCTGATGGATGACGTAGGACAGCAGGACTGTAGCTTTTTACAGCGAATAAGTTTTAAAACTAAGGCGACTACTTATCCTCTGAGGAAGCGGACGAGGTTGACGTGGAGAGGTGTAGAGAGTGACGCGGAGGTGTGGGACAACGCTTAATGACCGTTCGTCTTTCGATCGAGTGCCCCGTCGCAGCCGCCGCCGTTGCATCCTCGTCGGAATCCGAATGTTCATCGTCGCTCTCACTCTCGCTGCTGGCATGTCCGGCATCCGTTTCGTACTGATCATCCAGCTGTATCTTGCCCAGACATGTGACGCCATCACCTGCAGCCTCCGCCGCCAGCATCACGCCTTCCGGCTGTGCCTCGTCCTCGTAAAAGAAGTACGACAGCTGCAGGCCCTCTGATGCAGAGTTCAGGCGCCAGGCGTCCGGTATTAGCTGGGTATTTAACTCGAACCGCTCCTGCAGGGTTTGAAACATGCCCGGCGAGATCTCCATCTGGGGCACCGACTGCTGCGTCTGCCACTGCTGTAGCAGCGGCGGCTCCTGCTCCTCATCGCTAGCCCCAAAGACGCCGTAGTAGAGCTTGCAGGCTCGGTAGCAACGCAGCTGCTGCGAGTCCGGCTGGATGCGACGCAGCACGCGTAGCTGCGACTCTACCACGTGGATGAACATGTACTGGTGGCGGCGTCGACTAGGCAGCGAAGTAACCAGCACCGCGCGACTTGTGCTCAGGCAGAGCTGTGGCAGGGGCTGTGGCCACAGCGAGTATAGCAGTCGCTTAACCAGCTGCGTCATCGAGGAGCTCTGGAAGAAGTGACGTGGCTGGGCAACCGTGGCTCCTCCTCCTCCTCCACCGCCTTCATTGCTTGGCAGCCAGCGCACTGCATCGGCCCACAGACGGGCCGCCGCTCCATTGAACATGGCCACGCCGAGGTAACGCATGCAGCGCTTGCAGTACAAGTGATCGTCACGGTTTAGGATGCTGGGACTTGGGCCCCGATTCATACTCACCACCACATAGTTGAGGCCGTAGAAGAGGTCTGTCATACCGGGCACCAGGCTCGGCAGCAGCGGCATCTTGCTGTCGCCTTCGCATCCAGTCGGACCGCCGTGATTGTGGCAGAAGAACTCGCTGGGGTCCACCACGCAGCTGGGGAACTCGCGCAGCCTGCGGTAACTCCGTTCCTCCACCAATGTTGCCCTGCAGTCGCGGCAAGTCACCGAGATGGGCTCGTTTTCGCGGCAAGAGAGGAGTAGGGGCGCCATGGCCACCTGTACGGCGCCGCCGTCCAAGGCGTCCAGATCGATTTGGGTATAGTTAAAACGGAAGCTGATGTGGTTGCCGGTGACCACGAATATGGAAATGCAGCCAATGTCCATGCCGAAGCAGTCGTGCCGGATGACCAGCGACTCCACCTCGCCTTCATCACCGTCCTCTTCATCCGTATCGCTGTCACTGTCACTGGAGGAGCTGGCACGGCTGGCGGTACTGCCCGGCGACTTTGCGGCTATATAGACATTGTGCTCCCGGATGACGAGGCGCGTTTCGTTGCGATCGGCAATGTTGTGGTCAAACTGCAGGAAGACCACGCCGCTGCGCAGGTTCGGGCGCAGCTCAATGCACAGCCCGGTCAGCGACATCCTGGCCAGTCAGCGGGTCCTGGAGCAAGCCGGTCGTTCCAAGTCCGGAAAGTGGCCTGAAAACGTGATTTGAAGCACGGTTTAATCCAAAATCAAAGAAAAATCAACGGAAAAAAGGAAAACAAACTTTGACATAGATATGGTACTATCGATAATAAATATCGATAATTTGTCCTGGTCGATTAAGCCTGGTGTGACCAGCTGCGGCGGTGACGGAAATCCACAATCTGGCTAATTTTAGGGAAATAAACCGAAAACGCCGGCGGGCACACTGCACAAACAGGCATAAACGCGATAAAATGCGAAAAACAAAGCCCCGTGTAAAACTCGTCGAAAATCGCGTATAAAGTCAAGGAAATAGCTTCTCGGGCTCCTATTAACGGTTCCGGAGCTTGGGTGACGGGCGTGCAATTGTGGGTGAGTAGGGAGATCGACGAAAAGTTCTTTTTCGACGTTCGCCTTAAACGCATTTCGTTCGTGCAGTACACACACACATCCATAGATTCAAATACAAACAAATACACGCAACGCGCAGCGCATATACACAAAGAAAGAAGGCAAAAAGGCAGCAGTGAAAATCGACAAGCAAGCGCACGCATGCACACACAAACACACACGCGAAAAAGTGTGGATATATATCCAATATATTGATGTTGTGTGCGCCGTTGTTGCTGCTGCTGCTCAGTGTGTGAGTGGAGTGAGTGAGTAAGTGAAAGAAAGAAAGAAAGAGAGGGCGGCAGAGAACAGAGAATAGAGCCCGCGCAGGCAGGATAAAGCAGGAGCGATGACGAAGATGAGCCAAAGCATAGAAGTGAAAAAATAATTAAAGGTTGCCCAGCGGCGGCACCAGCAGGCGAAAGGAAAAGACGACCGAAGAGCGAGAAGACGGGCTGAGCGGAGCGGACAGGCGCAAAGGCAAACGGAACGGCAAAGCGGAGCAGTTGCAGCAACAACATTAGCAGAAGCAGTAGCAGCAGCAGAAGCTGAAAATCCAAAAGCAAACGCCAGAGTCGTCCCCTACACAAATTGGCCATCCCGGTGTCCCTCGCCAACGACATTCCCCAACGCCATCGCCCTCCCGCTCTTATTTTTGGCAGTCGTCGCATCTCGCTCTCTCTTATTCGGTGGGGGGTACGAAAAGTTCACATGCAACAACAACGACAACAAACAATAGCAGTCGCCGTCGCAGTCGCAGTCGACGCAGGCAGAGGCAGAAGCAGTGGCAGTGGCAGAGACCGAGGCAGTGGCGCACTGAACGTATTTTGTACATAAACATAAAAATAGTTTTTAAATCAATTTAAAAGAAACCCTTAAGCATAATTATACAGTAATAACTAATTTAACGAAAGCAAATCAAGAAGACAACGGGAGATAACAGAAAGGCGAAGAACCGAGAACCGAGAACCGAGAACGGAGAACTGAGAACGTAGAGGAACATAGAGAGACAGAAGAGTACGCTACGCAAGAGAGAAATTCGCGAAACGCTCAACGAAATTCGCCTTTTACACGATTTTAAATTGAGCGTTGGCACATCCAGAGATCCGTTATACATCCATCCAAAACGAAAAGAGAGGGAGAGTGAGCAGAGAAAATAAACAAAACACACGGCGGAGGAGAGCAGAAGTGGAAGCAGAAGAAGAAGCAGCTGAAGGAGCAACTGTAAACACGGTCCCACACACAGCCAGGCGACACACATACCCGCAGTCACTCACTCGCACTTCACACAACAACATACACACACACAGCGGACACATATAATCTCAGCCTCACGCTGGCGAATCGCAACGGCAGCAACAACAGCAGAGGAGGCGACGCAGGTGGAGCTGGCGGCGGAGGGGGCGGGGCAGTGGCCGCCGCTGCCCGTAATAACAACAACAACAACAGCAACAATCCTGGCGGAGGCGGAGGAGCGGCTGCTGTCGGCGCTGGCGCCGAAGGAGCTGCTGGCGGCAACGGAGGAGGAGGAGGTGGCGGCGGTGGCAATAACAATGCTGGCGGAGCGGCAGCCAACGAATGGAATCAGGAGGAGATGGACCGCTTCAGCTTCGACGACTCGATCCGCTTCGAGGAGGACTCGCTGTGCAGCTGGAGCTCTGAGCCGGAGTCGTTGTGCAACAACTGGCGGGGCTGGAAGAAACCAAGCAACGCTGCGGGCAGCGCTGCCGGCGGCGGAATAGGCGGTACTGGACCCGGTGTCGGATCTGGAGCCAATGGCCTGGGCATCGCAGCGTCATATGGAGCGGCGGGCCTGAACGGAGCAGGTGCCACCGGATCGTGTACGCCGGGCGGCAGTGCAGCGGCTATGGGAACACTCTCCACCTGCGGACGATATTATGGTGAGTGCTAGAATCTAGAATCTTATTCTACTCTTAATTAAGAATTTAGATGAAAAGGACTATGTATTTCGATTTTTTATGAGTAAGCATACGATATCCTAGTTTGTTTTTCCAAATCTTGCTTAGAATTTGTTTTTTAACTAATATTTTTCTTCTTTTTTTTTTTTGAGAATTTCGAACTTCTTAAAACATTTCTAAACAGTAGATCTTTATTTCAAAATACTTTACTGTGGTGGAGGATATTTTTATGATGATAGGTGTAGATTTTTAATAATGAAATGTATTGGAATTCGCTTTTAATCTAAAGTAGTTACTTTGTCTGATATCCAAGTTTCGAATGGTTCTTCTCTTCTAAAAGATTCCTACCTTATAACTAATCATTTGTTTCTCTGTAAGCAGCTGATATACCTTAAGAGGTTTTAGTGTTTGCAAGCTGTTTAAGCCTTGTTTTCAAGTTTCTTTAAGCCTTGTTTGTGTTGGTAATTTTTTCAAAGATTGAATATCTTTCAAATCTATATCTATTAAACCAGGGATGCTATTGCGTTTTGGATCCCTTAGGTCTTTTTGTATCTCTTTATTATTTCATTGCGTGTAAATAGGCCTTAAGTGCACTGCAGTCTGGCAACACTGTGCTGCCTGAAATTATACGCATGACCTTTTCGCTGTTGGTAAATTCTGTAAAATTGGCTTAAGGGCAGTGCAACAACAGTGCTGTAATTGTTGTTGCTTTGTCTGCAATTGTCTTTTCTTGTCTTTTACTTTTTGCCTTGCATTGCCCTGCTTTGCCTTGTCTTTCCTCGATATCCTCTGCTTATCGTTAAAGTCAAAATCACGACTTTTTAACCTGGCTACGTTCTCGTTTTCCTTCTTTTTTTTGTTTGTCTGTTTTTTAGTTATTTTTTGTGTTGCTTCTCCTTTGTCTTTTTGTGGCTTATTACTCGTGTCTTTCTGCGTTTTGTTTTTTTGTCTGTATGTGCCTGTAAATGCATTGTTTTTGGGCCCGCTGAAGGAAACGTTTTTTACACGTCCTCAGGTCGGCGGTCCGGTCGGGGGTTATCGGTCGGTATCCTGTTCTCCGACAATGACGCGTCGCAGCATTATCGTGTTGTAATATCTGGCTGCGACTGCGCAGTTTATCGTCCTTCTCTCCTGCTCGTTTTTCTCCCTTTTCCCTCGTTTGCCCCATCTATACAGCATTCGTTTAGTCTCTGCTTCGTTGCCTTGAAGGCAATGGAAAATACACATGTATATATATCCACATACATATGTAGGTGGAAAGGGGAGGCAAAAGGAAGGAAGGACAATGTACAATGAGACGTTGTGCAGCACTGTTTTGAAGTTAGAAAGAAGAATTAGTCAATTGATGTATATTTTTAAACATTTTCTTTATACTAAAGGGTTTTAGTATATTAAATCTATTAGATCTATGCTTTATATAGAAACTAGTTGATGAGAAAATAGCTAAAATTACAACCCTGTTTGTGTAAGATTGTGTGCAAGGGCAAAGCCAGCTGCATTTTCATGCTCAAAAGACATAATAACCGCAACGAACAAAAAATATATACATATATAGCCTTAAAACGATGTCGCTGCCAGCTGAACGACGCAGACATCGTCTTCTAGAGCCCCGTTTTGTTGTGTGTCGAAGAACCTTTTCAAGGATACCTCCACCATGCCACCATGCCACCATGCCACCACAACCTGCCTGAAGGGGGATATAATAAAACTGAAGCCGCCGACATGGACGACAGTCCATTATTTTCTTCGCACCTTGCGGCAGTCTATCAGCTAGCACTCACTGTACAAATGTATGTCCTGGTTAAATGTATGAATTAGGGCAATATTTAATACAATTCCTGTCACTGACGAATTTGTGAGAGTTAACTAGAGAGCTGGGAACCGCCTGAGGAGACTAGAAAAACGCTTATCAGGCTGGTTTTCATTAGAACAACCCCAGAAATCACTTATCCCTTGGTTAAATATACCCTAGATTGGAGAGATTCAATTGTATACAGCAATCAAACCTATTCTTGGACCAACAAATATCATTTATAATATTACTTTTTAGAGTTATAGAACCCCTACCCCTAGATGGGAAGTACGAACGGCATGCAATGACCCCGAATAAACTGTAACCGTGGAATGTTCACGCTGAATGGCTGACAATGCAATTAAGCGGTACAGGTGCACTGGTATGTGTGTGTGTGTGTGTTTTTTTGTGTGTATGCTTGCTTTTAATGCCCGGCAGCTTTGGCGTTGCCACATGTCATCATCTAATTAGTGGGTCGAGGCTCGCTCGATGTCAATATTCGAACTGAAGCTGCGACCATTCGCGGCAACAAGCCGAGCGAACAATTTAATTTAGCATTTGCCCTGCATATCAGTTTCATGCACTTCCGCAGTAGCACTAGAGCATATGCAACACACACACCATACACACATAGGGGGGGCAGAACTGCTTGTTGGCATTTCGACCCCTTTTCTGTGTCAGTTTATTTCGCTTTTGAGCGAACTTTTTGTGCCGACCAACCTGAAATATGAGGCATAATATAAATATAAATTTCTGCACATTAACACTTGCAAAAGGTTGACAAAAGTTAATGGAAAGTAAGATGTACTTATAAGATATAAGGTATTAGTTTGGAAGTCAGGATATGTTTAATCCTTATGGTACAAACACTTAACAGACAAATTTCGTTGTTTAGTTCTGCTTTAATGAAAAACCTTTAATCTAACAAGGCGAAAGGATCAAGAAAATGTTGCTAGAAACATGTTGAGCAACACAACATCCACCATTAGCCGGAGACCAACTGGGGATTCGCTTGCGGGCAAATTGTCGCCATCAGGGGGCTCTTAACACATGGTACCCATGTTGGTAAGGCCATAAAGCATATTTTACCAGTTAAAACAAAGCAGTATGTTAGAGTGTGACGAATGCAGTTACCGAGGAAAAGTTCGGCAACTCGACAGCTCGTCAACTCCGGCACCTCTTGCTCAACTCAACGCAACTCAACTGAACTCAACGCAACGCAAAGCGAGTTTGCTCAGTAATAACAAAAATAACTGGAGCATGAGGCTTTGGGTTATATATATTCTCATCTTTATTGTTACAAGCTCAGGTAGTGCGCTGCATGGAAATGGAAAACAAATTGAAATGCAAACAAAATGTGTCGAAAGGAGAGAGGGGGAAAATGGGAATGCCAGGGTGGCAGGCCCAAGCTCAAAGCAAACGAGCAAAATGGCCAACAAACAAAGCTAAACGTGAACCTGTTTGAAGGGGAAGCAATAGCCTTGAATATACACACGGATCGGTTATTAAACCTTCCTCTTCTCCGATCAAATCAATCTGACTCATTCAGCGACGATCTGGGGATGTGGGGATCAATGCCCATCACTCTGTTATCAACGTCAGCTAAATAGGATATAAGATACTTTAACTACGACTATAGCAATTATCAGAAAATAAGCATTTTGGGGTTTCTTAAAAACAAAACAAAAAAATAAACAAACATTGGGTTCCTGACTCCTCCCGAAATCTAATCTCTCAAGTCTTGAGATATCTGGTTTCAAATTTCCACATACCTAGCATTATTTATGGTGTAGGAAGGTATGGTACTATATCTTGTTGCTTTCATTTAAATTATATTGAATTAATAGTTAATTAATTACAATTGCCAGTGGACCTAACTAGGCAACCTCTGCTGTATTTGTGTGTATATGCATATAGGACAGGCATGAGCAATAAGTTAACGCTTGCGGAAAATGACTTTGAATAAAATGGTGCCAAAGTGTCTGAAAATTAAGCGACGGCAACAGTGAGAGAGAGAGAGACATCGTCGATGGGGAAAGAAAGAGAGACCCAACGGAAGAGTGGAGCATGTGGGGGGACGGGAGGGGGCGAAGAATGAGAGCAAGCAAACGGGCCGACGAACGAGCGAAAGAAAACAAACAAACAAACAAAACAATGAGAGCTTCCCCTTAGTTCACTGTTAAAAATTTCACTCTTTGTGGGTTATTTTAGTTTGCAAATTATTCGATACAAGAATATATTAAAAATATATATAATTAAATAATTATATATTATTAAAATCAATCTAAAATTAAGTTTAAGAGCTGTTTTCCTTCATGCTTTTTTATTCCCTTCCGGGGTATTATAATTTCAGTCAGAAGTCTAAAATGCAGTGAAGGAGTCATTTCCGATCCTATATTTCATATATATTCTTGATCAGTATCAACAGGCGAATCTTTCTAGCCATCTTCGGCAGAATTTTTTTTTTTTTTTAAATGTTCAATTTTTGAAAAAAAAAAGGAAAGGGGTTACATCGTTAAAATTGTCAAAAATTGGCAAAAAATTTCATTCATGCAGATTTAATAAGGAATTAAAAACTAGCACAGAACAGCTTTCCGATTTAAAATTAATGACTTTTTGGCTGAGTTATGAGATATTGAACATTCGAATCCATGATCCTATGGGTAGAACAGGCAGAAAGAAAACCAGTTTCAAGTTTGACTTCTAGGAAATCCCAATAATTTCCAAAAAATGTTTATTAATTTGCTTCTTACGCTTTTAAATGTTCTGCGAAATATATATATTTAAAGCTGGGATTCCCCTTTTGGATTCTACTTAATTGATGAAATATCGATTCAAAACGATAAGGAAACCTGTAATTAACTTGTAACAACCAAAACTGGAACTCTTTAGTTCTTGTCGTAATGCAATTATATGACTCACATCACGCCCAGGTTGATTCTACAATTGAAATCGAAATCTCCGATATCTGGTTGTGGCGAATATTTGATTCTGCAAACAAAAATTCGCGTGGGCGAACTTGAACCTTTTGTTCCGCGACTGCAACATCATCATCATCATCATCATCGGCCAGGAGGAATACTATACACAGCCGTATACACCATATAAAATAATAACGCCCGATGTTCTTTGTTTTGCTTTGACTTTGGTTTGTTTGTTTGTTTTTTTGCGTTTTGCGTTTAAAAGGCAATGGGAACGAGACCTTTAAAATGCAGGCCACTGCTCTGGCTGGTCTTGGTCTCTTGGTCCTCACCCCTTTGGTCTTTGCCGCCATGGCCATTTGTTTATTTGCAAGCCAATTCGATGGATTTTTGTTTATCTACAACTCAATGGTGCTGCAAAGAAGATAGTGACAGGCAGCAGCAGCAGCAGCAATGGGAACATCAGTTTACGCAGATATAAATTGCTTACTCCCAGGCTTCAGCCTTAATCTATTTATTTTTTTATTTTATAACTTTACTGATTGATCTGGCCATGTCTCATGTTTCTGTGGGAACCGTGTTTATCTCTGAGCTTTTTGGGGAATAAACTAAAAAACGCTGATAAAGGGATTGAGTTTAAAAGGAGAAGGGGATCCCAGTGAGCTAGAGCTTAAGGCAGACTGTTGAAAATGGATAGAATTGAAGGTACTTGAAAGCTAGTACTCATGATATTCCCCTATTACAGATATATCTCTGTGTGCACCGAGAACGAACAGCAAACAAGTTGTAAAAACATAGCTGGGTGACCTCTCTTCTCTGGTCATTGGCCCTTCGTTCCTTATTCGCTCGGTTGTCGCACGAAAAAGTTCTTTAATTAACGAAATGCCCATGTGGTGTATCTTGTGGCTGTGCGAGTGTGTAATGAGTGTGATGTGGTGGTGTTGTCCCCTCCTACCGTGCATCGTTTGTGTTTAATTATTGTACTAGAATTATGGAATTAGTCACTTGGCTTTGACTTTTTGAATAAATCATGGTGTTTATGGCTTGAATTCAAGGAAATTCCAATCGATCACTTACATTATAACCTTCTTCAGTAATCATTTGTCTAATGTGTTGCCCTTTTTATTTCCCAGAAGTTTCCACATTGGCCGAACTGGCCGCTCGCTGTGTGGCCTCTTACATACCGTTCGAACTGGTGGAGCATGTGTATCCCCCGGTGCCCGAGCAGCTGCAGCTGCGCATTGCGTTCTGGAGTTTTCCGGACAACGAGGAGGACATCCGGCTATACTCATGCCTGGCCAATAGCTCGGCAGATGAGTTCAACCGCGGTGATCAACTGTTTCGGATGCGGGCTGTCAAGGATCCGCTGCAAATAGGTAAAGTTAAATTAACTTGGCTTCGAAAGGAGGATATTAATGTTGATGCCATCAATTTCAGGCTTTCATCTGTCGGCCAGCGTGGTTAATCAGACGCCAAGAGCCTACTTCAATGTGGCCGTGACCTTTGACCGAAGGCGCATCTCATCCTGCAACTGCACCTGCACCTCGTCCGCCTACTGGTGCTCCCACGTAGTCGCCGTTTGTCTGCATCGCATTCATTGCGTGAGTACCTTGTCGTAGATAGAGGAACTCAATTAATAGCACACTCTTCCCTTACTCCTGCACAGCCCCAGGAAGTGTGCCTGCGAGCACCGGTCTCCGAGTCGCTGACTCGCCTCCAACGCGACCAACTGCAAAAGTTCGCCCAGTATCTGATTAGCGAGTTGCCACAGCAGATCCTGCCAACGGCCCAGCGTCTACTGGACGAGCTGCTCAGTGCCCAGCCGACGGCAATTAATACCGTGTGCGGTGCACCCGATCCTACGGCCGGGGCCTCGATCAATGATCAGACCAGCTGGTATCTGGACGAGAAAACGCTGCACAACAACATCAAGCGGATCCTCATTAAGTTCTGTTTGCCCGCTCCGATAGTTTTTAGGTAAGAAACTCTTATTCTTAATATATAAATGAGTATACTTTAACTAGATTTGAAGCGAGAAATCTATATACTGTTTGATGAAACGAATTTAAATAATCGGAAAGAGTAGCAAATAATATTTGTATACCCTTGCGGGGTATTATATTCCTCTATTTTTGACGACAGGTATATGATACAACAGTCCGATTTTCATTAAATTTAACACAAAATTCTAGATTAATATCTAATGGCTACATATTCAATTTTATGAAAATCTGTTAAAAACTGGAAAAGCTAAACATTTTTTTTCTTAAAATTTTCAAATCGTTCCTATGGCAGCAATATATATGTATATATATATTTCACACATTCGGTTCTTAAATTTGTGCCAAAACAAATTTTGCACATCTGTGCATATGATTCCCAACTCGTTCTAACATCCCCGGAACGAAGTGACTGCTGCCGACCAAGTCTTAGATACGTGTTGTGTTACAAAAGTTGCAAGTCATTGTTTATTAGTGTTCAAAGTTAATTAGTGTCGAAGGTAACCTGCTGATCAAAGTTAATTACAGATCATAGTTAATAAGTGTTCAGAGTTACTTAATTTGCATTGATACTTCCTGGTCAAAGTTACTTTATATAGAGACTTACTGTTGAAAGATACTTCTGATTATAGATACTTACTGTTCAGAGTTAATTACTGATCAGAGTTACTCACTGGTCATAGTTACTTCCTGGTCATAGATACTTACTGTTCAGAGTAACTTAATGTTCTTAGAAACTTACTGATCATAGTTAATAACTGGTCATAGTTCTATAAATCGTCCGATTGTTCCTATGGCAGCTATATATATGTATATATATAGTCCACCGATTCGGCATGCTCCGATTTATTTACCAGTAAAATTATATAGAAGAAAAACTCCATAGTTTCGTTTAAATAGCTTGCTCTTAAATGTGCTCCAAAACAAATGCCGCACATCTGTGCATATGATTCCCAACTCGTTCTAACATCCCCGGAACGAAGTGACTGCTGCCGACCAAGTCTTAGATACGTGTTGTGTTATAAAAGTTGCAAGTCATTGTTTATTAGTGTTCAAAGTTAATTAGTGTCGAAGGTAACGTGCTGATCAAAGTTAATTACAGATCATAGTTAATAAGTGTTCAGAGTTACTTAATTTGCATTGATACTTCCTGGTCAAAGTTACTTTATATAGAGACTTACTGTTGAAAGATACTTCTGATTATAGATACTTACTGTTCAGAGTTAATTACTGATCAGAGTTACTCACTGGTCATAGTTACTTGCTGGTCATAGATACTTACTGTTCAGAGTAACTTAATGTTCTTAGAAACTTACTGATCATAGTTAATAACTGGTCATAGTTTTATAAATCGTCCGATTGTTCCTATGGCAGCTATATATATGTATATATATAGTCCACCGATTCGGCATGCTCCGATTTATTTACCAGTAAAATTATATAGAAGTAAAGTTCCATAGTTTCGTTCAAAAAGCTTGCTCTTAAATGTGTTTCAAAACAAATGGCGCACATCTGTGCATATGATTCCCAACTCGTTCTAACATCCCCGGAACGAAGTGACTGCTGCCGACCAAGTCTTAGATACGTGTTGTTTTACAAAAGTTGCAAGTCATTGTTTATTAGTGTTCAAAGTTAATTAGTGTCCAAAGTAACCTACTGATCAAAGTTAATTACAAATCATAGTTAATAAGTGTTCAGAGTTACTTAATTTGCATTGATACTTCCTGGTCAAAGGTACTATCTAAAGAGACTTACTGTTGAAAGATACTTCTGATTATAGATACTTACTGTTCAGAGTTAATTACTGATCAGAGTTACTCACTGGTCAAAGTTACTTGCTGGTCATAGATACTTACTGTTCAGAGTAACTTAATGTTCTTAGAAACTTATTGATCATAGTTAATAACTGATCATAGTTCTATAAATCGTCCGATTGTTCCTATGGTAGCTATATATATGTATATATATAGTCCACCGATTCGGCATGCTCCGATTTATTTACCAGTAAAATTATATAGAAGTAAAGTTCCATAGTTTCGTTCAAATAGCTTGCTCTTAAATGTGTTTCAAAACAAATGGCGCACATCTGTGCATATGATTCCCAACTCGTTCTAACATCCCCGGAACGAAGTGACTGCTGCCGACCAAGTCTTAGATACGTGTTGTTTTACAAAAGTTGCAAGTCATTGTTTATTAGTGTTCAAAGTTAATTAGTGTCCAAAGTAACCTGCTGATCAAAGTTAATTACAGATCATAGTTAATAAGTGTTCAGAGTTACTTAATTTGCATTGATACTTTCTGGTCAAAGTTACTTTATATAGAGACTTACTGTTGAAAGATACTTCTGATTATAGATACTTACTGTTCAGAGTTAATTACTGATCAGAGTTACTCACTGGTCATAGTTACTTGCTGGTCATAGATACTTACTGTTCAGAGTAACGTTTTGTTCTTAGAAGCTTACTGAGCGTAGTTAATTACTGGTCATAGTTAATTACTGATCATAGTTCTATAAATCGTCCGATTGTTCCTATGGCAGCTATATATATGAATATATATAGTCCACCGATTCGGCATGTTCCGATTTATATACCAGTAAAATTATATAGAAGAAAAACTCCATAGTGTCGTTCAAATAGCTTGCTCTTAAATGTGCTCCAAAACAAATGCCGCACATCTGTGCATATGATTCCCAACTCGTTCTAACATCCCCGGAACGAAGTGACTGCTGCCGACCAAGTCTTAGATACGTGTTGTGTTACAAAAGTTGCAAGTCATTGTTTATTAGTGTCCAAAGTAACCTGCTGATCAAAGTTAATTACAGATCATAGTTATTAAGTGTTCAGAGTTACTTAATTTGCATTGATACTTTCTGGTCAAAGTTACTTTATATAGAGACTTACTGTTGAAAGATACTTCTGATTATAGATACTTACTGTTCAGAGTTAATTACTGATCAGAGTTACTCACTGGTCATAGTTACTTGCTGGTCATAGATACTTACTGTTCAGAGTAACGTTTTGTTCTTAGAAACTTACTGAGCGTAGTTAATTACTGGTCATAGTTAATTACTGATCATAGTTCTATAAATCGTCCGATTGTTCCTATGGCAGTTATATATATGTATATATATAGTCCACCGATTCGGCATGCTCCGATTTATTTACCAGTAAAATTATATAGAAGAAAAACTCCATAGTGTCGTTCAAATAGCTTGCTCTTAAATGTGCTCCAAAACAAATGCCGCATATCTGTGCATATGATTCCCAACTCGTTCTAACATCCCCGGAACGAAGTGACTGCTGCCGACCAAGTCTTAGATACGTGTTGTGTTACAAAAGTTGCAAGTCATTGTTTATTAGTGTCCAAAGTAACCTGCTGATCAAAGTTAATTACAGATCATAGTTATTAAGTGTTCAGAGTTACTTAATTTGCATTGATACTTTCTGGTCAAAGTTACTTTATATAGAGACTTACTGTTGAAAGATACTTCTGATTATAGATACTTACTGTTCAGAGTTAATTACTGATCAGAGTTACTCACTGGTCAAAGTTACTTGCTGGTCATAGATACTTACTGTTCAGAGTAACTTAATGTTCTTAGAAACTTTCTGATCATAGTTCTATAAATCGTCCGATTGTTCCTATGGCAGTTATATATATGTATATATATAGTCCACCGATTCGGCATGCTCCGATTTATTTACCAGTAAAATTATATAGAAGAAAAACTCCATAGTTTCGTTCAAATAGCTTGCTCTTAAATGTGCTCCAAAACAAATGCAACACATATGTGCATATGATTCCCAACTCGTTCTAACATCCCCGGAACGAAGTGACTGCTGCCGACCAAGTCTTAGATACGTGTTGTGTTACAAAAGTTGCAAGTCATTGTTTATTAGTGTTCAAAGTTGATTAGTGTCCAAAGTAACCTGCTGATCAAAGTTAATTACAGATCATAGTTAATAAGTGTTCAGAGTTACTTAATTTGCATTGATACTTCCTGGTCAAAGGTACTATCTAAAGAGACTTACTGTTGAAAGATACTTCTGATTATAGATACTTACTGTTGAGAGTTAATTACTGATCAGAGTTACTCACTGGTCATAGTTACTTGCTGGTCATAGATACTTACTGTTCAGAGTAACTTAATGTTCTTAGAAACTTTCTGATCATAGTTCTATAAATCGTCCGATTTTTCCTATGGCAGCTATATATATGTATATATATAGTCCACCGATTCGGCATGCTCCGATTTATTTACCAGTAAAATTATATAGAAGAAAAACTCCATAGTTTCGTTCAAATAGCTTGCTCTTAAATGTGCTCCAAAACAAATGCCGCACATCTGTGCATATGATTCCCAACTCGTTCTAACATCCCCGGAACGAAGTGACTGCTGCCGACCAAGTCTTAGATACGTGTTGTGTTACAAAAGTTGCAAGTCATTGTTTATTAGTGTTCAAAGTTGATTAGTGTCCAAAGTAACCTGCTGATCAAAGTTAATTACAGATCATTGTTAATAAGTGTTCAGAGTTACTTAATTTGCATTGATACTTCCTGGTCAAAGTTACTTTATATAGAGACTTACTGTTGAAAGATACTTCTGATTATAGATACTTACTGTTGAGAGTTAATTACTGATCAGAGTTACTCACTGGTCATAGTTACTTGCTGGTCATAGATACTTACTGTTCAGAGTAACTTAATGTTCTTATAAACTTACTGATCATAGTTAATAACTGATCATAGTTCTATAAATCGTCCGATTGTTCCTATGGCAGCTATATATATGTATATATATAGTCCACCGATTCGGCATGCTCCGATTTATTTACCAGTAAAATTATATAGAAGTAAAGTTCCATAGTTTCGTTCAAATAGCTTGCTCTTAAATGTGTTTCAAAACAAATGGCGCACATCTGTGCATATGATTCCCAACTCGTTCTAACATCCCCGGAACGAAGTGACTGCTGC